CCCCACGGGACGAAGTCTCTCGCTGTCAACCTCTGTCCCCTTACACCTGTGCTGGGCACTCCTCAAGGGAGCCTTCATGCCCTTGGGTATTAATAACCCGTCCCCATATGCCAGTTTTCTATGGATGCCCCTTTTTTAAAAATTTTTAATGTTTATTTATTTTTGATAGAGACAGAGACACCATAAGCAGGGGAGGGCAGAGAGAGACGGAGAGAGAATCCCAGCAGGCTCCACGCCGTCAGCACAGAGCCGGACACGGGGCACAAACCAGTGAGATTATGACCTGAGCCAAAACCAAGAGTCGGATGCTTAGCTGACTGAGCCACCAGGTGCCCCTATGGAAATCCTTTTTTAAAACTTGAGATGAGAGGTGCCTGGGTGGCTCCGTGGGTTAAGCGTCCGAATCCTGGTTTTGGCTCAGGTCATGATCTCGCGGTTCATGGGTTCCAGCCCCGCGTCGGGCTTCCTGCTGTCAGCACAGAGCCTATTTCACATCATCTGCCCCCTCTCTCTGACCTCCCCTGCTTGCGCTTTCCCAAAAAATAAGTATTAAAAACAAACAAAAAAACCCTGAGAAGTCTTACAATAAAGAGGTGTGTAGTTTAAAACGGAGGTGAAATTCACGCTTCAGGAAATCTCATGTTAAAGTGAACAATTATGTGGCGTTTCGTGCATTCACAGCATTGTGACTGCCACCCCGACCTAGTTCCCGAACATGTTTATCCGCCACCAACGGGACAGCCAGGGCCCAGTAAGCATTCCCCAGGCCCCTCCCCCAGCCCCTAACAACCCCGCCTCGGCTTTCGGTCTCAGTGAATTTGCCCCTTCTGGGTGCTACACATCAACACACCCATGTGATCTGCGACCTATTGGGCCAGGTTTCTGTCCTCACCTTAACGTTTCCACGATTCGCCCTCGCTGTGGCGTGTGTCAGAACGTCCCCCCTTCTCGTGGTGGAAGAATCGTCCACCACACGGACAGGCCACACTTTGTGTACCCCTTCATCTGTTGATGGACGCCTTCATTGTTTCCACCCTTCCTCGTGGGTAAGGCGGCCATGAATTCCCCTGTACAAGTCTTTACTTGCACACCGGTGTGTAAATCCTCCAGGCTACACGCCAATGGCCTATTTTACACCGACGGTTCTCCTCATCCAGCCCCGCAGCACCTGACCTCCCACCTCGCACCCGGAGGGTCCCACAGCCCCCACCCCCACCCCCGCCCTGGCGGTCTCCTGCCCTGTCCCCTCGTCCGTGTGTCCTGGGGCTTGCGTGGTTAGTGCTGTTCTCCGGCCGTGCGGAGGGTGGCCTCCCTCCTCGGGGAGCTCACCTGAGACAGACACGGAGGAAGCCGAGAAAGACTGAGCTCAGAGCCAGAGAGCCCGGGGAGGAGTGGAGGCTTCCCGCTGGAGGGGGGGAGGCCCTGCGGAGCCAGCTGCGGGTCCTGCGGCTCCAGGGGCTGAGCCGGACACAACGGAGTCGCTGGATCCCGAGGCCACAGCTGACTCGCTCCCTGTCCCTGCACCCCAGCCTCCCGACCCATCCCCCGGGCCTGGGCCTTTGCCCCCAAGGAGAGACCCTTCAGGAGTCAGCCCTTGCCAATTTAGGAGAAAACTTCTAGAAAGGGAGAGTCCCACAGAAATGAACCACTGGGTTCATGATGTCAGCACATTGCCAGCCCCTTAGAGCACAGCATCCAGGGGCCCAGAGGGGGTCCAGGGGCCCAGAGGGGGTCCAGGGGCCCAGAGGCTGCCTGGCCACCAGAGGAGAGCGTCGAGGGTCCGCATGTTCCTGGCCCTCCCGGGTGCGGCTGCAGGAGGCCCTGCTTGGACACGACGGCCCAGCCGCCCCTTAATAGGGACAGGAGCTTCCCGGGAGTGGGCCCGTCTGCAGCTCAGGAAGGGCCCTGTGGATCTGGCTGTGGGGACATGGAGACCAGGCCCTTCCCCAAAGCACCACTGCTCCTGGGGTGAAGGGGGCTAACAGGTGCTGCCCTGAATGTACCTCTCTTTCTAGACGTTTCCCCAGGGCCCAGCTCCCCCTTCCACACCTGGTCCTGCCCTGCAGCCACTCTTAGGAGTCTGGGAGGGGAGTGAGCAAGGTCCGCCCACCAGAGCCTCCAGCCCCGGAGAGAGGGACCACCTCCCGGGAGGACCTGAGTCAGCTGCAGGTGGGCTCCTGGGGTCCCCAGGCTGTGGAGCCCCCACCAGGGTCGGGGGGAAGCCAGGGCCCACGGACGGCGACGGGCTCCCTGCAGGGAGAAAAGACTCAGGTCTGGAATCTCGCATCTGCAGCCCGGCACGGAGGCCACTCACGTCCGAATCCGCTCAGGGTCTCCAGTGCCCGCAGGGTAAGGCCCAGGGTGAGGACCCCCATCCTCACCCAGACGCACCTGCCTGTCCTGGGGGTCAGGGAGCAAGGACCCCGTGGGCCCCCAGCCTGCACCAACCATGGCCCAAAAGTCTGGGCAGGTGAGGCAGAAGCAGCCCCTCCGCAGGCGTCTCCCAGCCCCTTCCTGGACACCCGAAGCTGTGAGGACCCCCCACTCCCACCCACCTCATCCCAGTCCGGCTGGCTGAGGAGGAGCAGAGAAGGGGACTCTGGCCCTTTCTCCCCCACTGAGCAGAACAGGAAGAAGGTAGCTGAATCAGCACTTTGTGCCCCATCTGGAACATTCCAACATGGAAAACCCACTGAGCAGCTGGAGAAACCATTGAGGGACTTTAATTAAAGGCTGATGACTCTCCCACAGAGTCCCACCCCCACACACAGCAGGGAAGATCCACCGCATCTGCCCTCGGTGTGTTCTGAGGCCCAGCTGGGCACCCGGCTCTGGGTGCTGGCGGCCGGGCCCAGTTCCCACCGGGAGGGGGTGACGGCTCCCAGCCAGCTGACCCTTTCTCCACACTGTTTCCAGTCTGCCTTCTGCACCAAAGCCAGACAAACTGGTGGCTCCCACAGCTCTGCTTCCAGGAAGCTTCCGGAAGAGAGAAGTGGGTCATGTGAGTGGGCTCAGGAGAGGGACTCTAACTGGAGGGAGGAAATGAGACTGGTGTGAGGGCACAGCACCCCCCCCTCCCATTCTTACACTGTCTCCCTCTCAGTCCACACCTGCTGTGGGGAAAGGCATCACGGGCAGAGCCTATGCAAAGATAATTCAGGTGGAGACAGGTGGAAGGAGCCGATGGGGCAGAAGCGTAGGGGTGAGGGGGGCATGAGGCTAGGGGTGAGGGCAAGCCGCAGAGGGCCGGCACAGCTGCACTCAGGCATCTGCTCTTCATTCTAGAGGTGGTGGGGGTGAGGGGGAAAGATCAGAGCAATTTAAAATAATGGGATCTGGTTTTCTCTGAGGCCGCTGGCGGGCGAAGAGCTCAGTCCAGAGAACAGAAGAGGGGCCCCTGAACCCCTGAAGCCAGCCGGGCAGGAGCTGGTCCAAGTTTGCACACGTGTGAGTCCGGGAAGAAGGAGAAGCATGCACGGCCCAGGCTGGGAGCCGCCTTCCCTTCTGCCCCTGACACCCCGGGCAGGCCGCCAGGCGGTCCCTAAGTGGGACCGCAGCCCTGGGGGCCGGGACAGAGGAGCCAAGCCTGGTGCTCGCCGTCCAGCTGCACAGAGGCCCTTCCCCGACACCGTTCCTGCAGATCGGGCCACCCGCCCCCCCTCCCCACGCCCACATCAGAGACCCGAGCCGGGAGGAGGCTACAGGTGCATCTCAGCCACATCTGCCCACATCTGCCGCTGCGTTTCCACCAAGGTCTCTCGGGACCAGCCCCCAGTCCTGCCTCTGGCCTGGCCCCAGTGGCAGAGCCTCGACCCAGTGCTGGCTCCTCAGGACAGTCCAGACAGGAGTCCTCTGGGCCCAGAACCAGCGGGGGAAGACTCCGGGCCGCTGAGGACAGATGTCCCCAACCACCTCCCCACTTCCTGTGGAGCCTCTTCTCACAGACAATCAGTTGACCCCAGGTGTCTACCACGGGGCTCAGAAACAGTAGCCACCATGACTGGTGGCCCACTGGCTTGCAGTTAGCCAGAACGGGGGTGGTGGTGACAAGTAAGCTGTCACTCCCCTGGAAACCCTCCCTCATTTCCACCCTGGGGCCCGGGACAGGCAGCTGCTCACCTGACACCGTCAGGTCCCGTGAGGGCCCCGCGCAGCGTGGGGTCATTGTCAGGGGGCTTTGTGGGCACCTGGCAAGCAACCCTGTGGTCAGGAGCAGGTGAGGGGGCCGCACTCTCCCGAGGGCGGGGGGGTGGGTAGGGCACCCCAGCCCTCCCGAGTCTGGCCTCAGGGTCTGAGCAGGCATCTGGGCTGCAGATGGGCATTCCTCCTGCTCCCCCGCCCCCAGGGAGGGAGCCCTTCCTGGAACACAGCAGATCTGGGGCATCCGGGGCCTGGGGGAGTGGGTGGAAGCATTGAGTTGCAGGGTCTGGAGGGAGGGAGACGAACGTGAGTGTGGCCTGTGGTAGGCAGTGCCAGACTGTCCCCAGGGGCTCGGGGACTGTTAGAACCTCTACCCTGCCTGTCACACCCCCTGTAACGCAGCCTCACCCCATTTCCAGGGGGGAGCATCCCACGGGCACTAGGACAGGAAATTAGCTGTGGCCGTGGGTGCAGCCCTGAGCTGGGCAGATCCAACTTTCATCCTGCCCTAGCCCTCAAGTGGGCAACACGGAGCCTCAGTTTCCTCACCTACAACACAGGGACAGCACAGCTCAGCATCCCGGGGCTGACAGGAGAGCCTCCAGAGTCTGAGCTGTGTGTCACCGTGCAGGCCCCAAACCTCTCTGAGCCTCAGTTGCTCATGTGCGACAGCGGCCAAGCTCACTGCACACGCCAAAGGATGGCTCCCGTCTGAGGACTGGGTTTTGCACTCGCTCCGGGTCTGCAAGCAGTGCCCCGTGGAGACAGGTGGTATGATTAGCATTTCCCTGGGCAGTGGCGCCTCCGGCCCCCCTCTGGCAACCGTCAAGGTTACGTGGAAGAACACAGACCCAGGCTTTATTTCTTAAATACTTTTCCCTGCCCGTCTTCTGTTTGCAGGCTCCATGGCCCGGCAGCGGCAGGCATAAATTAAGGTTAGCGAGTGTCCCTGGGCAGGACTGTCCTCCTCAGTCCCAGCCGAAGTCCTGGCCGGTCATCTGGTAAAACCTGCGGTTGAAAGGCCGGTAGAAGTCCCGCAGGCGCCGGACCACAGCCTCGGGCACGCGGGGGTGGGGCCGGCCCTTGGATTTGCCCAGGCAGCGGGGGCGGCTGCCCCCCTGGGCCTTCTTGAGGCAGGGGAAGCCCTTGGTGGCGTTGAAGTAGAAGTGCTTGTCCGTGACCACCCGTTTGAGGCCCAGGAAGTCCTGGACGCGGCCCACCTCTCCGGCCGGGTCGCTGACCAGGCGCTCCCCGCTGACGAACAGGAAGCGGGACAGGGGGAAGAAGCGCAGCCAGTTGGCCAGGTGCTGGGCATACAGGCCGATGCGCACAGCGCTCCAGGCCGTGTCCACGGGGCCCAGGCCGTGGCGGAAGGCCAGCGCGCGGAAACTGGGCAGGCCCGGGGTCTTGGAGAGCGTCTGGGCGTAGTCGGAGATGGCCCGCGTCACGGGGTTGCGCACCACCACGATGAGCTTGGTGTCCGGGGACATGCCGTGGATGCGGCCGGGGGCCTCCCGGGTCACGAAGTAGCTAGGGGTCTTCTCCATGGTGATCTGCCCGTCCAGGCTGCGTGGCATCAGGCTCCTGTGGGGCCGGAGGAGGGGCAGGTGACAGTGGGCACTGGCCCCCCGGCCCGGGGCGGACCTCCCCTTCCTCCAGGGAACCTCCCCACCAGACCCCCACCCTGGGTCCTCGGGTGGCCAGATACAGGCTGTGAGGCGGCCCACCCCCTCCCAGAGCCGGACGCGCCCACACCTGACACGGCTGTGCTTCCTACCCCGACCCCATCCTCACGAGGCCAACGGCCTGGACCTGCCACCCACATGGCTGAACCTGCCCCCGGTCCCCCTGCCGGTCCCTGCCCTGTAATTACCTCCCATCACACACTCAGTAAGTGGCTGATGGCATCCCCTAAATTAGGCCATTAATTATGGACAAGGGTGCCCTCTCACTCCCTCCCCAGCACAGCTTTCTCCCGCCTCTGACCACAGCCCTGCTAATTCTCACGGACCGGAATACCCAAAGCCACTAGCACGGCCCAGCACACTGGAGAACGGCTAGTGCGGTGGCCTGACGGCCCGTCCCAAGGCCGCAGCCGCCCAGGCCTCCCAGGCCTGGCTTGGACCCCAACGTGTAAGGCTGCAGTGACGAGGGGAGGGGAGCACGAACCCCATCCCGAGGTCCTGGGGGACTCGGCTGATGGCGGCCCCCTGACCACACCAAGCCTGGGGAAGCCCATCCTGAACCAGTATCCCACGGCCACGCCCACCAGCCAGGTAGTACAGGGTGCGGCGGGCAGGGTGCGGCGTGGCCAGCTGAGCAAACAGCTCTGAGGGAGGGCTGGGAACTAGGTCAACAGAGGCAGAGGCTCCCGGGATGTGTGGGAGGGCGCGGAGGTCTCCGCCCGGCTATCCCTGTCTCCTGCCCCGCTGACAGCCCCCAGGACTGGCCCCAGACAGGAAGGTGGAGTTCAGGCTTCACCCAGCCTAGGTGACCCGCAGACTCAAGCCCCTGGGAGGCAGAGCCCGAGGCTCCTCTTCCTGCTCAGATGCCCCCACAAAACCCAGGTCAGGGGGACACAGGTGCACAGATGCACGAGTGGGGGTGCTTGGCTTGGAGGGTGCGGGCAGTGGGACGGAGGTGTGCACATGGGAGTCCGGGACACGCCCCTGGCTCCCTGACTCCACCCTGTGGGCCCAGGGGCATCAGGTGGGCTGCACGGTCGGCCAGCTATGGGGGGCTCCCCACTCCTGCCCTGGGCAGAGCTGGTCTGGGAAGTCACAGGGACAACTCTGCTTCTCCCATCTCTGTGGACTGCTCACTGCCCCATTTGACAGGCAGGCACACTGAGGCTCTGAGAGGAAGCAGGAAGTACCGGGGTGGGCGTCAGCCCGCAGCCCTGCCCTGCACCTCTTGGCCTGCCTCCTGCAGCTGGGAACCCAACGGGGAGCAGTACCCAGCCCTCCCCATTCAAAGGGACAAGTTCAAGGAGCCTTTGGGTGGTGAAAACGCCAAGGGCTGAGGCCCACGGCGACAGGGGTCCCTTTCCATGACAGGGAAGCCATAGGTCCCTGCACTGGACCTCACTGCTGATACCCACAAAGAGACACAGCACCACAGAGCATCAGATGTCACCACCCCCCCCTCCCTCCCCCCAACCCCCCCCCCCCCGCCGTCACCCTCCTCAGGGGAGGAATGTGCCTGGATTGCTCAGCGAATGCCTCCCTCCCATCTTTGACATGCTCTTTCCATCCCTTCCTTCACCCCCAGGCACCAAGTGATCCCAGGGATGCGCCCTCTTTCCCTTCCCAGACTGGGCACTTTGGCTTCTGAGTATCCCCCACCCTCACCCCTGCCTGGGGGGATGCGGGGCTGCAAGGAAGACTTAAAGGGACATCAGCACCTTTCTCCCCAAGGAAGTCAGAGGAGCAGAGACAGAGAGGTGCCTCCAGACCGCCACCGGGAGGGGAGGACATGAGGCACGAGTGGGGGGGCGGGTGCAGACTCTCCTGACACACTCCTGCCACAAGCTGGCTTTGAGCTCTGAGATTTCGGGATCAATTACTCTCCCCAGGCCTGGCCAGGGCATGGAGTAGGGTGGGGATGGGGGCCTTTGGGGGGATGGAAGAGCCCAGGGAGGAAAAGAGGCGCAAGACACTGACCCACACACAGCAAACATGTGACAAGCTGTTCTATGGACACCCCCCCAACATACACACACACCACCCCCACAGCTCATCTGGTCTGCATTTCCCTGCGGCTTCAATCCAGCCCTGGGCGACTCTCCCTCCTCCGTCTGGGCCTCACTCCATGTCCTGCACCTCTTCTGGGCCCCATCCAGCCTGCCCTGGGGCAGAAACCAGTTCCGGGTAGAACCCGGCAGTGCTGGGAAAGTGGGGGCATTGAGCGCCCTGCCACACGAGTCTCTCTCTCTCTGCGTGAGCAAGGGAGATAAGCCCCACAGAAGCCTGGTCCATCCCCCCACAATCTCACACCCCACCTTCACTGCTCCTGCTTGGGCCCAAGGACCGGGGGGGGGTCCCCCTGCATCCCTCCCCATCTCCTCTCGCTTTTCCAAAACACTGTGGTCAAAGTAGAGCCCCCACCTGCCCCCAGACAGGGCGCTCCTGCCTGAATGGACACTGTGGGGTGTTTGTGTGACGTCAGCATCTGCCAAAGACAGTGAAGGAATAAAGGAACAAATGCGGAGTGTGAGGGCCCTTGAAGGTCACAGTCCCCAAGATAGAGGACCCTCAAGGAGCCTGAGAGATGAACTTCCTGGAGCCCAGGGAGAGGGAACAGTTGGGCCAAAATCAACTTTGAGCAGCCCAGGACCTACCTGCCTAGTCATGGGAAGGACCAAAGTCACTGCCTGGAATGAGATTGGTCACAGCCCTGTGGGCAAAGGGGGGGGGCTCCCAACAATTCAGCTGGGGGCACTAGCTGTTGCCCCTCTGCATGCTGCCCTGACCCCCCACCCAGAACAAGGCTTGGCACTGGCTGGAGGTCCAGACCAGGGTCCTGAGAGCAGGTAACACTGTCCCTGGGTGACCTCTTTGCACTGGGGGAAACTGAGGCAGGGGTGGGCATTTTCAGAGGCTCGACGCATCCTCACGGCCGGGTGAAAGGACATGCAGGCACAGAGACACTGAGCCCCCCTCCACAGCTGTCCGGACGCAGCCACTGCCCTTGGACACACACACTTCGGAAGCTCAGCCAGCCTGCACTGGCCAGTGAGGGGTCAACGCTAGCCGGCCTGACAACTCCGGGTTCCTGGAGGCCACCGAAACCTGACCCTCCACCTCCTCTGCATCCGCCCTTCCCCCCAGTGCAGGGGGCTCTAAAAATGAGAAAAGAGAAAATCTCTTCTCTTTTTTTTGTTTTTGTTTTTGTTTTTAATGTTTTATTTATTTCTAGGAGAGAGAGAGAGAGAGACAGCGTGAGCAGGGGAGGGTCAGAGAGAGAGGGAGTCACAGACTGAAACAGGCTCCAGGCTCTGAGCTGGCAGTCAGCACAGAGCCCGACGCGGGGCTCGAACCCACAAACCGCGAGATCATGACCTAAGTGAAAGTCGGACGCTTAACCGACTAAGCCACCCAGGCGCCCCAGAGAAAATCTCTTCTCCACCAGAGCCAGACACGCTCCTGAATCCCCCGGCCCCCACTCCGGGCACCCCAGTATGCCAGGAGCCCACTACCCAGAGCTGAGAATCTGGCCCTGCTGCCTCTCAGAGGCCTCGTCCGCCTCCCCCCCCCCCCAGAGCTGGAGCATGCACCCAGGGAGGGCCCCGGACCCCAGGCTTCGGGAGAGCCCTCCGGGACCAGCGTCTGCGGCAGCCCCTCCTTCCCAGCCCAGCGCCAGCCCACAGCTCCTTGTAGTTAAAGCGCATGGGGTCGGGCGGGCTCTGAAGTTTGCTGTAGCTAACGGTGTGTCCTCCAGGGTCCTTCCCATCCCCCTCCTCCCCTCTCTCCGCCTCTCCTCCTCCTCTTCCTCTCTCTCTGCGCAGCAACAGCATCCCAGGATTAGGGATGCTTTGGGACGCTGCAGCACCGACGGAGTGGGATAGCTGCCTCCCCCTGGGCACCAGCACGCTGGGGTTCAGCCAGCAAGGTCCAAGGATAGACTCACTTTCTGGTCACCACCCGGTGACCCGACTTCCCTAAGACCCCCAACAGCAGTAACCCTTCAGAGCTCAGGAACCAGGACCCCCCCTCCCCCGTTCTCAGTGGGGCTCCGCCAAGCCCATGCAAAAGGCAAAGATAACAAATGGGAGGGGGTAGGGGTGAGGGGTACTGGTACATTTGAGAGTCAAGAGCCTGGGTCCTGCCACCCTGCACTCCCCATTAATTCACCTGGTGACCTTGGGCTGGGTCCTCTCTGCCCCATAGCTTGGGGATGAGGTGAGAGCCGCGGGGAGTGGGGTGACTCACTCTCCATCTGTAAGCCCTCGCTTCCCCGCAGGAAGGGACAGGCAAGCTTGTGCACAATCGAAGGAGGCAGAGGGCAGGGCAGGCTGCCTCAGCGGGGGGCTCCTCCACATCTACCATGACACCCCAAGGCCATCCAGACAGGCAGCGGGACAGCTACAGGGCCCCTCGAGTGAGGCGGGGGTCCCAATCGCCACCCTTCCTCCTTTCTAAATAAAGCGAGACTCTGTCCGGACCCCCAGGACCACAGAGAAGGATTCCTCTTCTCAGGACTGGGAGTCTGGGGAGGAAGCAGGCGCTCTCTAGGAGGTTACCGGGAAAACTCTTGGGGTGACTGGCCAGAGGTCAGACATGCTCCCCCAGAGTGATCCAGTGGGGAAGGGCGGGTGAGTATAGAGCGTTTCTAAGGCTCCTCAACCCCCACTAGCTTCAAACCACTCATGTAGGATCGAAGCTTCTCCCCGCCAGTCTTGCGGAGGCCCCTCAGCAGCCCTGAACCAGGGTTTTCCCCGGAGTTTCAAAGTTTCTGGGAGCCCCGCCGCCAGCGACCGCTCCCCGTTTCCATAAACCCCAGGGCGGAGGCGGGGGGACCGCATCAGCGGGGTCAAGCTCTCGCCCCCCACCCAGGCGGGTCTCGGCCCGGATTCTGGACCCCTCGCCCCGCCGCTTGCCCAGTGAGACCCCAGGGGCGCATCACGCTGTTGCCGGAAGGCCCCGCCCGGGCGCGCCCCGAAGCCGCCGGGCCGGGCAGGCCGGGCGCTCACCGGTACCAGGCGAGGCCGCGCTCGTAGCACCTGTCGAAGAAGTGGGGCTCAGAGCCGAGCGCGCGGACGTCGGGGTGCAGCCGCAGGAACTCCAGCAGCGCGCGCGTGCCGCCCTTCTTCACGCCCACTATGAGCGCCTGCGGGAAACGCCGGCGTCCCGGGCCGCCGGCCACGCGCGGGCCTGGCGCCCCCCGGCTGCCGACGGCGCGGAGCGGCTCAGCGGGCGCGGGGCCCGGCACCCGAGCGCGGGCGGCCGGCGGGCAGCGGCCCGGGAGGGCGCAGAGGCAGTAGGCGCCGAGCACCAGCGCGGCGAGGAGCAGCGGCGCCCGCGGCGCCCGCGGCCCGGCCCCCGGCCCGGCCCCCGCGCCCTGGGCTCCCCCGGCCCCGCCGCCCAGGCCGCCGCTACCTGCCATAGGGCTGGGCCGCGCCCAAGCGGTGGAACGCGGGCTGCAGCGGGGAGCGCATCCCGGCCCGCGCCGCGCTCCGCCAGCCCGCGCCCGGCTTCGTCTCCGCGCACCGCCACCCGGCGGGCTGGGAACGGGCGGGGCGGGGCGGAGGCCCCGCCCACTCGCGAGGCCCCGCCCCTCCTGCGGCCCCGCCCCCGGGCCACGGCCCCGCCCCCGGGACTCGCAGGCGCGGAGGGGGCTGAGGCGCGACCCGGGGCCCCAGCCGTGACCCCAGCCGTGACCCCGACGCGCCCGCTTGGAGACCTGGGCTCCAGCCTGCACGGTTCCAGGGTCGTCACCACTGCCCGCCTGGATGCTGCGGAGACGGGTCGGGTCTCAGGGCGGCGACAGGACTGAGATGAAGACCCCGGGACCGGCTCTTCGAAGGCGGATTCCCGCCCCCCTCGGACAAGGGGGCGGCAGCAGGTGCGCAGCTGAGCGTGGACCCAGGCCCTGCTGCTCCCACGGTCCCCCGAAATGTTGAGGGAAGTCTGAGAGGAGAACGGGGCGCGCTTTGCCGACAGGTGGCTTGCCATTCATCGGGTGCCATCCCCGGCGGCTGGAGAGGGCTGACAAGTCCGATTACCATCAAAGTCCTGGGAGGCAGGCTCCGGAACGACAGGCGTCTGTCCCAAGGCTCCGCTCACTGTCCCCTGACCCTTTCTACCCGGTCACGCCAACTGTCTGCGCAGCCCAGACCACCTGGCGTTGCCCTGGGACGCCAGGGACCCACCTCTGATGCTGGAGACGTGGCTCCTGTATTTGATGAGAAGATTCTGGAGAGGTGGGCTGGGGGACTGGAAGGAGGAGCCCGGGTTCCATCCTAGGAGCTCCTGCGGAGGCGCTGGGATTCGGGGGCCAGGGGCCACTCATGGGCCGTGCCGGGCGCTGGAGAGTCTGGGAAGTTCACGCAGCCCTTGTTCACCCAACCCCCAACACAGCACAAGGAAAGCAGAGAAGGAAAGACGGCTCAGTGAGCAAGTCGCAGGCAGATGGGGAATTGGACCAGTGTCCTCTCTACACCTGTGCCCAGGACTTCCTCACGGAAGGTTGGCGCCCCATGGGCATGGGCTCCTGGGAGAGGCCGGCCTCCGGCTAGCTGCTCAGACGCCGCTGCCCTGGGTGCTGCTTGTTCCTGAGACTAATGGCATCTGGACAAGTCCCAGAAACCCCGGGCACCTCCAAAAGACAGGGGTCTCCGTGACCCCCAAGTATTTCCAGGTCTCTCACCTAGAGGCAGCCCAGAACCGAGGGGGCTCTGCAGAGCCAGTGGCATGAAGACCACCGATCCGGGGCCCAGCCCGGATCCCAGACACCAGGCCTACACTGCCTGCCAGGGCCTCAGCCAGGACCCCTGCAGGCGGGCGGCTGGCACAGTACTGTCTGGGGTGCCTGTTGGTACACACAGGGTCACGGGAAGTTCTTTTTCTGGTCTAGCTACAAAGTTCTTCAGTGTGTTCCAGACAGACTGGTTCCCCTGAGAGCTGTCCTGGGTGGGGCCCTGCTCTACCTGCAGCACCCACCCCCGGACTCAGCAGACCCCTCTCAGGGCTCCGATTTCCAGCATGAAGCGCTGGTGGCCCCTCTGTCTCCCGGGCCTGGCACAGGGAGAGTGGCTTCCTCCTCCGGCCTCTGCTCATGCTGCCTCCTACCGAGAAAGCCTTTTCCTCACACCCCCCCAGCCCCCTATACACACACACCTGCGCAAGGATTTTCTGGAAAAGCAGGACACACATGCTGGAGGCTGGGGAATGGGGTCCGGGGACAAGGATAGTTTCCTAGCGGATCCCCTCCCTCCAGCCACCATCCGTCACGGGAGAGGTAGGGGCAAATCTGGGGACACCCAAGAAGGCAGCCTTGGGACATTTGCTCACCAGTGCGTCCCTAGCACCTAACAGAAACTGGCATCAAATAGACACTTGACAACGGCCAGCCAGTGGAAGGATGTGCATGGAGGGAGAGGTCAAGGAAGGCTTTCTGGAGGAGGTGACCGTCGGGCAAGATTCCTCACACACAGGGCTGCCACCCCCTCCTTCCCGGGATGTCTGAGTGGCTCCGCCTATCTGCCTCCGCCCTACCTTGCCATCAGGGACCAGCCCCGGCTCCCACTGGCTCCTTCCTGTGTGATCTGGAGACAGTGGATCCCCCTCTCTGAGCCACATGGTAGGAAGTGAGCAGAAAGAAACCAGGCCTTGGGAGCAGGGGTCCGGTAGCTGTCCCTGCACCCTGAGAGGGTCGCCCGCCTGCTGCCCTGCCAGTCTCACCTCCGCTGCCCGGAGAAATGTACCAGCAAGCTTCTCTGCCCAACGGATCTCCCAGGGGCGTCTCTTGGCTCTCAGGCTCCAACATGGCTCAGTCTGGAGCCGCTGCCCAGGCAGGACAGCCAGGCAGAGACCCGCCCGTCCATCCGCCTCAGGCCAACCGTCAGACGTCGAGGTAGCCCGGCCTGACGTGCCAGCTGGCAGGCAGGAGCGAGAACTGGGAAAGGCTGCAGCCTGATGGAGCAAGTAAACACCGTCCCTGGAGGAGGTGACAGCGAAGGCCAGAGCCGAGGGGGACACAGGGCAAGTCTCGGAAAGGAGGCCTGGGGCGCAAGGTCACGGCAGGAGGAAGGCCCAGCCTGGCCTCACAGACCCATGACTCAGCTGCATCTGAGTCCCCTCCACAGGCTGTAATTACCCCCTTTGTGGGTGATTTTGATCCCCATCTGTCTCCAGCTACCCCCGAGCCCGGCAAGGGCAAGGATCGGGTCAGTCTTGACCACGGCGAGCGCTCACGAATGTTTGTTGAGTGACTGAGTGGACTGGCTGTGTGTGTGAGAGAGTGCGAGTGACAAGAGTCTGTGTGTGCACCCCGCCCCCGCACAGACGGTCCCCTCCCTGGGGTGGGCACCCCCAGCGTGGGCCCCCACAAGCAGCAAGGCGGGTGCGTCAGCAGCTGCCCACTCTGGAGAGTGATTACTAACATCATGCGGTCCCTCCCTCCACGGGGGACAGCTGGGTGGGGGGGCTTCCAGGAGCTCCCTTCCCTAGAACCACACCCTTGCCCCTCACCCCGCTTCCGCAGTCTGCTGGGGTCCTGGAGCCTCCAAGGGGGGCCGAGGGGAGGGGCTGCGGGCGAGGGCAGGCCCAGCTGTCCTTGATTTGTGTGGGGTTTTTCCACTTCGGATGCCGGATTCGCCGGAGCACAGAGGATGCGGTTTTCTCCTGGAGAGGGACCCCTGAGAGATGTCCACGCACCTACCCCACCCACCCCCGGCCCCCACTGTTGCCAGTTCACCCTGGTAGGGAGCAACGAGGTGGGCCAGGAGCACATGGCTGGCGGTGGGGGCACGCGACACAGCACCGTGCTGGCAGCAAGGACTTCTCAGTGCTGGAGGCTGATGCGAGCCCAGCTCTGCACCCTCTCAGCAGGTGACCTTGGCAGGTAAGGTGTCAAGTCTCTCTGAACCTCACTTCCCTGCTTTATTGAACAAAGCTGACACTAGCCCCCATGCCTCTGCGTGTCTAGCGCCTACTCTCTTTATGACAAGGAGGCAGTGGGCATGTGACAGTGTAACCCATAATTCATCGTCCTTGGAGAAGAGACCGGAGAGGAGACTTTGCTGGGGCCTGGCTGGCCAGAACCCAGGGCCTTGTTCCTGGTGACCAGCTCTGCCTGGGGACAATGCGGTACAGAAGGGTTTGCCAGGGCAGACAGGGTTCCCGGGGTCAGGAGGGATGCATGTAAAGGCTCCCTCGACCAGGAGTTTCTCTGTCTCTGTGCCCTTAACCTGCTTGAGAATCTCTGTCTCCATTTCACTCTGCCCCTCCTCTGCTTGTGTGCGCGCTCTCTCTCTCAAAATAAATAAATAAGCATTAAAAGAAACAAGACTGTCTCTGCCCCCACCCCATCCCCACCTCCTCCAGCTCCACAGCCCTGAGCCAGGCCTCAGACATAGAAGCCCCCAGCACCATGGGGAAGGCCGGGCAACATCTAATGGCTCCACATGAGGGCCCTGTGCCCTGGCAAGGGCCCCGTGGACACAAAGGTGACTGTGAGCACGTTCCATTAGCAGCCAAGAATCTGACGCAGGCTAAGGAGCCCCATGCTCTGCAGAGGGCACAGGACCCTGTGTGCTTGTGTGTGTGTGTGTGTGTGTGTGTGTGTGTGTGTGCGCGCGCGCGCACACGCGTCCACATGGTGGCGGTGTTCAGAGGCTCGCCCACCGCTTCCCAGCCTGCGTCTCCCCACACACAGTGATCTACCCCCGGAAGCAAGTCCAGCCTGGCCAGTGGACAGGACACCCAGAGATGGCCGCCCTCCATCCCCCCTCATTTCCAGGGGAAGCACCCCATCACCACCGTTAGACAGACAGCCATGCCACCAGTCTTGCTGCACTTGGCCTTCAAGAAAGAGCCAGAACCCAGATGCCAGGGCAGAGGATCTTGGGGCCGGTGCCTCCGACTCCTCCCCTTCCCATCAGCCCCCTCCCTAAGCTGCAGGCTTCCTGCAGGACCTGGAAAATTGACACCCCCCCCCCCAGACAAAGTGACTCTGCCCTTGTCACCTATACCGGCCCTTGCTGTCTCCCTCTGACTCCGGCTTCCCTGCCCTCCCCCCACTTCCAGACACACACCAGGGGTGCCTGGCTCAGAGATGGGGGCCCAGCAAAAATCCTCTAGACTAAGGGAACAAGAAGGCACTGGAGACAGAGGTGGGGGAGGGGAGGGGACAGTCCTGGGCAGCAGGCAGACTGCACAGCGGGGGTGCAGGGCACTGAGGGCCCCGGCTCCGCTCCGTTCCCCCCGAAATGCAGCTGCCAAGCCCTTTGAAGCCAAGAGTAGCTTGTAAATGTCCTGGTTGGAGATGAAACATGATAAGAGTTGAAGCCAGGGCCTGAAGCAGGGAGAATCTCTGCCTGCAGACAGGCCCGGGGGGCGGTGAGGGGCAGGGGTGGAGGGAGCCTGTCTGCAGGTAACCCTTGGTACTTCCCCCCCCACCCACCCACCCCTGTCAGCCACAGGAAGCCCACCTGCTGTCTTCTCTGTGCTTCCTGCCCCTAAGCTCTGGTGAGCAGGACCCCAGGGCCGGGGTAAGGTGGTAGGTGGTCCCGGGGTCCCTGCACCTCCCAGACCACAGACACACTCACACAGGTGTGGCTCGGCTCACTCATCCCTGCAGAGTGCGTGGGCAGAGGGCACTGCATTCTGTGTACACTCCCCGGCCCCTGAGGCTCAGCGTGGGGGAAGGGAATGAGACGAGGGCTCTGTGCACACTGACTGAAGGAGCTCTTTGACCTGGGGTGAGCTGAGACCTGCAAAGGGAACCGCAGGGACCCCATCTGTCCACACATAGAGGAGACCGGCCCAGGGTCCCCCGCAGTGCGGGAGAAGGAGGGAGCCACTGGGGCAGAGCCACCAGCAGAGGCTTCTAGAAGGATTCTGGCACATGGGGAGGGGATGAAAAAGAAGGAACGGCAAAATGTAGAAGGTGGAAGCAGGCGCATGTTTCAGAACGGAGTCTGGCTGGCCCAGAGGCCCAGGCGCGGGGGTCTGTGTGCAGGGGGGTGGCCAACAGAAGCCCCGAGCTGTGGTGAAGACCACTGTTCTCGTTAACGGACTGGAAATGTGGCTGCAGACACGGGGTCTGCGGGAACCACCGAGGGGAGCGTCTGGTCTATTCTTTTGCAAAGATCACACGGGCTGGGGGAGGCTAGCTAGGGGCTGCCACAGGGAGGAGAGAAGCGGGCACAGACGTGTGGGCGGTTGGACCGGAGCCTGGTGCCCCCGGCGGGCCGCGATGGCAGCAGGAGCTGCCGGAGGACGCGGAAGGGCGGCGGGCAGAGGGGGCAGGGGCCCTGGGGCAGGTGGGTCCTGCGCGGCCGCCCCGGAGAAGAGGCGGGAAGCAACTGGTCACTTCCGTGAAGCCCACCAATGGGGCCCCTACACCACCGGCCCCCGCACTGTCCGACGCCAGAAGGCCTCAGCCTGTGTCCCAGGTACGAGCGGGCCGGGGTACGCCGGCGATGACCACTAAGCGCCGCTGGGTCGCGGGGTCCCTGGAGAGGCCTGGATCAGCCCTCGCCGTCTGAGATGCCGCTGCTGCGGCCCCTGGCGGCGCTTCGGGGAACTGCAGGGCCTCTGAGACCCGCGCTGGCGCATGCGCAGCGCGGAGCGAGCCCGCCCCCTGCCGGTGGGTGCCGCACACAGTCCCTGCGCCGCTACCTGGTGGACTCCGAAGGGCCTCCTCGCGTTGGGTCCGCCACCAGGACCTCGTAGGAGGGTGGGGACACGGACGCTGGCTCGGCGGTGACCTCCACCGTCCTCTCTGGGCGCCCCTCCCACTTGTCTGCCCAGCCCACATTCACGCACGAAGCCAGAGGGTTCCTGGGACCTATGCAATCGGCCGCACCCCCATCGAGGTCACGGCTCTCCCTGGCACTCGTCACTCAGATAAAAACGAGAGCCGTGAGTGAGCACAAGTCCCAGGCACGGTCGGTTCGCTCACGCGCTCTGCCAGCGTCTCCTGAGCAGGCGGTCAGCGGGATCCCCGACGCGCATCTACTTTCTCCCTTGCCCGGGGGGCCCGCGCACCTGCCTGCGTCGGCAGAGCATCAGGAGCCATCTGCCCCTGAGCAGAACACTTGGCTGCAAGGCTGTGCCCTGGAGGTTCCGCTTGGCAAGGGAGGGGGCCCTGGAGGGGGAGGGAGGGAGGGAGGGAGGCGGCAGGCCAAAGGTGATGGCGTAACCCAGCAAGAGGAAGGAGGTGGGGAGATTTGTGTTTCCGCATGAGACAACGCACTCCCACCCGCCCCGCCCCTGCTGGACAGGCCCTGCCCGGAGCCATCCATTTCCAGGCTCCCGATGAAACGGGACCTTGGGGTTTGGAGACCCACCCTTCTCCCTCCACCCCTCTGAGAACCCTGCTTCCAGCCCTTCCTGCCCCCAGTGAACCCGACGGGGGCCCGTGGAGGGCAGGCAGTCAGGCGCTGGCTCTCACAGCATCCCTTCCAGCCTCTCCAGCACCAGCCCAAGGCACCAGCAGGTCCTTCAGCCTACCCAGCCAGAGATCTGGCCCCGGAGGGTCAGCCCCAGGGGCATGTCCTGGACACATCCGCCCAATTTGCAGGAGGCCAGCCTGTTCTTGAGCCAAGTTTACTCAGGGACATGCTGAGCCAGGGGTGCTGGGAGAGGTAAGCAAAGCCCAAGGTCCATCCTAGCCCTGGGCCTGGAGACTCCCACTGACCACTCAGCTGGCTGCCTCCCCTGCTGGGCACGTTCAACATGCTTGCTGCCTTCAGACTGTGCTCAAAAGGTGGTCACCACCTTCCCACAGCCACCGTTCCTTGTATGGGGCATAGAAGAGGGGAAAGGGACGAGTGTGGACAGAGAGAGCCTGAGGCCTTCCGCCTGAGCCCCCTGTCCCCGCCTTGCCCACCAGGGTTAGGGTAGAGACTCAGGGTGATGTTGCCTATAGAAACACTAAGCATTCAGTCACTGCTCACCTGCAGTGAGCTTGCCCTTGGCCAAGACTGGCTGCTAGTCCCAGAGTGTGCAGGTCACAGGCTGTGCTGCTGCTGATTCCAGGTGACAGGGAGAGCCCCAACTAGGGACACAGAGGGGTCCACGCAGGGAGAAGGCTGGCAGAGCCAGGACTGGAATCGTAGGGTGAAGGGCACACCCTGCCCAAGCTCTGCCCAAGGTCACACAGTGAGCCAGCAGCACCTGCACAGGCCAGTGACCCCCTTCCCCAACAGAACAGGGACCCCTAGCCTGAGGCTGGGGATCAAGGAAGAGGTGGAGTCCCATTCTCAGGGAATGAGCAGACCAGCAGTGTCACTGGCCTTCCTTCCTGCCCTCCCCCGCCACCATCCCAACCTCATCCCTCGCCAGCCACCTTTGCCCTCACGCCTGCAGCTCCAATCCTCGCAACGTGGGGATGCTCCCAGCTGCTGAGTACGTCCTCCAATTACACTTGGGACTGGGGGATAGCCAGAGGGTGGGTTGGGGGCCTTACGGGGCCCACCGGGAGACAGGCCTGAGCTGGAAGTCTAGGACCACCAGCCTCCATATGTCCTCCTCTGACGGCATTTGTGTCCCCTGGGTTGGTGTCCGTCTAGAGCCAGTGACAGAGTGAATCATGACCAGAGTGAATCCTGTAGTGACCACCCCAGAACGCCTGATTACTTCCTCTTCTCCGGTGTACAGCCACCCTGGTGTGGGTCTCTTTGGGGAAGGCTGGGAGACAGAGTAACAATATCAACTCTTGGTGATACAGCAGGGTCCTTCCTCAAGGGACCCCAGCCTCTGGTCCAGTCAAGCAGCTGTGGGTCTGTAAACAGGCGCAAGTCTGGGGAACTGACGGAGGCGTCAGGATTCTGCTTTCACCATTCAAGTTAGACTCTTGCTCACTCGGCCTAGAACTCTTCTGCTCATTCCGCTTGGTAAGAATTCCGTAGGTGTCCCGTCTATTTCACTTCTGGGGGCGCCATGACCAGCTGGCGGACGCCAGAGCTCTGTGCGCGTCGGCCAGTCCTAGCTGCTTTGACTCTGTTTTGGGCCTGTCCCCTCCTAGCCTCTGGCTACTGTGTGCTGCCACGTGAGCCCTGTGCCTCAGGATCCAGGGACCCCGCTGCGTTTAGTCCGGTGGCAGCGTTCCGTGTAATTCCCGGCCTCCAGAGAAGCTGCAGGGGCTTCCCTCGCAAACACATTCCTCACAATCATGGTGAAAGTCGTCCTCGGACCCCGACGTGGCTGCTGAGCGGGTCTATCAAATCTGACACTCCCTTCTCCCTAAGCTCTGGGATCCCTTCCTCCATTAGAGCAAGGCAGGCCAGCATTCCACACGCACTCGGGGGTGGGGGTGGGGGGCACCTCTTGGTCTATGTCTCAGCCAACCAGGCCACCAAATGGTTCAATAGCCTTCTGATTCCCTGAGCAGCACCGTTAAACCCAGAATCTCTGCTTAGTGAGGCCCTATTGAAACACTCAGCCTGATTCAACTTTACTTCCTTTCACTGTGATCCCGCCCCCTAATGCCCAGCCCCCAATCACCCTCCACACAACTGAGCGTCCTTACTCTGGGGTACATATGCACAGCCCTGATCATCATCTGATGAACTTCCTATCTCCCCAAACACACGGGAAGGCCCTGAAGGAGCCCCGTCCGTCCATCTGTCCGTCTGTCTGTCTTACCACTGCCTCCGCAGCAGCAGGCGGCACTTGCTCCATAAATATTTGTGGAACAAGTGGAACGATGTGTCCTGGTGTCCCTGGTGTGAATAAAGACAGCCAGCCTCGGGGCGCCTGGGTGGCTTAGTCGGTTAAGCGTCCGACTTTCGCTTAGGTCATGATCTCGCGGTTCGTGGGTTCGAGCCCCGCATCGGGCTCTGTGCTGACTGCCAGCTCAGAGCCTGGAGCCTGTTTCAGAGTCTGTGACTCCCTCTCTCTCTCTGACCCTCCCCTGCTCACGCTGTCTCTCTCTCTCCTAGAAATAAATAAAAAAAACATAAAAAAAAAAAAAAAAAAAAGACAGCCAGCCTGTATTCCGTTTGTTTACTGACCCCCCCGGGTACTCAGGAGAGGAATCAAGATGGGAGTGGCTTGGGCACCACCCACCTTTCCAGACAGGGAAGGCTTCAGAGTGTGTACAAGAAGGCACGCTGCTCCCGGGGAAGGTGTGGGCTGTGGGCTGTGAACTTCCGGGCCCTGGCCTTGCACAACCAAGGTGATGGAGCAACAGCCTCTTTCCTAAGCCCAGGTGAGGTGCGGTTGTGAAACCCGGCTCAGGATCTCTCCTCTGAGAACTGAGAGACCAGAAATCTGGCCCCTGGTCTGCTGCTCCAGTGGTCACAGGTCATCACCACTCCGGCTGCCTGGAAGGCTTTGGCCAGAGTGAATCATGTAGTGACCAGGGCCGGAGCAGCCGGCCAGGGCTGCCTCCCTCCGCACTCTGTCTCGTAGCCCATCCTGGGGGAGATGGGCGCGAGCTTTGGCGGGGGCCAGAGCCGGGCTCAGAATCGGGTCCCCCAAGGGCGAGTCCAGACAGGGAGGGGGCAGCGGGCTGAGGAGAAGAGAAGGTGGGGGTGTACCGTCATTCAGAGACAAGCTAGGCTTACAGCCCACCTCCCTGAGACTCCCATACGAGCAAGAGGCCAAGGTAAGCCCACAGGGGGCCCCAGAGGGCACCAGGGTGTGGGCTATGGCTGCAGAGCAGTGCTTTTCCCCAGGAGAACCTGTGCAGAGCCGAGACTTCCTGATGCTTCAGCTAGCCCCCTCCCCTGTCTGAGTGTCTGGGGTTCCAGTTCCGAGGTAGGCTGGCTGGGGTGTGGCTACAGCGCAGTGTCCGGCTAGTATAAGTGTGTGCTGCCCGCCTACGGCTCCTGAGAGGCAGAAGTTCCTTTGCCTAAAAGAAAGGAGGGAAGGGAGAGAAAGACAAACCACTGCTGAATTATGCTGCAGACACCATTCCCCGAGCGAGCCACCCCTGCTCCAGCCTGCAGAACAGGGCGGCTGAGGGGCGCCTGGGTGGCTTAGTCGGTTAAGCGTCCGACTTTCGCTTGGGTCATGATCTCACGGTTCGTGGGTTCGAGCCCCGCGTCGGGCTCTGTGCTGACTGCCAGTTCAGAGCCTGGAGCCTATTTCAGTCTGTGACTCCCTCTCTCTCTGACCCTCCCCTGCTCACACTGTCTCTCTCTCTCTCTCCTAAAAATAAATAAAAAATATTTAAAAAAAAAAAAAAAAAGAACAGGGCGGCTGGGAGGAGCTGGGTGCCTGGCTTGGGGGGAGCCTGTGTGCCTCATTTTGTTCCCCGAGATTTCCAGGAGAGCCCGGTCTCTCCTTCCCCCACAGCACAAAGCTCAGTAACCACAACGTCACACCTTCCCGTCACTGGCCCTTCAGACCCTCCTCTCACTTACCCTCACTCCCCCAGGGCCGGTAGCGAGCATGTGCCGTTAGCAAGCCCATTTTACAGAGGACCAAACTGAGATTGCGGACTGGCCACGGTCCTGCTGGCGGCAAGTAGGGAGCTGGGATTTGAGCTACCAAGTGTGGGCAGGAGTCCAGGGGCGGGGTGGGGGGCCGCTGTGCAGACACATGTGCTGATGTGTGAGAACCGGCGCGAGCAGGAGGGCACAGGGCCAGAGGGAACGCTGCGCTCAGATAAAACCCAGATAAAAGCTGCCCAAGCAAACCCCCGGCACCGGAGCCCTGCCCCCAAGAGCTGGGCCACTCTGCTTTTACGTTTCACGTACATTATGTGTGTGTTATCTACGTGAGTAAGGTAATGGCTTTGATCATAAGCGAGAATCCTCTGGACTTCTGTCAGTTACTGAAAACAGGTACTGATTCACAAGGCCTTTCCTAACAAGGAAGTGGCACAAGGCGAACTTCCGGGAACGGGGAGGCACTCCTCGCTGCCCACGAAAGGTTTCGCGCACGAAAGGTTCTGGCTCACGCAAGGTTTCGCAGGGACACTCTACCTTCAGAGGGCAGAGAAACCTCAAATAAGAATACTCCCGGGGGCGGCTCAGTCGGTTAAGTGTCCAACTTCAGATCGGGTCATGATCTTACAGTTTGCGAGTTCGAGCCCAACGTTGGGCTCTGGTGCTGACAGCTCAGAGCCTGGAGCTGCTTCAGATTCAGTGTCTCCCTCTCTCTGCCCCTCCCCCACTCATACTCTGTGTGTGCATGTCTTTCTCTCAAAAATAAGTAAATATTAAAAAAAAATACTGCCGGGGCACCTGGGTGGCTCAGTCGGTTAAGCGGCCGACTTCAGCTCAGGTCATGATCTCACAGTTCATGGGTTCAAGCCCCGCTTCGGGCTCTGTGCTGACAGCTAGCTCAGAGCCTAGAGCCTGCTTCCGATTCTGTGCCTCCCTCTCTCTCTGACCCTCCCCTGCTCACATGGTCTCTCTCTCTCTCAGAAATAAATAAAACATTAAAAAAAAGAAAAAGAAAAAAGAATGGCCAACAGGCACCCCACAAGAGCTCTCACGGGGTGCCAGGCGCGAGCCCATCACGTCATCGTGGCTGTCCTCAAACAGCCTGTGAGGGAGGCTCTGCAATCACACACACTATGCAGAGCAGCAGGCCAGCTCAGAGAGGCCGAGGAGCAAGCCCGTGGCCACACAGCCCAGCCCTCAGCGTCTGCCTGGCCCTGCCTCCTCGTCTAATCTCTGGGAAGGTCCAGGCCCCCACAGAGAGCCCTTGGCCACATCTACCCTCTAATGCCCCTGTTGGGGCACCCCGTGATCAGCCGGGACACCTGCCCCTTATCCTTGCCCTGCAGCCACCTTCTGGGGTGGCCCTGGGCAGCTCCTGGGCACTGCACTTTGGTGCCCCCATGCTTCGTCACTGAGTGGAGGAGAAGGGTATGTTCCCCACGCCCGGGCCTCTGAAATATTTGACAGGCCCGTGTCCAGCTCACCTTTCGGGATGAACTTCAGCGAGCTGCTAAATATTCAGAAGCGGGACTGCCCCGGCTTGGGGCCATCGTTCAAGAACTCATGTCCCAGCCCGTTGCCACACTTGCCACAGGACACCTGGAAAGACCACAGAACAGCCTCAGTGATGCCCCTGCCCCCGCCACCAGCAGAGATGGTGTCTTCCCCCACCCACTTCCCAAAGTAACTGTGGGCAGGAGAGGTCGGAGGGAGCCCACACGGGAAAGCAGGCCTGTCTCCCCGTCTCCATCAGGACCCCAGGACCCCAGGTGCTTCCAAAATAGACAGACTCTAAGTCCCGAGGGCTGGGGGGGACAGAGAAGGAGCAGCCGCCCTCAGGCTCTCCCTGGCCAATGCCCCATCCCACCCCCTGCGGCTGCTGCCACCCACCTTTAAGGCTTTAGGCAAATTGTGCTCAGGACGCTTGGCCACGCTATCAGCATGAATGGTCTCAGTGAAGGCCGGCCACGGGGACGAGTGTGCGTACTTCGAGAGGCTGGAGAAGAGCTCGTAGCCGCATTTGGCACACACATAGACCCCTGGGGGCAGAAGGAAAGACAAAGGCAGGCATGTTGGCTCGATCCTCTCTGGGGTGAGCTCCCAAATCTTTGGGTCTAGGAGAACCGCCGTCTGGAGGGTGGGCTGCACAGCCTCCCCGCGCCCCCACCTGCCACTCCCAGGAACACACCCCTGAGCTCACATTCAGTGGTTTTCAGCATGTGCTAAGAGCCACTTTTCACACTTATCTCACTGAATCTTATCCACAGTCCTGTGATGCAGACCTTTCCAGTTTAGCTTAGTTGTGTGGTTGGTTGTTTTCAAGTAGGCTCCATGCCCAACATGGGGCTTGAACTCCCGACCCTGAGATAAGTAGTCACATGCTCCACCAACTGAGCCAGCAAGGAGCCCCTTTTGCAGTTTTGTTTTTTAAGAGAACCTTTCCATTTGAGACATGAGGTGGCTGAGTGATGGAAAACACTCGGCTCCAGGGCGCGCAGTCAGGAAGGAGCCCAGGTGTGCGATGAGAACACAGCACTCTGACCCCAGCAGGCCCCGGCCTGCCTCCCTTCCCAAGCGGCCATTCCTGATGCCCAGGGAGGCCTTGAGCTGGACACCCAACCACTGGTCTGCTCTCTGTGAGGGAAGAGAACGGTCCCAACAGAAAGGTCTCCAGGCCAGACAGGGGGCCCAGGAAGACAGAGGCCCAGGAAGAGAACAGGTTTTAACTCATCCCCAAAAGATCACTTTGAGGGCGGGGGGAAAGTTGCAAAACTGACTTGTGGAACAGGCAATTGCTTGGGGCCCCCCAAAGGGGTACCCCACACCCACTGCCCAGCCTGAGAACAGCCTCCCCCAGAGTCCACGAGCTACGCGGCCTTTGTCAACAGCTGGAGAAGGAGGCCAAGGGGGATGCTGAGGGGTTGCGGAAGTGGCGCTTCCTGCCTGGCGGAGCCCCCTAAGGACCAGTGGGGTCCCGTGGCCAGAGAGCCTCAGAGGGCTTTGCCCAGAGAGTCCTGTGTCACAGCTGACATCCATAGATGCCCAGTGTCACAGCTCAGCCCCCTGGAGGGCTGACACCCAGGAAGTGTGCTGCCCTAGTCTTGGTTGTGGGGCGGTTTTACCAAATTAGTCCATTACTAGGCAGCACAGCCCAGAAGAATGCACACCAGGGCCTCTCAGAGCCTGCGGCCTGGGCTGACAGTTGTCCATGTCCCAAACCACTACCTCCCCCACTCCAGCTATGTGGTCAAATTTCACTGGCACTTGGTTGCCCAGCGGCTCTCCTGGTTACCCAACCCCAGGGTCCTGGACAGACTGGGGAGGCACCCGGGTCGACACATGGGTCGGAAAGGTAACGCTCTGTGCTTGCCAGCTTACCCTGAGGGTCCCAGGAACTGGGAAGGGGAAAAGGCAGGGGTGTCACCAGGAGGATGCCCAGGGCAAGATCCTCCGTCGCATCCCTCTGAAGTCCAAATCCTAATCTGGATCCGCCCCCACCGGCGTCACCCCTTCCCTGTACCCGGACCCCACGGATTCCTCCCGAAAACAGCTGTGCTCACACACCCCTCGAGGTCAGCGACCCCCTCACTCTAACGTCCCCTTTCCCCTCAGGAACCCCTGCTTTCCAGGCTCCCCAGGCCCCCCGACTCCGTGCTCCCCTTTACACACAGGCGCTGCTCCCCGCGCGATCACACTCGCCCCTGGTGGAGCCCACCCTTCCTGGGGCTCCAGGGCTCCACCGCCGCCCGAGAGCAGCGACGCCCCCTTCACAGAACAGACCTGGCTCAAAGTGGTTCTGGAAAACCTCGCCCCCGAAGAAGCTGCAGAATGACATGGCGCCTGAGGGGCCGCGGGACGACCGCTTCCTCCGACAGATCCCAGGCCACTGGCCGACCGCCGCCTGGCCTGCGCCCGGGCCCCGCCCCTCCTCCCGAGTCCAATCACTGCCCGGATCCGGACTGAGGCCCCGCCCCCTGCAGAGGGCCAATCACGATCCGTCACTGAGGTCCCGCCCCTCCCGCGGACCAATCTCTCCTGGGACGAGGACCTGCCCTCCGCCGTTTCCTCACAGGTCCCGCCCCCGGACTACTCCTAGGAACCGTCCGGTGCGGCGTCCCGGACGCCCGCCCTCTGCAGCCCCGCCCGAGCGCCAGGGGGCGCCGCTGAGCTGCGCTGGCTTGGAACAGCGCCTCGCCGCCGGGGTCCTGCCCGGGCCACTCGCCGCCCCCTCCCTTTCCGCGCTCCCGACTCTGAGACACCGTGGGAAGAGTCGCCTCGCACTTTATTAGACAGAGGGGGCAGGCGGGGGTCGCGCCGCGCTTCCTTCAGGATCCCTCCATCCCAAGCCGCCTATAGGTCTCTCGAGCTCTCGGACTTTTCCTTCTCAAGATGCTTCTTCTGGGGACCCTGGTTGGGGGTTGAGGGGACAGGAGCGGTCTAGCCGGGACACCTGCCCCTGGCCAGCCGCTGCTCTGCTTTCCCGCGCCAGCCACTGCCTGGGATGAATCACCTCCTGCGGATGAATGCAGGGGGCGCCCAGCCACCCTCACCTGCTCCAGCTAACCCAACTCTGGCGCGAGAGGGGTGTGGGGTCTGGGCCCCAGGGACAACGGGTGGGTGGGCTCACCATGAACACCCTCTTCTCTTGGGCTGTCTGGAAGCGGCCATGGCCAAACTTGGAAGTGGTGTCGATGAACTTGAGTTCAATGTTCTCCAGGCCCTGGCGGCTGTGGTGCACCAGGAGGGACTGGGAGAAGAGAGTGAGATGCGGGGTCCTGGCCCACCGGCTCCCGCCACCCCAGGCCACCCGGCAGGTCTCGCTCAGCTCCCGCCAGAACCCCTCCCTTTTTGCTGGTCTCGTTCCCACCCTCCTCAGAGCGCGGTGGAGGACAGGGCAGGCCAGTCCCCCGACCCTCCCACCACAGAGGCGCTGACCTTCCTCAGTGTGATGACCCGCTTCTTGGTGCCCGCGATGCAACCCTTCAGCATAACGAAGTCGTTGTTGACGTCCCCGTAGTGGGGGAAGCCTCCCTGCGGGGAGGTGGGTCAGGGCGCAGGCTCAGAAAGGGGCTGCAGGGTTAGAAGTAGCCGCAAGGCCCGCGAGAGCTCCCCACGCATGAGCTGGAGCCAGCCCTTGGCCTAGGCAGCACCTGAGCCACATTCCAAGTCCTTATCTCTTTGAACACTGCATCTGAGGGAGACACTGAGGCTTGGAGAAGCGGAATCACTTGTTCAGGCCTTGCAGCCGCTGCAGAGTGCAGCCGGGACTTGAAGCCAGGTGGCTCGAGTCCAAGGCCACGGCTGGAACTGCCATGCTCCACACCCCATGACAGCAATTGGAGTGTAAGCTGTGTGCAGAGAGGGCTCAGGTGATGCAGGGACAGCAGGGGTTTGCCCCACCCAGGCGGCTGCTCCCTGGTGCCTGAGCCCTTGGGGCAGGGCGGTACCCCACACCCGCCCCACACACGCACGCCAGACCCCTCACCAGTGGCGTGATGGACTTGTCGGTCATGTCGTAGCTGGTGGATGCATTGTTCTTGACCACCTTCCCATCCTCCATATGCACCCCGCGGCCGATGCGGTAGATCTGCGGGGAGAACAGGGCACATTGCAGCCAGCAGGTGGCAGTCTATGCCCATCAGCATGTGTGCTCCTACCCAGGCACTGGCAGGGGCATTTCAGAGCCTTTGGGGGGCCAGGCACCGTCTGGGTCAGGCACCCTACCCGCTGGGGTCTGGTCATGAGTGTCCCTCTACCCCCAGGACTGTGGACGCACCTTCTTGTTCAGCTCCGTGCGGTGGTGGTAACCCTTCTGCCCGGCCCGAGCAATGGAGCAGCCCACGCGGGCAGGGTGCCAGGCGCCAATGCAGGCCACCTTGCGCAGCCCTTTGTGGGTCTTCCGCGGCAGCTTCTTGGTATGCCAGCGGCTCGTGACCCCTGCAGGGGGTGGGGGCGGGCTAGCGGCTTAGAGGCCAGTCTGGCCGCCACCCCTCCAGCCAGCCTTCCCAGCACCCTGTCCCCACCTGGCCCTACCTTTGACACCCCGGCCCTTGGTAACAGCAATGACATCAATGACCTCGTTCTGGCTGAACACACTGTGCACCGGCACCTGCTTCTCCAGCCGGGCCTGGGCCCAGGCCACCTTCTCAGCCACTGTGCCGCCATTCAGCTGGATCTCCATGATGTGGGCCTTCTTCTGCCGGAAAGGCAGCAGCTTCATCTGCAGGATCCAGAGGGCCGCACCCCCCGTTTGCAGACCTGGCACGACTGCCTGGTGACCCCCAGCAGGCTTTCGTGCGCACATGCATTCAACACATGTTCTACTGCTCTGGTGTGTTGATATGCTGTATTCTGTGCTGGGCACTAGGGAGGGCTGAATGTTCTGATGGAATATGGGGGGCAGCAGGGACAGTTACTGCACGTAAGGCAGCCAGGCAGGACCCCTCTGAGGGGACACCAATAACAAGAAGGAGCTACTGAGTGAAGATCTGAAAGTTTTGGGAACGGGGAGCCATCTGTGCAAAGGCCCTGTGGCAGGGACGATCCTGGGGAGTTGGTGGGCTGGAAAGGAGAGCAAGGTGACTAGACCGTGGTGAGCAAGGAGGAACATGGTGCAGGATGAAGTCAGAGGTGAGCTGGGCCCTGCCTGGGCAAGTCTCGTAGGGAGAAGCTCGGGCTTTGTTCTAAGTGCAGGCTGTGACACAATCTGGTTCATATTTTTAGACACCTCTGGCTGCTGCTGCGTGAGGCACGGGCTGCGGGGACACACAGGTAGAAGCAGGGACACAGGTCACAGCCTAGTGCTCCACAAGCACGTATGGAGCACCTACTGCATACAAGGCCCTCGGTGGGTGCTGGGAGGCACAGCACTGTGCAGGCGGCCGTGGCCCCCGCCCCCACGGAGCTCGTCTGTAAAGGGAAATGGACAAAACCAAAGACCCACGTAACCAGGAGGAGCAGGTGCGGCAGTAACTGAGGCAAGGGGACAGGGGGCGCTGCTCCAGGCCTACGCAAGCCTCCCCTACGGACAAGACGCCGAAGAAGCTGGAAGATGCTAGTAACCTGTCAGCCCACATCAAGCCAGACCCCGTGTCTGGATGTGGACTCACATACACGCTCGTGTCAGGGCCCGAAGGGAGGCGGCTGGCCCTCCACACTGGACATTTGGCAGGAGATCCGGGCCTTTGGGGGCATGTCAGGGCCTCAGCTGACCACTCGGCTCGGCGGATGCCCCAGAGCCCGCAGAGCAGCCTGATGCCAGCATCCCATCCCGGGGGCTGCAGGCACAGCACAGCCAGTCACCCAACCCTTTGGACCTGTGCCCTGGGCTCGTGTATTTTTAGGCTGACATTTGCCAGGACTCCTGGAAGCTGGCGCGGGGGAGGGTGGGCCCACCGGGTGTGCACAAGGCGGCAGGGCTGACCTGGGTGTGGACAATGACACGGATGACCTTGCAGTACTTCTTCATGGCGGCGAAGTCCTTCTGCAGCTGCTTCCTGCCCTCGGCGTCCCGCCACCTCTTGCAGGCCTTGGTGAATGCTTTCTTCTTGCTCTTGTGCCTGAGCCACACACGGGAGACCCTTAGGGGGGCAGCCGGGCAGCTCCACGGGCCTGGCCAGCCCCCGCGTGCCCACAGCCCACCAAACAGGGCTCCTAGGGCAGCAGATGTCCCCTCCTGCCTCCTTCCCTCCCCAGGGAGACCACGGCTGGGCCATCCCCTGGGGCCCCTGGGCTGCTTCCAGCCACCTTCTTTCTGGATGGAAAGGAAGGAAGGAAGGAAGGAAGGAAGGGAGGGAGGGAGGGAGGGAGGAAGGGAGGGAGGAAGGAAGGGAGGAAGGAAGGGAGGAAGGAAGGGAGGTCTGGGCTCCTGCTCTGTAGAGCGGACATGCTCCTGCCTCCTGAGGCCTGCGGGGGAGTGTCAGTCGAGGGAGGCTCATGCTGCTCAGCCCCGCGACCACCTGCCTACCCTGCTATAGCTGCAGACCCCGCTCCTAGAGCCAACACGGTACTGGCCAGGCACCAGGCCACGTCGTTCCTAAACCTCACCCAAACTCTGGAAGCTGAATGTATTGTCCCCGTTCTACAGAGGAAGAAACAAGCTCACAAAAGTCCCTGGGTGAGGACCAAATCCATAACAGTAGAGCGAACAAAAGCAAGGCTGGCTGGGATTCGGTGAGACCTTTCTGTGTGCTGAGCACTTGACACACTGCTCATCTAACCCTCACGGCGGCCTCATGACAAAGGGATTACTCCATCGGATGGCATCTCCATCTGGTGGTGTCTGTGATGGGGGGGAGGGTGTCAATCTAAGAGACTCTTAAGAGGTGAGCCAGCTCGCCTGCAGTCATACAGCCTGCTCTGGCTCAGGGGCCCATAGAGGTCCAGGACTGGACTATGCCTCTAACTCTGTAAAGATGGGGTGTCCATCAGGTTCCTTGGGCTCATGGGCCTTCCCTTTCAGGACTTAGTGCCCCAAAATGCCTTCCTTTCTGATGAGAAGAGCTTGTCAGCTAGCTATTTCCCTTTTCACCCTGGCTGCTAGGAAGCAACCCCCCCCCCACTTTCCTGCCTTCCATACACTGCTGCCACTTCCCCCGCCCACCCACCCCTATCGTGCCAGCCCACACGCGGTCCACCTGAGGGCAGCGCTCACCAGTCCTTGTAGAAGCGGCGGCGGCACTCGTCGCTGAGGTGTTCTGCAAAGATGGTCTTGAAGCTCCGCAGGCCCCGAGGAGTGGCCACGTAGCCCACAACGCCGACCACCACCAGAGGCGGCGTCTCCACAATGGTCACTGCCTCTACTTCCTCCCGCCTGGAAATTTCTGGATGGGACCCAGAGACAGGGGCATGAAGGAGAGCCTCTGGGAAAGGGATGGCGTGGAAGAGCCAGCTACATCCCTCCCGCCCAAGGGGATGGAGCACCATGGCCTTAGGGCGCCCACTGACCTCCAGCCCCCAGCCGGCACCCTCCCTGTCCCTTCTCTCTGCTCCGTCTGGGACAAGGGGCAGGTGCGGGGCAGGGTCCTTCAAGTGGCCTCTGCTAGCTCTGACTCAGGTCTCAGACAATACTTGACCTGCTCCTGGCCTCAGTTTCCCCACCAGATTGTCTGGAAATGGGCTAGCCAACAGCCAGGCCGCATCCCCCAAAGGGGAGGGCTGGGATTCCTTTCGTGTTGTAATTTTATTTTTTATTTATTTATTTTTTAAAATATTTTTATTTATTTCTAGGAGAGAGAGACAGCGTGAACAGGGGAGGGTCAGAGAGAGAGAGAGACACAGACTGTGAAACAGGCTCCAGGCTCTGAGCTGGCAGTCAGCACAGAGCCCGACGTGGGGCTCAAACTCACAAACCGCGAGATCATGACCTAAGCGAAAGTCGGACGCTTAACCGACTAAGCCACCCAGGCACCCCTCGTGTTGTAATTTTAATAGTTATGAATATATGTTGAAGAGTTATAGCAAAATACCTATACTTTCTCTAAAACCCATGATTTTATAGATGTTATTACTGACACTAAAACAAAGTAAAAGTATGTCTAAAAAATAGATGAGGAGATGGGGAGCCTGTGTGGCTCAGTTGATTAAGTGTCCAACTCTTGATTTCAGCTCAGCTCATGGTCTCACAGTTCGTGGGATCGAGCCCACCGTCAGTGTGGAGCCTGCTTGGGATTCTCTCTCCCCTCTCTCTGCTCCTCCCTGCTCACACACTCTCTCTCCCTTTCTCTCTCCCTCCCTCCCTCTCTCTCTCTCTCTATATATATATGTATGTGTGTGTGTGTGTGTGTGTGTGTGTGTGTGTGTGTATAAGGAGAGATGAAGAACAGATGAGTTCCAGAAAGTTGGAGGGGTGAAGGGCAGCAGGAAGGACTCCTGTGGGGATGGAATGTTCCATGGTACACACATTTACACACGGCAGAGCCACGTAGAACTATATATGCACACGCACGCGTGCACAGACGCACAGGAAATGTGACAGGAAACCTGAACGTGATAGGTGGATTGTATCCATGTCAATATCCGGTTGTGACATATTCCCATAGTTTATAAGCTGTTTCCATTAGGAAACCGGGCCAAGGGTGCATGGGATTCTCTTAGAGCCACGTGTGAATCCACAAGATCTCAAAACAAAAGGTGTGTCACGGCCCTGCCTTCGAATCGTAGCTCCTCACTTACTGACTGGTGGCGGGCAAGTTTCATAACTGCTTAATTTCCTCATCTGTAAACTGGGGGTGATGACAGAACACACCTCGAGGGGCGGCCCGTGGTCAGCGCTTGGGGACAGCAGTGTCCTGACTGTGGTTCCGGCAGCGTGGCCTCGCCCTTTCTGGGACCGTTTCCCGTCCTGGACCCCCGTCCTGGCTCCTGGCCTGAGGAAGTTTTGCCAGACCCTCCGGCAGCCAGGGACGCTCCACACCCTCCCCGCCCATGTCCCCCCCGCAGCCACTCACTGAGCCCCGGCCGGTGCACCTCTCGAAGGGTGTGCGTCATGCCAGCCTTGTAGCCCAGGAAAGCCGTGAGGTGCACCGGCCGGCTGGGGTCGTCCCGGGGCCAAGTCTTCACCTTGCCCCGGTGCCGGCTGCTCCGCTTGTGGGCCAGGAACCCCAGGTGTCCGTGCCGGGGGGCAGAGAACTTCCGGTGGGACTGGGGGTGGGAGGGGGGGGTCGGTCAGAGCTGGGGTGTCGCTGGGCCCAGAGCCCAGACCCGGAGAAGTGAGTTAGAGACCCCAGGCGGGCCCTCACGGTCTTCAGTGCCTGCACCTGTCTACAGGGAAGGAGGGAAGGTTGGCGCCGGCGCAGTGTCTTGGGGACCCGGGCGGCACCACACTCTCCTCCCCCGCGGGCTTCCCGCGCTCGTGGGACAGGCGCACACCGTGGCCCAGGGCTAGAGGGACAGGGAGCCACGGCCATCTGTCTATCTTCTTGCCCATTCCACGCCTGACGGCCTGAGCTCTGGCCCCCTGTTGTCCCCTTCCGTCACCTCCTCCCCTGCAGGCCCAAGGGCCATCCCTGCCGGGAAGAGACTCCAGGCGCCCACCTGCCCCTCCCAGGAAGCTGGCTGCTTCCAACCCCCTAGCCCACTGACCATGGCAGCCGCTCCCGGCACGTCAGGAAGGGAAGGGGCCTCCCCGACAGGCGCCGGAGGTCGAGTGGCAGGGTCAGGATGCACAGCAGCCAGGTCCCAGATTTAGCCCCTGGCAGAGGAGCGCGGTCGTGTTCCGTGGCGGGCACCGGCTCTGGTGCCAGGAGCGGGCCTGGCCTGGGGCGGGGCGAAAGGGGACATTCGATGGGCAGGCTGGGGTGGGGACACCTGGAGCCAGGCCTGTCACTCCTTTTCCCCAGGGCCCGGGACTGGGTCCCCCCCACTTTGTGTTCTGCCTTGTGTTACCCCCCTAAGGCCAGGATCAAGCTGGCCTGGTAAAGTGTCGAGGAACCCCGGTTGGGGAGAGGGCTTCTTTCAGGCTGTGAGGAGGGTCTGGGCCACTCTGTTGGCAGTGAGACAGAGGCAGTTCCTGTCCCGTCCTGAGGGCTGGGGGGGGGGGGGGGGGGGGGGGTGCAGGGGAGGACAAATTGCCTGGGGTGCGGGGAGCGGGGGGAGATGGGAATAGCTGTGATCCAAGAGCAAAGATTCTTTGGTTATAAAGTTCTGAACCTACACATAGAGTCAGTTTTACAGCCTAAAATGTCTCTGAGGGGCCTGGGGATCTGGCCTTGCTGGTGCTAAGATTCTGTGCTGATATAATGTCACAATTCTCTGTTGTTGCTGCCGTTAATGACAAAAGTACTTGTAACACTTTGGGCTGAGCCCCAAGGGAATTAAGTCACTGGGAAGGGGCAGCCCTTGGCCCCGGGAGTGGCCCAGGGGGAGAGAGACTACCTGAGGGCGGAGGAAGCACAGAGGGAGCCCCCACACTCAGGGAAAGGGAAGGCCACCGCGCCCGAGGCCCTTGAGCCCGGCAAGACACGTGGCTGTGGTAGCACCGCCTCCTGGCACACGGGCCAAGGACCAGAGGGTGAGGCACAGAGCCACAAGCTACTTGGGTTCCTCCCTCTCGTATGCTTTTTCCTGCTTCTGCTACATGATCCCCCAAGCCCCTCTGCTACCAGGCAGCAGCCAAAAGCTGCCACCCCCGTGCTCGGCTTTAACCGAGTTTTCTGCTTTCTCATACGCTCCTGGGGAGCCGTGGCGGTGGCGGCAGCAGCTCGGGGCTGGCTCTGTCGGATCCCCTTGTTCAGCCCAACGGTATAGGCCACTGTTAAGATTCTTTTGGTCTGACAGTGTGTGTTTCTGAGAGTTCACGATTTCACGATTTGACATGTCTATGATCCCAGATTCTGTGCGTCTGTAGAGTTGAAGTCTCCATGTCCCTAACCCCAGCCTCCAGGCATGAAGTGACTGGCACCCTCCGTGGTGCTGGCCAGGGGCCGTGCCAGATGTGGAGATCACGGAGGGGGATCAGCAGGGCCCTGGTTGGTGGAGCGACCCCAGGGGGCACAACAGTGCTTGGGGCCAGGGTAGAAACTTCAGTCCCAGACCAGAGCACTCCACACCCAGCGTAGGAGCCACCTCTCCCTGCGGGGGTGGGCCCCCAGGGCAAGCCCCAGAAAGGCCCCCTAAGCTTACTGGCATTAGCCAGTCCATGAAGGGCTCTGGAAGACACAGTGGAGCCCAGAGAGGACTGCAGGGAAGGGACGGTTCAGGAAGGCTTCCTGAAAGAGTCGGACGTTTGGTAGTTTATGTTACTTGTTGACTCTGTTGTATTTTTTGTTCGTTCTACCAGCCTGAGTTCTCCAGAAGGGCCCAGCTGTGTTCACCTTCCTCCCCGCCGCACGTGCCACATGCCTGCACACCAAAAAACTCAATGAATAGTCTGCTTATTCCTGCGTCTGTCTTGTCTTAGAACGTAAGCAGGGGTAAAAAATGTAAGCAGGGGTCTCTGTTTCCTCTACCAGTGTATTCCAAGCCCCGAGACCGCCGCCCAGCACACAGTACGCGCTCTGTAGACCGTGCAGCCCGGGCTCCAATGCCACACCACCAGCGCAGGGAGGGGTTTTCCGAGCCCATCATTGGGCGGGCCTGTAGAACTACGAGTCCCATGGTGCCTCGCGAGCGCAAGTAGTCCTGCGCAGGCGCAGCCGTCCTATGGCGTCCTCTGCAGCGGGCGAACTACAAGTCCCATAGGGCCTCGCGAGCGCCGTCCGCCGTGCGCCGGGGCAGCCTCCCTAGGGCGTCCTCTGCTGCGGGCGAACTAGGCCGCGGGACTCCGGCAGAGGCCAGGTTCGCTCGTCCCGGAGCAGAGCGCCCTCCGTGTCGCCGCCATGCCGGATAGCTGGGACAAGGACGTGTACCCCGAGCCCCCGCGCCGCACGCCGGCGCCCTCGCCGCAGACCTCGCTGCCCAACCCCATAACCTATTTGACGAAGGCTTTCGACGTCCTCGTGGACCGGCCTGTGACCCTAATGAGAGGTACGGACCCCATCCGGGCCTCACCGCTCCCCAGGGTCCCCTTTCCACCCTTCGGCGTTTCCCGCACCCTGCCGCCCAACCTGGAATACTCCGCCGCACCCAGGGCTTCGCCCCCCGTGACCGGTCCCCGCCGTTCCCACCGGACACCTGGGGCCCCGTCGCCTCTTTGGACACCCCTCTTCTTCCACTGCACCCTAGGAACACACCTCGCTTCTCCACCAAGACCCCTCACTGCTTTCCGGCCCCCCGCCGCCTGGGAACCCTCCACTCAGGTCTCCAAGCTCGCCCAAATATTAGGGGTTGTGTGCGGATCGTACCCTGGCCTGAGGCTTGTTAAATCCGTCTCCTTGCACGCGTTGCATCCTGCGTTGTGCACAGTAGGCAGTCAGCAAACGGTGTTGAGGGGTTCTCTGCTAACCTCCAGGGGCCTGCAATATGACCCAGGTAGGCAGGTGATGACCGAGGTCCCCTCGACCTCGATATGCTGTGACTTGTACTCCGTGTGTGTCCACGCCTAAGAGCTTTCCAGATACTCCAGCTGTGGTCCAAACCAGGCAGCTGTTTAAAACAGCTCTTTGTTGCCCCGTTTGTTTAGTTCTCGGCTCGCTCAGTGCACAGTGCTCTCAGTCACTAATACCAGGCAATTCATCCATTAACCAGTTCAGGGGCGCCAGGGGGGCTCAGTGGGTTAAGCATCCCACTCTTGATCTCAGTTCAGGTCTTGATGTCAGGGTTGTGAGTTCAAGCTATGCGTTGGACTCCACGCTAGGCATGGAGCCTACTTTAAAAAAGAAGAAATCACCAATTCATTCGTTCAACAACAATAAAACGTTTGGAGTAACATGCCTTGGTGGATTTTTTGTTAGGATAAAGTCAGCAAATCAGACCCCCCAGATCTGGAAAAGGCATAGCAATGGACCCAATGAATACACTGTTCTTTGTAGCAGTGTTTTGGGAAGAGTTTTCTGTCTGGAGGGATGAGCCTGCACTGGTTCCAGCTTGCTAGTTTGCCAGTGGGGAAGTTGAGGCCAGGTCAGTGGTGGCAAAACTGGCGCGCGCCATCTGCCTACAGGTTGGAGACCCTGTGTTGGGGGGGAGGTTGGCCTGTAGAAGGGTGGGCCTGCAGAGCAAGGGTTCCAAATCGGCAGTCCTGTCTCTCTGGGCCTCAGTACTGTCTGTACCGGGAAGGACCCACCCGTCGCGGGGACCGAGTGAGATAATAGACATGGCTCCCAGGAAGCCCTCCAAAACTGGTAGATGTCCCCATTCGTAGCCCAGGGCCACCAGCCACACTTGTCAGAGTCCAAATGGCAGTCTTTGTAAGAGCCGGAGACATTTGGGAAATCTGGTGCTTCCTTGGTTTGTGGGACAGAACAAAGCCAAGAGCCCAGACCATGGCCCATGCAGCCAGGCGGGGCTTGAGTCTGGGGTTTTTTTTACAGAGTTTATAGAGCGGCAGCACGCGAAGAACAAGTATTACTACTACCACCGGGAGTTCCGCCGCGTGCCGGACATCACCGAGTGCCAGGAGAAGGATGTGTTGTGCATGTTCGAAGCAGAAATGCAATGGAGGAGAGACTAGTATGTCCGATTTTAAGTCAGGGAGTACTGAGCCTTGCACAGTGAGCATCTCCTGCCAGACTTTCCCTGGGGAGACCCTGGTACAGGGGCGGGTGGCACAGTGCCCCCAGGGAGGTGGCCCAGATCTCACGGGCAGAGCGCCCAGACCTACTAGCCCTGGATACGGGTAAAGGATTCCTTGTAGACCATTCCTGGCTTTTCTTTCAGCAAAGTTGATCAAGAAATCGTCAACATCATCCAGGAAAGGCTGAAGGCGTGTCAGCAGAGGGAGGGCGAGAGCTACAGGGAAAACTGTGCCAAGGAGCTGGCGCAGTTCACCCAGGTGGCCAAGGCCTACCAGGACCGATGTAAGCGACCCCGCCCGGCCTCAGCCTTCGCCCCTCCAATCCTTCATCAGGGTTTTCTACCAACAGCCCAACCCAAGCGTGCCCACTGGTTGGGGGAGACGTTTCTTAGCTGCCTTCCTGCCCTCTGCTTGTAGAGCAGACGCTGGCTTACGTCTGTGGAAGAACAGAACGGGCCCCTGACTTCCCTCCCCGCATCTCTTCCTCAGATCACGACCTGGGCGCCCATTATTCTGCCAGGAAGTGCCTGGCGAAACAGAAGCAGCGGATGCTGGCAGAAAAGAAAGCCGCCAAGGAGGCCGCCGCTGCGTAAGGCAGCTCTTGGAGCCCTGTCACAGAACTGACTACTAAAATAAAAGAGTTAAAGTGAAATCGGGTTTCTGGTCTTTTTTGGCCCCCAATATTGACTCACTGAGTTTTAAGCATTTTTTTTTTTTAACATTTATTTCTAGGAGAGAGAGAGACAGCATGAGCAGGGGAGGGTCAGAGAGAGAGGGAGACACAGACTCTGAAACAGGCTCCAGGCTCTGAGCCGGCAGTCAGCACAGAGCCCGATGCGGGGCTCGAACCCACGAACCGCGAGATCATGACCTAAGCGAAAGTCTGATGCTTAACCGACTAAGCCACCCAGGCGCCCCTGACCTACTGAGTTTTAATTCGTTGGGTCCATCTGCCTTCAAACCCACATGCTACTAAACTTATAAGAGAAATAAAAGACACTGTTAACAAGCTTTTAATTCACTTTATTTTTCTCGTACAAAACTATGTGGTGGCCACAGCTGGAGCCTGGGTCCTCTGCACAGAGACTCTGGTGTGGGTCTTCACAAGATGGTCAGTGAATTCCTGGGAAAACAGGAGACTTTAGTTGTAGCCAGATGCCATCCCCCCGCCCCGCCCAGGCTTGCAAGACGGGTAGGCAGCCAGTACCTGATACGGAGACTTGGTGAACACAGTCTCTTTCCAAAGATCAGGAGTGAGATAGCTGTAGGTCTTAGAAATGGCATCAAAAGTGGCCTTGGCTGGAAAGGGGGAAAATAGCAGCGGTGGGTTGGTGGGTTCTGACACAACCCCCCAGGTGCAGATGAAAACTGTCGCACTCCCAGGAACAGAGAAGCCACTTTGGACCAGTCTGTCGTGCATTAGGAGAGCCTTCCTCTGTCTCTCTAAAAATACGCCAAGCACACACAGAGTATGATTAAGCGGAGCTGAGAGGCCACCGCCCACCGTGGGGACCACCTACCAAAGTTGCCCAGGGTGGCAGTGCAGCCCCTGGCCGAGGTGTAGCAGTCGTCAATACCAGCCATCATCAGCAGCTTCTTAGGCACAGGGGCCGAGACGATGCCAGTGCCTCTGGGGGCGGGGATGAGGCGCACCAGCACAGAGCCACAGCGGCCTGTCACCTGCGGGGGGGTGGGGGGGGGACAGTCAGGAGACAGGCAGACGGGAGTCTGCGCCCCTGCAGGACCCTGTCACTACCTCCCAGCCTACCTTGCACGGTACAGTGTGGGGTTTGCCGATCTTGTTCCCCCAGTAGCCTCGCCGCACCGGGACAATGGAAAGCTTGGCCAGGATGATGGCCCCGCGGATGGCAGTGGCTACCTCCTTGGAACACTTAACACCCAGACCGACGTGTCCGTTGTAATCTCCGATGGCAACAAATGCCTGTAAAAAGCCTGATGTGACCGCCGGTCCCCTGCCCTGCACAGCAGCAGAACACACACCAGGATCTGTTGCACCCCTCAAGGAAAGAGTGGCCACCACCAGGCCGCTCTGAGGTCCTGAGGAGATCTTTCCTCTCTCTCCCCATTACGAAAGCCACACGTGGAACAACAAATGTGACTGTGCAGAGCTGAGAGAGCCTCGCAAAACCCCTGGGCAGAAACGGGTGCGATACCTTGAACCTGGTCCGCTGGCCAGCGCGGGTCTGCTTTTGCACAGGCATAATCTTCAAGACCTCGTCCTTGAGAGACGCCCCCAAGAAAAAGTCAATGATCTCAGATTCCTACGGGGTAGGACATCGGGACAGATACGTTTGTCGCAGCCGAAAAACCACCTTGGAGAACTTTTGCCTGGATTCCTGGAACTAGCCTGCAGTTGCCCCACCAGAGATATATGTCATCCCTGAAACTTAGCTCGAAGGAGACGCCCAGGGGCCACACCCACCCACCGCCCCGTCCGCGGGAGAACGCACACGCTACCTTGATGGGCAGGGAGAAGAGATAAATCTCCTCCAGGGACTTGATCTTCATGTCCTTGACCAGGCGGCCCAACTTGGTGACAGGCATCCACTGGAGAGGAAAGGCGCCGGTGACTAGGCCCGCCCGTCCGGCGCCGCCGCCCACAGGCCCCTCTCACGCGCGGGGCCCCAACCTACCTCCTTGTCCTCGGCCTTGCCTCCGCGAGCTCCGCGGCCTCGGCCCCGGCCCCGGCCCCGACCGCGGCCCCGACCCCGGATGCCGCTGCCGAAGCCTCCGCGGAAACCGCCGCGGCCTCCCATTCCAGGGCCCCCGGGCCCTCCGGGCCCTCCCGCAGCACCGGCGTCATCCGCCATTTGCTGGAAAGGATGAGAAGAAAAAGCAGGTCAGCGAGGCCTTGGCGTCCGCGACCGCGCGGGGCCTCGCCGGCCGCCCGCGGACCCCCGCCGCCCGGGCCCGCGCGCCGCCAGCCCAACAAAGAAGCTCACGTGTTTTCCTGGAGAAGAAGAACGAGGCTCCGCGGGAGGGAGTATTTATAGCAAGCCAAGTGCCGCGAGATCGCGGCTGCCCCGCTCCAGGCGCGAGTTCGCCACGGGCCAATCAGACAGGTGGTGACGCGCTCCCCGCGTTCCCCCGCCAGCTCTGCGTGCGCCTGCGCACCTGCGGGCCCCCGGCACCTAGTGCCTGCGCGGCCGCCGCCTGGTTCCCGTTCGCCGCAGGTAGGTCGGCTCGTCGTGTTCCGGGGTGGGAGCTGGGGGGACGGCGTTGGTTGAAAATCACCTGCGGCCTCGGTCGTGGCCGCGGGTGAGATTCGGCGCCCAGAGCCACCGGGGGCCTCAGCTCGCCGCCCACTCCCAGGTGTGGGCAGGTGAAACCCAGGCCCCGACACGCGCCGCCACCCCGGCGCCCAGCCGCGCCCCGGTGCGCGTGCTCCGGCCTCTCGTCTCTCACTCGGTGCTTTGCCTACAGGTCGCCGGCGCCCCGCCCTCGGAGCTCAAGCCGCTAGGACACGGGGGGGGAAGCTCTGCTGTCAGCACTCAACGAAGCTGGTGGTCTGGGGCGGCCGCGCGTGACTGCCCTCGGCCCCCCAGCCATTAGCCTGGGAGGCGCATCTGTGGACGCAGCGACCAAGGTGTGCTGTGGAGGGGAGACGCTCCGGGGCGTCTCCTCTTCGCGGCCAGTCCAGCTCCGCGTTGGATGCCACAGAGGGGTACCGCTTGGCTCTCGGATGTTGGCAGTGGCTCCTGAGTGTCATGCTGTAAGTGGCAGAGCCACTGTGGGAACCCCTGGTGTGCCGCTCCACACCCCATTCCTTCCCCAGGAGCCGTAAACACCTGTGAGCTTGGCGGTGAGCTGCGCTGGGCCAGCAAACGACCGGCAAGTAAGAGAATAAAGGGAAACAGGGTTAAAATACGTTTCCGGGGGGGGGGGGTGTTTGCCTAGAAGGGGGAGCCGTGCTGCTCATACCCTACAGACCCTTTCTGGATCCGGGAAAGCTGCATGGATGATCACTCCTGCGACTCAGCTTGTGAGAAACCATCATCACCCTGGACTCCTCATTTTGTCCAGTGTATTTTGGTTAAAAAAAAAAATCCCTCTTAGCTTTCTTTTTTTCCTCAAAATAAAGTTCTTTTCCTTTATTTGTTGTGTTTGTTTATGGCTTTGGTATACCTTGCGTGTCTCAAATTGCAATTCTGTTATTCCTGAAGAACCCCCCCCTCTTCTAGGACAATAACTGACCTTTATTTTTATATATATATATATATAAATAACAGCTCTGAGAGCGTTCAGATTCCCAGCTCACAGGCTGCGTGGCCCCCTGTGGCTCTCAGTAGGGGCCAGGGCCTCTAGGATTCTGTGAGCTTAACGCTGGCAGTGTACCTGCAGACACTGGTAATGTGGCTCAGGCGTGGGAACATGCTGGCTTCCCAAGTTGAGATTCGTTTCCCCATGTCTTTCCTCCTAGCCTAGGCCTGCCCAAACCCTCAGAGCTTCCCTGTTCCAGAACATTCTCCACAAACTAGATTCCCCCCCCCCCCCCCCCCCCCCCCGCCCTTTACTGTGGTACCGCAGGTTACATGGGAATCTGGTAATTACTTCCCTGATCTGTACTTTGCAGCTAGCGGTCTTAGATCCTAAGAGAACTGCTGGCGGGTCAACGGCAAAAGTCCTGGGCTCTTGGACATCTGGCCTGAGCGGCACTATTACATTCCTGCTGAAGCCTCAACTTTGGGAAAACAGCCCCCAGAAGTTAGTTTGGTTCCTGGCCTAGTGCTGCCTGGGGATCAGCTGTCAGCCGCTCCCAAGGCAGAGGCTCCGGGGACCTGCCCCAGGTCCACACTGCCAGCTTTCCCACCTGTGAACAGGTGCTAGATGGTACAGGGTGCCTACCGGTGGGCCCCGGGCCAAGGCTGTGATTGGCTTAGCTGGACAATGCCACTGTGATGTCAGCCCACTCCTGCTGTGAAATGGAGGCTCCTGAGCCCTGGAGGTCAGTGGAGCTGCCGTCCAGACACAGATCATGGTGAGCATGGGACCTTCTTGCCTCTGGCCCTTAAGTTTATTCCTAACTCCAGAGCTGTCCAGAACTGGACCCTGTTTCTTAGTGTGAACAGTGCTCCCCAAAGAGACCAGAAAACCAACATCCCCGAGGGCTCTGGTCAGGTGTAACTCGGGGCCACGGTCAGCTCCAGCTAGGGACTGGTAGTCGTCTGGACCCTCACGCTGCCCCCTCAGAATGGATGCTGACCCAGCGCTCCCCTTGGGGGCTCTCATTATACCTCATTTCCCCATCCTGGGGTTTCCCTTTGGGTATGCAATCAGATCCCGGTCCCAGCCAGGCCCTGATTTTGGCCTGGCCCTTGCAGAGTGGCGGATATGACCTCAACCTCTTCACCAGCCCTCCTGACTGCACCTTGCTGTGCTCCGTATGCCACGGGGTTCTCAAGAGGCCAGTGAGGTTGCCGTGCAGCCACATCTTCTGCAAGAAATGCATACTCCGGTGGCTAGCCAGGTGCTTGTGGGCACCCAAGAGGGTGGGAGGGCAGGGGCAAGGCCGGGGCCTGGAACAGAGACAAAGGTCTGCCAAGCAATGGCCGGAGTCAGCTGCCGAATCCCCTAGAACGCAAAAATACGCGGGTCCCTGCACCCTGCGGTATCTGCAGCTCGTGGCCCCAGCCTCAGAGCGGAGCTCCGCATGAACTTCCAGCTTGAGAAGGGAGCTCCTGGGAAGGCAGGTGGCTGCCACTCAGTCCCTTCCCACTCCCAACACTCCCCTCGCTCATGCCTCCCAGACAAAAGACCTGTCCGTGCTGCAGGAAGGAAGTGAAACAGAAAAAGATAGTCCATGTAAATAAACTCCGGAGGACCATCGGCCACTTGGAAGTCAAGGTAGCTTGAAGCACCCGTTCCCAACACCCTTCTTGCTCCCGCCGGGGGAGGGGTAGTGAGGAGAATCCTATCAGAACTGAGAGTTTCTGCTCCAGCAGCACAGACTGAAGCCTTGGGGTCCTGAGTTTGAGTCACATCTCTGCTGTGTGACTTCAGGCAAGTTACCTAACTTTTCTGAGCCTCCGGGGCGTCAGCTGTAAAATGGGGATTACACAGGATTTGTAGAGAATAGAGTGTCTGCTCAGACAGCCACTACTCTCCAGCCCCCTGCTTTTATAGAAGTAACTGGGGCGAGCCTCCTCCTTTTTCCCTCGAAAAAAATGCCATTAGAGCTTGGCAGTCTCCATCCGGCCTGGCTGAGCTCACGTGCTTCCCCCCCCACCCCCCCAGTGCAAGAACGCGGACGCTGGCTGCTTGGTGACGAGCCCCCTGGCCCATCGCAGGGGGCACCAGGACTCCTGCCCTTTCGAGCTGATGGCCTGTCCCAACCAGGGCTGCCCTGCACGGGTGCTGCGTGGGGCCCTGGCTGAGCACCGGCGGCGATGCCCACACGGGGCGCGGCAGCACTGCCCGCTGGGCTGCGGGGCCACCCTGGGCCCAGTGGAGCGCGCCCGCCACAACTGCTACCGGGAGCTGCGCGAGGCCTGGAGCCAGCGGCGCGAGCGCGGCCGGGGCCTGGTGCGGGGCCTGCTGCGGCGCGTGCGCAAGGTGCACCGCGCCACCAGCTTCCTCCGCAGGCAGCTGGCCCAGCTCGGGGACTTCCTGCGGGAGGACGAAGCGCTGATCGTGGCCGCCCCTCCAGAGGAGCCCGAGGCCACCCCAGAAGGTGGCACTGGGGCCGAGGTGGGGAGGGACCAGGGCCTAGATACCTTGTAATTGGAGGCGTAAATAAACCGCAGCCCAGGCCTGTGCCCCTGCCACCTCTGTGCTTGCCGGCCTCGCAGCTTGATCCCATGTGCCCCCCTGCCCCCCTTTCCGGGCACTACTGCCTTCACCCCGTAGGGTGTGAAGCCTTCTGCCCGAAGGCTCTTCTCCGTGCTCTCCATTTGCCTGGTCTCTTTTCCCTCGCATGTGACCTCACAGAGGTTTTCCCTGATCCTCTCCCAGGGAAGGGTATCTGCTTACTAGCTTCTCAGCCAGTCACACAAAAGGCTCAAAACGCTGAACTCATAGTAAAAGTCAATGCCTCACAATGCCTCACGAGGATTCCCCCCCCCCATTTGTCTCCAACCTCCAGCCTTTCCATTCCCTCCCTTCTCGTTCCCTGGAGCCACAAGCACGGTCTCCCCGACAGCCACGGGGGTCCATGCTTACCAACCTCAGCTCTGCCTCAGTCACCTCGATAAATCCTCTCCCACCGCCGCGTGTGCACCCACTGCACCCCGCTCCGCCCAGGGCACTAATTCCTTGCCCTTCCTCCGCCCACCCCTCTCCCCTCTAGCACCTGAGCTACTTGAAAACAGGGGTTTTGTTCTCCTCTGGTGTCTCCCAAATGCCTAGACCAGAACTTTGCACGTAGAATATGATCAATAAATATTTAAGAGACTCCAGAGTTACACGATCTATTCGTTAACCTGCGTTCCATCTCACACCAGACCATGAGCCCCGAGGCTGGACCTGGCTGCCCGCACCCGGCCGGGCTTGTCCCCACATCCCAGAATGCCGGCGGGGCAGGAGTCTTGGGATTCCTTCAGTGAACATCTCCTACGACTCCCTTTAAAATTTCCACTAAGGGGCGCCTGAGTGGCTCAGTCGGTTAAGCGTCCGACCTCATCTCAGGGCATGATCTCACGGTTTGTGGGTTCGAGCCCCGCGTCGGGCTCTGTGCTGTCAGCTCAGAGCCTGGAGCTGCTTCAGATTCTGTCTCCCTCTCTCTCTGACCCTCCCCTGCTCATGCTGTGTGAGTGTGTGTCTCTCTCAGAAATAAATAAAACATTAAAAATAAATATATAAAAAATGAAATTTCCACTAAAAGGCAAACCCTCCCCAACGGCCGCCGCCGCCACCACGCCGCTCGACACCGCCCCTCCAGGCCAGAAACGCCTCCGCCAGTTTCCGCTTCCTTTCGCGGCAGCCAGTGCCCACAGTAAAGATGGCGCCGAGCGCACAGCGCTGGTGACGTCACAGTCGTGGGCCATGACGCCATCTGCAGCGCGCCGGCAGTGAAGAGCGGCGAGCCGGTTCCCTCACGCGGCGGCGGCGGCGGCGGCGGCGGCGGCGACATGGCAGAGCCCGTGGCGGGGGTGGGCCGCTTCAAGGCCAAGTGAGCCGGGGCAGCGCGGCTGCGGGTGCCGCGCAGGGAGGGAGCGAGGTTCCTGCCAGGAAGAGCGACTGCGCCCGCCCTGGACCGGGCGCCCGTTGGGGCCCGGGGAGAGCCTGAGGGTGGTGTGCGGACTGGCCCGCAGGGGTTGTGGCGGCTGCGTTGTTACAGAGTCAGGGAGCTCGCGTCGGTTAAGTCAGGAGCTGGTTTAGGAGTTGCGGATGGAAAATTCTAAAGGAGGAAGGGGCGGGCTGAGCGCACGTCGAGGCTGGTCCTGGATGGCGGCGGGACGCCTCGATCCTCAGGTGGCGGCAGAAGAACCGCTCTGGGACAGGCGGCCGGGGGGCTCTCCCCAGCCGTCCCTCTTAACAGGACATCAGCCGAACGGTCCGCTGTGGCCCTGGAGGCCCCTCCTCCGGCCTGTGCTTATTCATTCCCCCATGGTCCCCTGGTGAACAGGCTGGTGAACCAGACAGAGTCCCATCCCCACCATGGGAGCTCCGTGTGATCGAATAAACACGTTAAGTAAATCATTTCTGTCGCTGGTAGTGACAAGCAACACCCGGTGCCCAGAACGTCTGTGTGGGATAGCCACCCGGGTTCAGGGGTTGGGGGACCCATTTCATCTTGGTTGTGAGGCTTCCCCCCAGTGGAGTTAGCGAGGCACCACTGAAATCCGGGCAGAGAGACCCCAGCCACATGCAGGGAACATCCAGTGTGACGCGGAAAAGGTCAGCAGAGGGCCCCCCCCCGCCCCCCAGCCAGGGTCTTGGAAATAGGTGAGGTGGTGACATCAACAGTTGCGTTCTGAAAGGTCGTTTTGGTGCCACGGTTTGAGGCAGAAGATCGGGGCCTGGACCAGCGGGGAGGCCGCAGAGCGGGGGGGGGGGGGGGGGGGGGGGGGGGGGGGGGGGGGGGGGGGGGGGGGGGGGGGGGGGGGGGCAGCATGAGGCTGCAGATGAAGGCTGCTTGGCCGGTGGGGAGGAAGGGGCCGGAGGGGGTTGGTGAAGGGGCCGGCTGGGCCCGAGAATGGAGCCGGCTGTTGCTCTGGGCTGGTACCCTGGGCTGGCCCTCCATGGCCAGCAGGGGGCCCCCAAGGCCCGGCCTCCTGGGCTCTGGGGACTCTGGGAAGCCTGGGCTGTCCTCCTGCATGAGGACATGGTGTGAATCACCACCCAGCTCCGGGCGTCCAGTCCTCTGTGACATGAGGGTACCAACACCCCCCCCCCAGCGCAAAGTGCTGCTGAGAGAAGATGACAGAAGAAGAGCCGCCTCCGACCCCCTGCACCCCTGCCTCTGCCTGGGAACTCCTCCAGGGCAGGGGCCTGTTGGGGAGAGCACCTGGCACAGAGCTAGGCACTGGGGACCAAGGGGTGGGTGACTCACTCTCTCTCCCCCCCGCCCCCCTCTAGCTATGCCGTCGAGCGCAAGATCGAGCCTTTCTACAAGGGCGGGAAGGTGCAGGTACCAGCCCAGGGCGGGGCAGAGTGGTGGGGCAGGCAGGGGCTAGAGACTTACCTTGGCTGAGACCCTTCTGTCACCAGCTGGACCAGACTGGGCAGCATCTCTTCTGCGCCTGTGGTACCAGAGTCAACATCCTGGATGTGGCCTCGGGGGCCGTGCTGCGGAGCCTGGAGCAGGTGAGGGTGGGGAGAGCCAGGGCAGGGGGCTGGTATGGCGGGCAGCCTGTTCTCACAGTATTATGTGTGCCAACCCTTGCTTCTAGGAGGACCAGGAAGATATCACTGCCTTCGATCTCAGCCCCGATGATGAGGTGGGTGGAGCGGGGTCAGGAGGCGGGCTCTGGGACCTCCAAATCAAACTTTGAGGACGTGTGGCCATGCCTCCACACTCGCAGCTGAACCGCATCCTCCCCCAGGTGCTGGTGACAGCCAGCCGGGCGCTCCTTCTGGCTCAGTGGGCCTGGCGAGAGGGTAGCGTCAGCCGCCTGTGGAAGGCAATACACACAGCCCCTGTGGCCGCCATGGCCTTTGACCCCACCTCCACGCTGCTGGCCACAGGTAGGTCACTGGCTGGGTGGCCGGGCTGGCTGGAGGGCACACGGTCAGGGGCCTTTGGGCACCGCAGCCCCTTCACTTCAAACGCGTTCCCCCAGGTGGCTGCGACGGGGCGGTGCGCGTCTGGGACGTCAAGCGGCACTACGGGACACACCACTTTCGGGGGTCGTCAGGGGTCGTCCAGTGAGTCAGAGTCCGCGGAGGGCGGGCGGGGCGTCAGGCCCGGGGCGGCACAGCTCACCTGCCCCACCCCACGTGCCCGCAGCTTGGTGGCCTTCCACCCGGACCTCGCGCGTCTGCTGCTCCTGTCCTCCGCTGCGGACGCCACCATCCGCATGTGGTCGCTGCAGGACCAGTCGTGCCTGGCCACAATGACCGCGCACTACAGTGCCGTCACCTCACTGACCTTTAGTGCGGACGGCCACACCATGCTGAGGTCAGCGGACAGCCCCCTGGCTACGCGGGAAGGGGAGGGCTACAGCTGACACTCGAGAACCGAGGTGACTGTCACCCCCCTCCCCACCCCACCTCAGCTCAGGCCGGGACAAAATCTGCATCATCTGGGACCTGCGGAGCCACCAAGCCACGAAGACCGTGCCGGTGTTCGAGGTGGGGGTTCCAGGAGACCGGGGCCGGTAAAAGGGGCGGGGAGGGGGTGGGTCTGCCCCCCTGACCTGCCCATCCTCAGAGCGTGGAGGCCGCCGTGCTGTTACCAGAGGAGCTGGCCCCGGAGCTGGGCGTGAAGTCCAAGGGCCTGCACTTCCTGACAGCTGGGGACCAAGGTGTGTGGGTGCAGGCCGGGGTGGGCAGCGGGGGCTGGGGGAGGGCCATGGACTCGAGTCCCAGCAGCGCCCCGTCCCCACACAGGCAGGCTGCGCGTGTGGGAGGCCGCCTCCGGGCGGTGTGTGTACACCCAGCCGCAGCCGCCGGGCCCTGGGCAGGAGCTGACGCGCTGCGCCCTGGCCCCTTCCGCCGGCATGCTGCTCAGTGTCACTGCCGACCACAACCTGCTGCTCTACGAGGCTCACTCCCTGCGGCTGCGTAAGCAGGTGAGCGCCGCCCCTGCCGCGCCCGAGGCCTGGGGTGCCAGCCCTGCACTCACGCGGCTCTGCCTCGTGTCCCTCCTGCCACCCCCAGTTCGCCGGCTACAGCGAGGAGGTGTTGGACGTCCGGTTTCTTGGGCCCGAGGACTCCCACGTCGTCGTGGCCTCCAACAGCCCCAGCCTGAAAGTGTTTGAGCTACAGACCATGGCCTGCCAGATCCTCCACGGCCACAGCGGTGAGCCGGCCGAGCTGATGCCCCGCGCTGTGTCCTGGGCTCGACCGCCCTCCTTGACCGTCTCCTCTCTGCTTTATCCCAGACATCGTCCTGGCCCTGGACGTGTTCCGGAAGGGGTGGCTCTTTGCCAGCTGTGCCAAGGTGATGCACCTGGGGAGGGCGGAGGTGTGGGTCCCAGACAGGGATCCCGGCCCAGCCTCTGCCCTCACCCCTTTCGTTCCCAGGATCAGAGCATCTGTATCTGGAGAATGAACAAGGCTGGCAAGGTGGCCTGTGTGGCCCAGGGCTCCGGGCACACACACAGCGTGGGCACCATCTGCTGCTCTAGGTAGCGGGTCAGGGCCGGGGTCCATGGTGTTGCAGAACCCTGCTAATGGGGTTCCCACTCGGGGAGACGTTGCGGGGGAGGTTTTGGCCTTGATCTTGGAGGCTCGAGACTAGGGGTGTGCAGCAGCATGCCAGCCCCCCCCCCCCAGGTGCTGCTGGAAGTGGAGGCTCCTCAGAAGTGCTCTCGGGGCTGGGTGAATAAAAGGGGAGAGCCTTGGGGTGCCTGGGCGCCTCAGTCAGTTAAACGTCCGGCCCTTGATTTCAGTTCAGGTCACTATCTCACTGTTCACGGGATTGAGCCCCACGGTGTGGGGCCTTTTGGGAATCTCTCCCTCTCTTTCTGTCCCACCCCTGCTCGTGCTCTCTTATTTTCTTTCTCTCTTTCTCTTTCTTCAAATAAATACACTTTAAAAAGTAGGAAGTGGAGATAGTTTTCAGGACAGAAAGAACAGCCGTGAGCCAGGTTCACGTACAGGAGACGTTTTCTCCTCGGAAGGGTTGGGGTTGTTGTGACCCAATCAGCAGCTGTGGTGGGCCAAGGGTAGGTGGTGGAGAGTGTGGAGAAGTGATCTCAGAGGCTGTCTGCATTCTGGAACAGTCCCTCTGGTTGGAACCATGGTCCTGCAGACTCAGGCCGTGATGCCCTGGGAGACAGGGCTGGCCAGGACTCAGCAGGTGTCTCCCTTTACCCCAAATCTGGCCTCAGGCTGAAGGAGACCTTCCTGGTGACGGGCAGCCAGGACTGCACCGTGAAGCTGTGGCCTATCCCTGAAGCCCTGCTGTCCAAGGGCGCATCCTCGGACTGCGGTCCTGTCCTTCTCCAGGCTCAGGCCACACAGCGCTGCCATGAGAAGGTGACAGCACGTGGCACATTGGGGCACGGCTATGGCAGGGCCCTTGCCAGGATGGGGGTCTGAGTCGCCACCTGCTCCTGCCCCCAGGACATCAACAGTGTGGCCATCGCCCCCAACGACAAGCTACTGGCCACAGGCTCGCAGGACCGCACAGCCAAGCTCTGGGCTCTGCCGCAGTGCCAGCTGCTGGGCGTCTTCTCAGGCCACCGGCGTGGCCTCTGGTGCGTCCAGTTCTCGCCCATGGACCAGGTGCTGGCCACGGCGTCGGCTGACGGTACTGTCAAGCTGTGGGCGCTGCAGGACTTCAGCTGCCTCAAGGTAAGCTACTGCCCCCCGCCCCAGCCCCGGCCCCCCTCCCCGGTGCTGGCTCACGGCCTCCCCTCCCCGCCCTGCAGACGTTCGAGGGCCATGATGCTTCTGTGCTGAAGGTGGCCTTTGTAAGCCGCGGTACGCAGCTGCTGTCCAGGTGAGGGGTCTGGGGGTGGGGGTTGGGGTGAGCTGCGGGGGGGACCCCAGTCCTGAGCCCCCTCCCAATCCCTGCCCCAGCGGCTCTGATGGCCTCGTGAAGCTTTGGACCATCAAGAACAACGAGTGTGTGAAGACTCTGGATGCCCACGAAGACAAGGTCTGGGGGCTGCACTGCAGCCGGCTGGACGACCGTGCCCTCACGGGTGCCAGTGACTCCTGTGTCATCCTCTGGAAGGTATGTGGGTTTGCAGGGGGAGCAAGCGGGGTGCGTGCCGGTGCTGGTCTGACCTCGCTGTGACCCTAGGATGTGACCGAGGAGGAGCAGGCAGAAGAGCAGGCCAGGCGGGAGGAGGAGGTGGTCAGGTAAGTCTGGGGGTCCTCGCCTGGCTCCCCGTCAGTACCCTCCTCCGGTCAGCCACGTCCCACGTATCATGCCTGGAGTAGGGTACACAGGCGTCAGTTATGCTTATGGCATGGGGAAACTGAGGCTGGGAGCAGCAACACACGGGGTGCTCCAGGCCAGGATGCTGATCCTGAGTCAGAGCCCAGATGGCTCTGCCTTCAGTCCCCACCAGGTCCCTCAGTGCCCCTGCTCTCCTGCCCCCCACCCCCCGTCTCCCCCCCAGGCAGCAAGAACTGGACAACCTGCTCCATGAGAAGCGGTACCTGCGGGCCCTGGGCTTGGCCATCTCCCTGGACCGGCCCCACACTGTGCTGACTGTCATCCAGGGTCTGTGCTGCCTTGGGCTACACGGACGGTCGGGTCTTGGGTCTGTCTTGCGCCCCTTCCCTGGGACTCAGTCACCCTCTTCCCCTGCCCCCCACAGCCATCCGGAGGGACCCTGAGGCCTGCGAGAAGCTGGGAGCCACGGTGCTGCGGCTGCGGCGGGACCAGAAAGGTCAGGGCGGGCGGGCAGGCTGGGCACTGGCCAGTATGGGAGAGGCAGCCAGCCAGCAGGCGGGTCTGACCGTCCTTGTCACCCGCAGAGGCCTTGCTGCGCTTCTGTGTCACGTGGAACACCAACTCGAGGCACTGCCACGAAGCCCAGGCCGTGCTGGGCGTGCTGCTGCGGCACGAGGCGCCGGGGGAGCTCCTGGCCTACGAGGGTCTGCAGGCCTCGCTCGAGGCCCTGCTGCCCTACACCGGTACGCGGCGGGGTGGGGTGCCTGGCGGGGCAGACAGCGGCCAGCCAGACCCCCTGACGTCCCTCTGCCCCCCTCCAGAGCGGCATTTCCAGCGGCTCAGCCGGACCCTGCAGGCAGCCACCTTCCTGGACTTTCTGTGGCACAACATGAAGCTGCCCCCCCTGCCCGTGGCCCCTTCTGTGGCCCCCTGAGCTCTCTGAAACATGCTGAAAGGTTACTTTTCTACCCTGACGCCCTGTGTCTGTGGGGGTGTGGTGGTGTCCCAGCTCCCAGCGACGGCCAGCCCTGCCCCTGTGCGCCGCCCTGGCCCTGCCCCTGAGTACAGACACGAGGTGTGGATCCCGCAGAAGAGCTTTACTCAGGCCGTGGGGGCGGAGACTTCCCAGCCCTTGCCTGCCCAGTGTCCCGCCCTCACAGGCTCCTCCCCAGCCCTGATGGTGGCTGGCGTCAGTTCTGCCCCAGGTCTGGAGCCGTTGACTTGCCCTCTGCCCACTTGCACACACCCTCAGGGGGGTCCTTGCGCGCCAGTGCCCTGCGGGTGATGGTGCAGCAGCGGCTCTGAATGGCGCTCCGCGGAGGTCGGGCAGGCACGGTAGGGGGCAGGGTCGTGGCCTGGGGCGCCTCAGGGGAACCTTGGGCCACTCCCACCCTGACGTCCTCTCCGTTGGCCTCTCGGTGGAGCCCCGATCTGCTCAGGAGCGCGCCCAGGCCCTCAGGTCGCAGCAGCACGGCTGGGAGAAGACCTGAGCGCCCGCCGAACCTGTGAGGAGGGCGGGTTTTGGCCAGCACTGGGTCCGGCCCCGCCCTCTTGGGGCCCCGCCCCCCCCCGCTGGGCCCGCCCCGGCCCCGCCCCCACTCACCGGCACAGCCACCAGCCTCGGTCTGAGGTCTCCAGCACGCGCACGCGCGCCCCTGCGGGCACGGACAGTTCATCCTCGTGGTTGCTCTCATAGGCGCGGGCAGCGCAGAATTGGGGCCCTGGGAGTGGGCGTTCGGGGTCACTTGCAGGGTCGCAGAGGCCGGGGTCCCCACTTCATGATCTCCCACGGAATCAGCATCCCCCTGATAGTGGGGACCACGGAAACCCACTGGGGCCCCGGCTCATTGTGAGGACCAAGTACACTCTTTGGGGCCACTGTCGCCCCCATGCCCTCTCTCCTCCCTCTTGCGCAGGCGTTTCCTATGGCCCAGCTTTGCCAGGCTGCCCAGAGGTGGTGGCTGACTTCGGGTGGGGAGGAGGGCACTCGCGTACCACCCCTTCCGAGGGCCTGTCGCTCTTGGCCCGCGGCTGCTTCCTCCAGGTAGGGAGCAGGAAACCATGCTGTCTGCTGGTCTTCGTTTGCCACCAGCCACCAGCCTGTGAGCAAGAGGTGGGCGGGAGGTTCAGGCCCCCAAGCCCGCTGGGGTCCTGGGGGCAGATGGGCGAGGCCTCACAGTCCTGTGCGCCCCACCTGAGGGGTGCCGCAGCAGCACGTCTAGGGCCTCCTGGGCCTGTGCTTGGAAAGGCTGGCCCCGCGTGTCCTGGGTGCTGAAGGGCTGCAGGCAGCGCAGGCTCTGAGCCTCCAGGCTACGGATGGCGAGGCTGTCAGGCGGGCGGGTCGGGGGCTCTTCAGGGGCGGGCAGGATCACCAGACTGGGAAGGGCGGCAGGTGCAGGCGAGAAGTCACGCCACCGCAACCCGCCCAGCCTCAGCCCGTCCGTGGGTCCCGACAGAGGCCTTCCTCCTCCCCTCACCCTCTCCCCCAGCCTCCAAGTTCCGCGGGCAGGGAGCTGGGGGCGAGTCAGGCACCTGCCAGGTGGCAGCGTGGGCTCCAGGTCCAGGGGTTGCGGCGCAAAGAAGCCGGTGAGCGCTGGGCTCTGGGACACGCGCTCCGCCGCCTCCAGCAGCGCCCGCGAGTAGGTCTCCAGCAGCCGCAAGCGCGCTAGGCCGCGGCCCGTGCGCCCCCCGCGCACCAACAGCGGTGTGTCTGCGGCCACGACGGGAACAGGCGGTGGGACCCCCGCCCCAGTGTTCCCTCCACCAGGCCCCTGGCGCCCCGCCCCTCCCGGAATCCCTGCGGGCCTCACCGCGAAGCTTGGGGAGAACACGGTCTGATCTCCGTAGCAGGCCCGCCTCTACCGGGAAGGTTTCCTTGAGGGTCTTCTGGGGGAGAACCGCCAAATCGGTCTCTGAGAGTCCACTGGTTCCCTTGGGAGGGTGAGGGTCCCTTGACGGGATGGGGGTCGTAGGGGTGGACGCCCTTACAGGCGCAAAGGCAAAGGCCCAGGAGGGGGTCATTGATGGCTCCTGCAGCGGGGGAATCGGGGTCCCTCAGCCTCACTCACATGGAGTGTCTTGAACTCCTCCCAGCTCCTGCGCACAAAGGTTTCGCTGTCGTCTGACCAGCCCACAGAGAACGCAAATGTCTGTTGGGAGAAAAGTTGGAGCCACCTTGGAGGGGCCGGGCCAGGAATTACCTCCTTCCCTGGGGCTGCAGGTGTTCCCACCCCCTGTCATACCTGCAGCCGCTCTGTCTGCACTAGGGCCAGGGTGCACACGGACACGGGGTGCCGGGCGCCTGCCATCGCTGGTGCCTCACGCATCAGGGACCTGGGCTTCTGGGGCTAGCCGAGGATCCCGCTGAGACCTTGCTCACAGGGAAGAGGGGGCTCCCCTGCACCCGGAAGACTGATTGGAATTCCCCAGGGACGTCCCGGACCTGCCAGGTCCTAGCAGCACGGCCCTGGCCTGCCCTGCTGGGCCTAGGAGGGGGGAGCGTGAAGGGGAAGTTGGGTGTGGGTGGGTGTGACTGTAGCTGGAAGCTCTCTGGCCTGAGTCTGGCCACAGAAAGAGGAGGGACAAAGCCATCAAAGTGCCGCCGGGTTTGGGTTCGGCCTACCTCTCGGCACGCCCTGTGGTGGGGGACTAGGGAGGGCCTCCTCCAGGGCGAGCCCCGTGGCCTGTCTTTGAACTCACCCGGAAAGCTGAACGCGTCGAAGTCAGGAAGCAAGGACCCAGTGCTAAGGGTTTTGTGAAGGTCGTTTGGCTTAATATCGGTATTGGAAGAAGCATCTCTTAATGTTCCCAAATCACAGTGGGAGAAATCTGTATCAAATGGTTAATGTCAGTGTTTCTGGATGTGTCGGTGAGGAGTGGGCCTCACAGACCCAGAGGATGGAAGTGACTTGGGGGGCAGGACAAAGAAGGCCTGTCTGCGTCTGCAGTCACTGGCACTTGGGGGAGGTGGTGACTAGGATGGTTTTGAGAGCTGCCTCTGAATTTCTGATTTATCACAATTTACTGCAGTTATAACCTCTGAAATCACAGGTGACTGAGGTGACGACAGGTTAGAGCCTGGAGTCCGCAGCTGACATGCTCACGGGCCATACATCTCTGGGCCGCTTCCTTATAGGGAAGACTTCCCAAGCTCCATCCAACCCTAGCACGCTTGGCCTTTCCTGCCCTTGGGGCCACCAGCTCTATGTTGGGACTCCTACCCCAAGCTGTCCAGGGAGGGGTTAGCCCCTAGGGCATCCCTCCCAGAAACCACCCTGGCCGTGACAAAGGGCCCTTGTGTATCCGTCCAACCAGCAGCTCTCTCTCTGAAGCCTTCAAACCTTCCCGGGTCTTGGCCCAGGCATTGAACACCTGCGGACCTGAATTGCAGGTGTCTTCAGCCCGGCCGTCACGCTCTCGCCCAAGCTCCGCGGGGCCCAGCAGGCCTGGCAGGGGCCAGGGTGGGGCCGACTTCTCCCCCAGGAAGACGAGAAAAGCTGGGGAAGAGTTAGTTTATTCACAGCCAGGGACCTGGAAGGCTGGTGAGACCCCTCCCTGCCCCACCTGACAGCCCCTGCTTCCTTCCTCTCCCCTCTCCTTGGTCCCCAGCCTCACCTCTCACTGGGACAACTGCCCCCTCCTTGCATGTCCCTGCTCCTCACTAGCTCCCATGAAATCCATTCTCCAGAGACATCTTTGCCAAATAGAAATGGGGTGTGATGAGGTTTTGGGGTAATGGGGGGAAGGTCTGGGGCTGACAGCCAAGAAAGAATTCTTAGATATCTTTGGTGCAAAAAGGTGATTTTATTTTTTTAATGTCTTTTTTAAAATATTTATTTTTGGGAGAGGGAGAGAGACAGCGTGAGCAGGGGAGGGTCAGAGAGAGAGGGAGACACAGAATCCGAAGACAGGCTCCAGGCTGAGCTGTTCAGCACAGAGCCTGACGGGGGGCCCGAACCCACTAACCATGAGATTATGACCTGAGCCCAAGTCAAGGCACCTGAGTGGATCAGTCCATTGAGCGTCCACTCTTGATTTCGGCTCAGGTCATGATCCCAGGACTGTGAGGTCTAGCTGCGCTTCGGGATCCATACTGAGCAAGGAGCCTGCTTGGGATTCTCTCCCCCTCCACTGCCCCTCCTTTGCTTTCTCTTTCTTAAATTAGAAACAAACACAGAAATGGGATCAGGTTGGGGTAGCCCTGCCCCAAATTGTCCAGCACCTTCCTATGGTCCTTAAAATAAATTCCCAGCTCCCAGGGCAGCTGCTGAGGCCTTCCTGTGCTCCTGCCTGCCACCTTTGGGTCTCTCCTCTCACCACCTTCCCCAGGCCCTGTCCCACTGACCGACCTGCCCACGCAAGAGGCCAAGGCCCTCTCACCTCCAACCTTGGCCTTGCCTGCCCTCCTTAGCTGGTTGCTCATCCTTCAGGCCTCTGCCTAAGGGTCACCTCAATGAGGCCTCTCTGATTTACCATGCGCTGTTCTTGTTCCCCACCACAATTTGTAAGTGAACATTTTATGTCTGACTCCTTTTTTGTTTTGTTTTTACTTTTCATGTCTTTTTTTTTTTTTTTGTCTGAGAGAGAGAGAGACAGCGTGAGCAGGGGAGGGTCAGAAAGAGGGAGACACAGAATCTGAAACAGGCTCCAGGCTCTGAGCTGTCAGCACAGGGCCCGACGCGGGGCTCGAACCCACGAACCGCGAGATCATGACCTGAGCAGAAGTGGGATGCCCAACCGACTGAGCCACCCAGGCGCCCCTGCCTTTTCCGTCTTGACCCCTGGACAAGGAGCTGAGGTCAGGGGCGCATCTTGTGCCCACACTGACTCGCGCCTGGACCAGCACTTGGAACAGCCTAGGCACTACACCAGTACCTGCATAAAGAATGAAAGTACGTACGGAGGCTGAGGCCCCCTCCCCACGTGGAAACCACCGCTGGAGGCGAGCGGGAGGACCCGGGCTACTCAGGCCCCGCCCGCGTTGCCAGGCGCCCGTTGTCATGGCGCCGGCCGCCCGGGCGGACCCGCGGGCCCAGGCCCTAGCGCGCGTCGCACTCTGTGCTCTCACCGCACCGTCTTTGGTCGCCATGGCGCCGCGCGGCCCGCTGCGGGGCGCGCCCCAGCTGAGGGCACAGAGCCTGGCCGCGGGCACGCGGGGCGGTCAGGGCAGAGCGATGGGGGCGTCCCGGGCCCGAACACGGACTTCGCCTCCGTCGCGGCAGCCCGAGTCCACCGCGCGGCCGCGGCGCGTTTTCCACAACACGCTGCTCTTCTACTGGAGGAAGCGGGAGCGCCGGCCCGGACGGCGCAAGCCGGACTCGGGACGTGGATCGAGGCCCCGGGGCGCGGCCAGGACCCGAGCTGCCGGCCCCGCGCCCGCGCCGGCCCGGACCCCGGCCTCGGGCTCCGCGGCCTCTCCCTCGCCGTCCCCGGCCCCCAGCCCCACCTCCCTGCCGGACCCCGCCCCGGCCCCGGGCCCCGCCCCCAGCCCCTGCCCCGCCTCCAGCCCGGCCTCCCCGCCCGAGGCGGAGCCCGCGCCCGCGCCCGCGGCGCGCGCGTCCGGGTCCTGTGGCCGCGCCCTGTCGGCGGCGCGCGCGCTGGCCTGGAGGCCGACTTGGAGGCCCATCTGGAGGCCGAGCTGGCCCGGCAGGCAGTGCGCGGGCAATATGGCGGCGCCCGGCGAGAGGGGCCGCTTCTACGGCGCGAGCCTCTTCTCTTTTCTGCCCGGCGGCGCGCGCTCCGAGGTGATGGACGACCTAGTGACCGATGCGCGCGGCCGGGGCGCGGGGCGGAGAGATGCCGCTGCCTCGGCCCCGACGCCAGCCCCGGCGACGACCTCCGATTCTCAGGGCGCCGAGGAGGACACGTCCCGGAGGCGGCCCTGCAGGGCCTGCGTGGACTTCAAGACGTGGATGCGGACGCAGCAGAAGGTGCAGATGCCCGGGGCTGCCACCTCTCCGCAGAGGCCCGCGGGCCCGGCTGACCCCTACTCCCGGCCCGCACAAGCACCCGGGCCCTCGGTCCCCACACCTTGTTCTCAGGCCCCCGGGCCGACCTCCACGGTCGGGCTCTATGGCCGACAGACTTGTGCCCCTCTGGGTAGGCTGTCCCCAAACCTTGCCCCGAGGGAGGCCCGGCCTTTGGGCTCTCAGCCACGCGTGTGCCGGGTCCGTGGGCCAGGACGCCTGGGTCTCCAGTCAGTGAGCCTCTGGGTTGGGGCTGGGAAAAGGGGAGTTGTGTAGCCTCCTGGTCGGGAGAGGCGAGCTGACCCTTGGTCGATCTCCTTCCGCAGCGGGACGGCAAGTTTAGGGAAGATTGTCCTCCGGATCGCGAGGAACTGGGCCGCCACAGCTGGGCCGTCCTCCACAGCCTGGCCGCCTACTACCCGGATCTCCCGACCCCGGAACAGCAGCAGGACATGGCCCAGCTCATACATTTATTTTCCAAGTTTTACCCGTGTGAGGAGTGTGCTGAAGACATAAGGAAGAGGTAAGTTGTGTCCGCCTCACCTGTAGGCAGCCGAGCACCGGCCTGGGCCTGGGGCCCCTAGCTGATGTCATAAAGGGGGTCCTGGACAAGAGGTGCAGAGGTGACAGGGTTTCCCAGAGCAGGGATCACCAGCAGTGAGCATTCGATCAACTGATCTAATTGGATCTCAAAAGCCAAGCTGCTGGGGGCTGCTGCTTTCTGCAGCCAGAAGCGCCTGGCCGGGCTTCACTTACAAAGCCCCTCGCTCAGTACTCATGGAGGGTGGCGCAGGTTAAGGAGTCTGCTTTGCCTCGCTGCTGACTTCAAGACCTTGAGAACCCACTGCTTTTGCTTCCTTAGAGCCCCCTTGTCCTCCCTGGGGGACCCAAGAGCTGTAATTGTTGTTTCTGGGCTGAGTGTTGGGCGCCAGGGCAGCCTTTGGAGCCTGGGCGGTTGGAACAGGTCCCTTGCTAAGCTGATGCAGCAGAGCTCCAGGTGATAGAAATGGATCTGGTTTTCAGTTAGGCCTTCGTGCCGCCCCGCCCCTTCCATACACTGCCTGGGGCCAGGGATGCTGGGGGAGGCTTCTTGATTGTTATGAGGTTGTAAAGTTCAATGACTTGTGCCTTACTTAAAGTCTGGCTCCGAGCTCTCGTCGTCGGGGTTTGCCACGCTGCTCTGGAAGGGGGCCAAGCAGGCCCTAGGCCTGTCATTGCTGGACACCGCAGGACCAGCCCTGTTCTGGGAATTTCTGTCTCTCAGAGCCCAAGGGCACTCTGGGTGTCGCTGACAGCAGCGTCCCAGCTCTCCTCCCTGGTGGCGCAGGCGAGGCGCTGGAGGGGCAAGGGCAGTGGGGCCACCACCCGCCCGTCCCCACCCCGCCCACGATTCCGCCACACAGGATATGCAGGAACCAGCCGGACACGCGCACTCGGGCACGCTTCACCCAGTGGCTGTGCCACCTGCACAACGAAGTGAACCGCAAGCTGGGCAAGCCGGACTTTGACTGCTCGCAAGTGGACGAGCGCTGGCGGGACGGCTGGAAGGACGGGTCCTGCGACTAAGCGGCGGCGGCAGAGCCGTGGGACAGCAGCCGGGGCCTGCGGGCAGCCGGGGCCTGCGGGCAGCCTGGCCAGGGGGGGGCGGCGCACTCAGTAAAGTGCATCCAAACCGGAGCCTGTCGTGTCTCAGTTGGGTAGTCCCCAGACGCTGCTCATGGGGCCCTTCCCTCTCAGGTTTGGAGTGAACGTGGAGGTGCCTGCTGCAGACACCCCGCTGGCCCCTCCTAGGCCAAGGCCCCGGGGGGGCTGCAGGTGAAGGAGGCAGGAGCCACCCAGGCTGTGCCTTCCGTTCAGGATGCGGCCTCCTGCTCCCCCGGCGGCCTGGCACCCGCTTCCCTGCACCAGAAGGTGACAGGCCTGCCTGGGCTCCCTATCCCGCTCCTCCTCAAGGCTAGGCCGCTGTCTCCCCACCCTGTAGCTAGAGACCGCTGCGTTGCCGTGACCGGTGACCGTGACCGGTGACCGCAGCCCCGTAGGCTGTGTGCTGTCTGAGATCCGGAAAATGCCCCGGGGGCTGAGGCCCCGCCCTGCTCGCCCCGGGAGGAGAGCACAGGCAGGCTGCTCCGAGGACCCCCAGCGCTGCTGCCTGCTCCCACGCAGCGCTTACCTGGACCAGGCTCATCAGAGGCTTGTGGGGCCACAGCCTCCTCTGAGCTTGAGACCAAAATAAATGCTGGAGAAGTGACCGAGGGCCTGGCTTCCGTGTGTTCTGTGCCGGGACCTGCGGCGAGGGTCAGGGCCTGCCGTCGCTGCTCCGGGCAGCCGCTTCCTTCTGTCCAAGTTCTGCTCCTCAGGAGGGCAAGGCCCAGGGCAGGAGCAGCCCAAGAAGCCTGGTGCCGGAGCTGAGGGCGGGTCAGAAGCGGGTGGGAGGGCAGATGGCACCCAGTCCTTGAGGCCCCGGCAAGGACTTTGTGTTAACACCCGCCTCCCGTGACTGGAAGGTCTTGGAGGATTTGGTGCTGAGGAATGGCAAGCTGACTCCCGAAAGGCTCCTCTGGCTGCGGGTCTGGGGTGAGAGCAGGGAGGGCAGGCCTGTGACCGCTGACAGGAAGCCTGCCCCGGGGTGGGTCAGAGCAGATAGCTACGCCTTGGCAGCAGAGCCACGAGAATGTAGCCAGAGCGGACCATGGTTTGGGCCCCAGCAGCTGGGAGGACCAAGTAGCTCTGAGTATCAGGTCCCTGGAGAAGCTGTAGGTGGAGCAGGCTTGGGGGTGTGGGTGTGGTGACCTGCATTTAGCTTCTGAGCCTCCCCGATCTGCTCTGCCTTACCTGCTTGCAGCCGTGGCCCCCAGGCGGAATGGGCCTGCAACAATAGGCCCCATCCCTGGGGTCCTAATGCCCCAGTCATGGTCATGTCTATGCCCACGGTGCCGGCTCCGGCTTCGGCAGGGCCTCCCCAGGGAAGACAGTGGTGCAAAGCAACTGGAGGCAGCGAGCAGCCAGCAGAGAAATTGCTCCGCTTTCCTCCCCCAGATGGACTTTCCCTCGCACGTGGCTTCCTTCTGGCCTCCCAAGTCACCTGCTAGCTGGGGAACCAGCTGGCTTCTAGGGAAGCTGGGCTTGGCTCGGGAGCACACCGCCTGGATGTGCTCTCCCTCCCGCCCTGCCTTGTTTCCCTCTTCCTATAACTCTGGCCTCCTGGAGGCCCCCCCACCCCCAGTCCAGGCGAAGACAAGTGGGATTGTAGGTCAGGGGGACGTTCTGGCCTGAGCTGTCAGCACATAGACCAAGGGAGTGAGCAGAGAGGGAGGAGAAAAGCCCCAGGATCGTGCCCTGGGGCCCCCAGGGTTCAAAGGTCCCACGAGGTCACAGGTTGGACAAAAGAGAACCCCAGAAAGGCGATGAGGAAGGGCTCCTGAAATAGGAACCGGAGAGCGTGACATCCGGAAGCGTGGGGCGGGGATGTGTGACTTGCCCCTGGGACCGCAGGAGCAATACCAGGGCGCAGCTGGGCAGGAAGTGGGGTCAGGAGTGGACATTCGCTTTCCACACCTAAGAAAGCAGCCCCTTGGGATGCCGACGGAAGTGGTCATGCAAGAGAGGCAAATGGATGGTGCTCAGGACAGACCAGGAGCTGCCGGTGACACATGAGGGTGACAGACGGGACGCACAGTGGAGTGGACCACACCTCTGGCCGCACCTGCCCAGGGAAGGCTTCCACACTGGGACTGGACCAGGCATCAGCGTCTGTCCGCACGGACAGCACAGCACGGGCCCTCTGAGCACCACTGGCTTTCTGAAGTGATGAGGGAGCTCAGTGAGCTGCCTGTTCCTGATCTGAAAACGGGGGGCTCTAACAGTCCCTGCCTCCCACGGTCGTGGTGCAGCACCTGGGACTGTAAATGCTCAAGAAATTCAAACTTTTCCTATCGATGCTGGAGACAGAAGCACAGGGTGGTCCGGGACCCTGCCGGCTGGCCTAGAAGGAACCGGGGGAAGGGGCCCTGTGTGATGTGGGCTGGCAGGTCTGTGCAAGAGACCCCGCAGGCGCCCCGGCTTGGCCACACTCCCCATCTCTCATGCCTCTTCCCACCGTGTGGCCCCAAACTAAACACGTTGGCCACAAACAAGTCGGTTGGGGAGACCCAGGAGTGGGAAGGGCTCAGTGAAGACCCTTGGAATGACAGCATCCAGCCACAGGAGAGGAGCAGAAGTGCCCCCCACTCCCATTCACGCTGGCCCGCGGGCTCTGTCCTGGATCGGCGCCTCCGATGGGGCAGAGGCTCTCCCTCCCGGTCAGGGAGGTCAAGACCCTCCCAAGGAGAAGCTAAGGTGCAAGGGATGGGTTCACAGGAAAGCGCCCAGTAACTTATCTCTGATCCACAGGGAACCAGGGACGGGGAATCGGGGTCCCCTTCCCTGAGGGCTGGTTGGGGAAGACGCTGGAGCCCTTGCGCCTCCTTTACCCCTTCACTCTCAAAAGGGCTCCGCTCGCAGGGGCGGGGTCAGGTCAGCCTGTCCCTGAGCCCGGCGTCTGCCTCCCTTGCTGACTCGGGACCCCACCTGTGAGGGCGGCGTGGACTCCCACGGCCCCGCGCGTGGTCTGCATCTCAGACCCGGGTTTAGCAGGTGAAGGAAGCGGGGGGGCGGGGGCGGGGCGGAGGGAGGGGCGGGCTCCAGCCCCGGGCACGGACCAGTCGGCGGGGGGCACCGGCTCGGCCCCGCCCCGCGCGCCCCCGCCGCGGCCGGCGCGCGCTCCCGGGAGGCGGCAGCAGCGGCGGCGGCACCGGCAGCCTCGGCAGCACACCCGGGCGGCCTCGGGCGGGGCCGGCTGCACGGACGGACAGACAGAGGGCGCCGGGGGCGCGCGTCTCTCCTGCGCCGGCCATGGAGGGAGCCTCGTTCGGCGCGGGCCGCGCGGGGGCCGCCCTGGATCCCGTGAGCTTCGCACGGCGGCCCCAGACCCTGCTGCGGGTCGCGTCCTGGGTGAGTGGCCCCAGTCCCGGCTGCCGCCCCGGTCCCCCAGCCCGCCTCGCCGCGCATCCCCCGTCCCTTCCTGCTGCCCCTAGCCCCTCGCCCCCATCCTTGTCCCCGGGGGCCCCTCCCCCGCCGGCCGCAGGTTGGGGTGACGTCACCGGGCTGGGCGCGCCCACCTGCGGGAGGGGGAGGGGCGGGCGGCAACCGCCGGGGACCTTGAGAGGTCACCGCCCGCCGCCCCCATCCTCCAATTTCTCCTTAGGTCCGCCTCTGATCCCTACCTCAGCCCTCGCTCCGTTTTTCTTGTTCTCACGACCTGGAAGCGGGCGCAGGGGCGGGGACGGGATGGGCGCGAGCGCTCCAGCTCAGCACGAGGAGGGGGCTGTGGGAGTGTATCAGGCAGAGCTTCCACCTGCTTCTCCCCCACACACATCCTCCAGGCTCCTCCGAAGGGAACTGGCCCTTTCCCAGGCCCCCCAGTTGCAATTGTGAGTGTGGGGGGTGCTCTGGGACCCCACTGGGTGGGGCAGCAAGAAGGGGCTCCGCACTGGGATGGCTTCCTCGGGGTGGTGTGGGAGGGAAGATCTGGGGACAGCCTAGCCTAGTGGGGCATCCCTAGAGGGGGCGGCCTGCTCCTTCCGCGAACCCCTCCAGGCAAGAAAGATGGAGAGGTGGGGGGTGACGATACATGGGTTTTGTGTAGCGGGCGGCACCTGGTGCCAGCCGCACCTGCTCGCTTGTCTTCAAGGAGAGCGATGCCCAGGGCGGGCTGACTTGGGGCAGACACCCCTGTGTCCTGGTGCCAGCCCCGGTGTGACTTGCGAACCACCCTGGGGGGACACATCCGTGCCCCACACCTCGATTTCCCTCCGGACCTCATCTCAAGGAGCTGGAGAGGGAAGGGAGAGAAATGAAGTTGAAACTGGAGGTCTGTTTTTAGAAACACGGGGCTGCCCAGGGCTAAAAGAGCAGCATGTGGTCCAGGGGTGCCTGGCTGGCTCAGTCTGTACAGCATGTGACTCAGGGTCATGAGTTCAAGCCCCATGTTGGGCTTGGAGCCTACCCTAAAAAAAATAAGTAAATAAAATGTAAAATGACTGTGGTCTGCTGCCAGCTGCCTTCCAGGCTTTGTGGGCACGGGATGCTGAGGTCTGACTGAACCCCAAAGGTTAATAGTATTGCCCTTTGAGCCCAAACACTTATGATGCTAATAATCAGTCATGGGGGCTGTCAATCCCTTGGATGCCTGCCAAGTCCAAGTGCAGCACGCTGGGTGGGCCCTAGTACTCCGTGAGCTGTACCTTTGACTGTATTTGACATGTTAGGAAGCAGGGCCACACAGCGCCCAGATGCTGAGGGTGGGTTCTATGCAGAGCCTGGGTGACAGCTGTGCAGCTGTCCCTCCGCAGCTCCCCCCTGTGCTCTGGCCCCTTTCTTCACACCTGCCTCCTGAAGCACCACTCGCTGGAGCCAAGGAATCACTGGTCCAGGTAAAGGCTCCTGGTTTACAGTCTGGAGTGGGTCTTGCAGAGACCCTGTGGTGCTGATAACCCAGATTGGATGTCAGCCCCATCTTTTATCAGCCAGGTGACCTCACTAATTGGCGCCCCAATTTCCCGTCTATAAAGGGGCTAAGAACAATGGCCCCCTTGTGGTTTGCAGGGAGGATTCTATGAGGAATCATGATAAGCATAGTGCCAGGTATAGTAGATGCTCACTTAATGGTACATGTCCATAATTTTTAAAAGATGTTTTTATTGGGGCGCCTGGGTGGCTTAGTCGGTTAAGCGTCCGACTTTCGCTTAGGTCATGATCTCGCGGTTCGTGGGTTCAAGCCCCGCGTCGGGCTCTGTGCTGACTGCCAGCTCAGAGCCTGGAGCCTGCTTCAGTCTGTGACTCCCTCTCTCTCTGACCCTCCGCTGCTCACGCTGTTTCTCTCTCTCCTAGAAATAAAAAAAAAAAAAAAAAAGATGTTTTTATTTTTTTAATGTTTTATTTATGTCTGAGAGAGAGATAGCATGAGCAGGGGAGGGTCAGAGAGAGAGGGAGACACAGAATCTGAAACAGGCTCCAGGCTCTGAGCTAGCTGTCCGCATAGAGCCTGACGGGGGGGGGGGTTCGAACCCACAAACTGAGATCATGACCTGAGCCGAAGTCAGACACTTAACCGACTTAGCCACCCAGGCGCCCTATTTTTTTAAAATTTTTTAATGTTTTATTTATTTCTGAGAGAGAGAGAGAGAGAGAGAGCGTGAGCAGGGGAAGGTCAGAGAGAGAGGGAGACACAGAATAAAGATGTTTTTATTTTTGAGAGAGAGAGAGAGAGAGCGCGGGAGAGGAAGAGAGAGAGGGAGACAGAATCTGAAGCAGCTCCAGCCTCTGGGCTGTCAGCACAGAGCCCCAGGCGGGGTTCGAACTTGTGAACCCTGAGATCATGCCCTGAGCTGAAGTCGGACGCTTAACGGACTGAGCCACGCAGGCGCCGTCGAGTCCGTAACTTTCAAATACTTAAGGGAGGGGTTCAGGGAAGGGTGCGCGCAGACCCCATCCGCTGACGCGCCCTGTGCTGCAGGGGCAGGTAGGGCCAGGCCCGAGGGCGTGAGCAGTCGCGGTGCGTGACCGGGGGGAAGGGAGGCCGCCGCAGGGCCCTGAGCGCCCCCGCCGTCCGCAGGTGTTCTCCATCGCCGTCTTCGGGCCCATAGTCAACGAGGGCTACGTGAACACGGACAGCGGCCCCGAGCTGCGCTGCGTCTTCAACGGGAACGCGGGCGCCTGCCGCTTCGGCGTCGCGCTCGGCCTGGGGGCCTTCCTCGCCTGCGCCGCCTTCCTGCTGCTCGACGTGCGCTTCCAGCAGATCAGCAGCGTCCGCGACCGCCGCCGCGCGGTGCTGCTGGACCTGGGCTTCTCAGGTGGGCGGGGCTTGCCGGCGGGGGGCGGGGCCGGAGGGGGCGGGGCCGGCCGGGGGGCGGGGCCTCCGCGCGGGGGGGGGGGCCCTGACTCGCGCGCCTGCCCGCAGGGCTCTGGTCCTTCCTGTGGTTCGTGGGCTTCTGCTTCCTCACCAACCAGTGGCAGCGCACGGCGCCCGGGCCTGGCACGCTGCAGGCGGGGGACGCGGCGCGGGCCGCCATCGCCTTCAGCTTCTTCTCCATCCTCAGCTGGGTGAGTGTGGCCGGCGGGGGCCGGGCCGGGACCGGGGCGGGGCGGGGTCGGTGCTGGCTGACCCGGGGCTCCCTCTCAGGTGGCGCTCACTGTGAAGGCCCTGCAGCGGTTCCGCCTGGGCACGGACATGTCGCTCTTTGCCACCGAACAGCTGGGCGCCGGGGCGGGTCAGGCCTATCCTGGCTACCCGGTGGGCAGCGGCGTGGAGGGCACCGAGACCTACCAGAGCCCTCCCTTCACCGAGACCCTGGACACCAGCCCCAAAGGGTACCAGGTGCCTGCCTACTAGTGGCCGGCAGGCCCGCACCAGGGCTGGGAGGCAGCCGTCAAGCCGGGCAGGGTCCAGGATTTCCTGGGACCTCCCTCAGGTCCTCCTGGCCCAGCGCCAGGGACAGAGGGGGTGGCCACTGTGGGCCATCCGGGGCCAAGAGAGGGTAGCCCCCAGGGTGCCTGGGCTGCCCCCTGCCCCCAGGTTCCCCCTGTCCCCTTAGGCGCTGGCCCCAGGCCTGAGGTCCTGAGGAGGGGACAGTGCAGTCCTGGACAGGTGTCCTCCAGCCTCTGGTGGATCAGCCCGGGAGGGGGCCGTCCCTGTCGCGAGTCAGCCAGCCCCTGGCTCACCTGTCCACGCTGGGGTCAGGGGTCTAGCTGCCCTCCACAGCTAGGTGCGGGGGCTGCCCCCCAGACAGGGCGCTGTTCGCACCCCATGTCCCCGGGGGTAGTGACGGTCCCTGCCCTTGTGGTGGCTCGCCCTGTGAGGCTGTGCGCACCCTGCCTGGAGCCTCTGTCCACTTGCCCGCACAGGCTCGCTAGAGTAGCCTGGTCCTGTTGATGTTGTGATTGTGGTCAAGTCCTCGGGCTTCACCTTGTAGTTCCCTGCAAGCAGCCTCACTGTCGTGGCCCCCGCTCCCACCCCGACCTGCCTTGGCCCAGGAGCCTGCCCACATGTGGGCGTTCTGGGTTAGGAAGACACCACACTCTAGGCCTGGCCACCGGGCCTCTCCCACCCCTTCGGTGAGACCTTGCCTAAGGGCGACTAGGGACACCTGGGTGCATGTAGAGAGAGACAAGCCCCTCACAAGGAGGGAGGCCCGGAGGCTCCGCACGCCCACAGTGCCCTGGACACGGCTGATCTGTGCAAACCCCTTTAGCTTTCTGGACCAGTCCCGCAGCAGCCTGCCCCGCACCCCTGTGGTAAGGCACAGCCCGAGGTTGGGGTCCCTCTGCGTAGCTGACTACTCCTGCTTTGCTCAAAGCCGGCTTTTCACATTACGTCAATACCAAATGCGGCTGCCACATTTCATTCCCACAGACAGACGCCTCCCTCTGGAGTTGCAGTTGAGTGACAGCCCTGTACGTGGTAGCATAGGCCAATTATGTGTGGTTATTTAAGTGAACATGTTTACAATTTTTGTATATATGGATCTTTCTCTCCCTCTTCTGAAAGAACAACCCCGATTGTGTATTTTCAGTGTCCCCATGTTTCAACTGCAACTTCTTTACAATAAAGACTGTAAGTGAGTTTACTCGGCACAGACAGTCTCGGAGTCGTTCCTGCCCTGTGGGTGTCAGAGGCTGGGATCTGCCCCATCAGCGCCCAGAATCCAGGAAGGGGGCGCGGGTGCAGGTCAGGCTGACGCCCACGCTCTGGGGGTCCCTGAGTTCCCCACCACACATTCCCCTGTGTGACGCCCATCTCTTTTCTCTCTCTCTCTCTCTCTCTGCTTTCTATCTAAACTTTTTTTTAATCGTTTATTTATATTTGAGACAGACAAGTATGATTATCCTTTGCGGCTTATCTGTTTTCTTTTTGGTAAAATGTATTATAAGTTGTATCATGTCCAGACGTGGCTTTTTAAAGAATTATTGTTTAGTGTGTGTGTGTGTGTGTGTGTGTGTGTGTGTTTAAACAACCATTTATCAGTCTTCACACAACTCCGATGTGGGGTTGGAACTTATGACCCGAGATCAAGTGACGTGCGCTACTGACGGAGCCATTCAGGGCGCCCTGGTGCTTATTAAGTTTTCTATTATTTCTTCAATGCCAGGGAAAGCAGGGATTCTTTTTCTGCCTTCCCCTTCTCTGCACGTCTACCTTCTGTTGGACCCCCAGCAGGTGGTCTGTGCAGCTTCCGCAGCCGCATTCCTGTGGCAACTCAGTCTCTGGAGATTTTCCCAGCTTGGTCCATTTGCTTTTTCTTTTTCTTTTTTTTTTTCATGTTTTTTATTTATTTCTGAGAGGGAGAGAGAGACAGCGTGAGCAGGGGAGGGTCAGAGACAGAGGGAGACACAGACTCTGAAACAGGCTCCAGGCTGAGCTAGCAGTCAGCACAGAGCCCAATGCGGGGCTCGAACCCACAAACTGTGAGATCATGACCTGAGCCGAAGTTGGATGCTTAACCGACTGAGCCACCCAGGTGCCCTGACTTCTAATTGTTTAATAACCTGGTTGAGAGAAACAGTGTTGAGAACCGTCCCCGGGGCTGGAATGCTGGCTTTGCCACATCTGAGCAGGGCTGTGTCAGGCAAGTCTCTCAACTCATCTGTGCCTCAGCCTCCCCTTCTGTAAGAGGGGGACGAGAGTCTGGGCACGGGGCTGGCTGAGGGTTGTGCTGACGTATATGCAGAGCCCCGAGCAGGGCTTCTGACACAGCAGGCATCAACTAGTGTTGCCTAGTGTTGGTATGGTTCTTGCTTCATTGAGAACAGCTTATTTTCAACACTGTTAATGAGATACCCTATTTTCCAGATTACTCTTCTGTGGGGCTGGTTGTACTCAAGCCTGCAAATAGGGCATCAGCAATGAGGGGCTTCTTGTGGGTCCTAGGGAAGGCAAGTGGCCTCTACGTAGCCCAGTGGAGGGTAAAGAGGGTGAAGGCTCTTTGCTGCTGGGCCCTGAGTGGCCATTACCCATGGGCATTGCTCTGGCCGCAGCCACAGGCAGGCAGCGCCGCCCAGGCCCCTCATCGTCGTGGGGACCCCCTTCCTTGTTTAGAAAGACATCTGTTTCTTCTAAGGACATTTCCTTTCCTTTATTTGGATGTGGTTGTGTGTTTAGAACTATTTACATGGTTTAGGGCAGAAAGGGGAGATTTCTCTGGTCCCCTTCTGAAATACGAGATGCGAGTAATTCAGCACAAATGATTTTCTTGCAGGATGTCAGATACGGCCCCCCACTGCCCCTGAAGTGCTTGTTTACCTGGGTAGCTCTTTACCTGCAGGTGCAAACTGCGGCTCCGTAGGACTCCCGTGTTCTGGAAGGATGGTTTGACTGGGTACACAGCTACAGGCCACACATGGCCGGGTATGTTCCTGGGAGGCCGGGGCAGTGCCAGCCACACCTCCAGACAGGGCACTGGCTGGTTGCTGCTTCCTGCGAGCACAGCCGAGCCGCCCAGCCCCCCCAGCTGCGGGGTGGTCTGGGAGGGCAGAGACGCTCATAACACCAGCTATGTGCGTTATTGCAAAATAAATTTATTTGAAGATACACGGTCTTATAAAACGTCAGAGGCAATTTGAGATCCCAGATTCAGCTTGTCTCATAAAAAGATACAACTTCAAGTAGCACAATTTCGTGTCTGCTTTTAATCCTGAACGTTCTTGAATCACGAAACAGCCAACTGTTTACACAACACGCTCAACACCTGACTCCAGCACGGGTGGACCCACATCTGCTGACTTGGGGACCACGGTGCCGCAGCCCTCCAGCCGGGGTGGGGGTGTGTGGCCTGGACACAGCCACTGTTGCCACCAGCTCACACAGCACGGACAGGATCCGGCCTCTCAGCCCTTCCCTCCCCTCGCAACTTTCAAAAGCATGAAAACACAAACCAAGACCGGCCCGCCACTGAGGCCTTCGCCCGGCTCCCAGGAGGCCACTGGGTGGACTCCCACGCGATGGTGTGCGGACAGGGCAGGGTGGGCCTTCCTGGTGGCCCCTGGCGGGCGGGCCGGCTGAGGGCCCGGAGCAGGCGGCCTCCCGGGGACCCCGGCTGCGTGGCAGCCAGCAGGAAGGAAGGAGGGTGTGGCGGCTCCTGCCCGTGCTGGCGGGGGCTACGTGAGGATCCTGGCGATGGCTTGCAGGGAGGGGAAGTCGCTGTCCTGGGCGGCATGCAGGGCCTGGTGGCTGCTGACGTCCCCGTGCGCGAGCACCTGCTGGCAGGTGGGGCACACGCAGCAGTCCAGGTCTGCCGGCCGGGTGCTGGCCTGCCATGCGTTCTTCTTCTTCTTGGCCTTGGTGCCCGGAGGCCTCTCTCGGCCGTGGAAGTGCGCGTGTGCAGACAGCAGCTCCTGCTGCTTGGCCGTGTCGGGCAGGAGCACCAGCAGCTCGTTGAAGATCTTCTGGAAGTTCTCCCCGAGCAGGTCACGGCAGCTCTTATAATACTGGGCCGCGGAGATCACGCCCTGCCACCCAGAGCCAGACCTGGTCACGTCCAGCGTGGGCCTGAGCCCCAGCAGTGGCTGCACCGGCCCCCGGCACCCCTGCCCGCCTCACCTGTCTGAACTCCCCCGAGTGGCTCTTGAACTTGCTGAAGCGGGCCTCGTCGCTCTGCAAGAAGTCCCTGATAGACTGGATGAGCTGCAGGTTCCTCTCCCGGAAGTTCTCGGGCACCAGGTAGGCCTGTGGTGCAGGTGTCAGCCTGGGTCTGGGGGTCGAGAGATGGGGAGGAGGTGGCGGCTTTGGCCTTTGGGGTGGCCCAAGGGAAGGGCACCCGCCGGCCCCCAGGGGCGCAAGGCTGGGTGGCCCACCAATACTTACGCTTTCGTGGTGGTGGCAGTGCTGGGGACACAGGCCGGGTGTGGGCCGGGCAGGAGGCCGGAGAAGCCGGGGGGCGGCTTGCTGACGGGGGGCACCAGGCCGGGTGGGGGCGGGGGTGGAGTGCCCTTCAGGAGCACCACGGCGTTGAAACCTGCAGGGGGTGGTATCGCAAGGCCCAGAACGTGACCCTGGCTGTGTGGCTCCCGCCTGAAAGCCAGCACACCCACTGAGCTCCCTTGGGCATTAGCGGCCGAAGGTGACTTACTCCCTCCTCTAGCATACTGGGAGGTGAGGGGCAACGAGGGTAAGCGGACTCCTCGTGGTGGTGCCGCTAAGCTCCTGAGGCGGCTGACCCCCACCTCACAGGCTGCCCTGTCCCTGCCGGCTGGCCAGTGGGTGCCCCGCGGCACAGCCCCCTCTTCCCGGGCCCACGGGCTCCAGTCTGACTTGACCACCCAGCCCCTTCCCAGCTGCCCAGAAGCGGGCCTGAGCCAAACCCACGTACCTGGGGGAGGGGGCATCCTGGGTGGGCAGGGGACTCCCAGTGCTGGGAAGTCTTCTTGGGCTGTGGGGCAGGAGAGGGGCCCTAGGGGCCGCGGGAGCCCAGGGGGCTCCTTGGGTGTGCTCCGAGCCGGGGCCGGCCCCTCTGTGTGTCCGTTGACGATGACAGCGACTGGCCCCTCGGCCCTGCCAGTGGGGGCGCCGGGGGCCCGCTCGGCCCCAGGGGGCCCATCTCTGTCAGCGGGTGGTAGGGGCGGCGATGCAGCACCTGGCTTCTCTGAGCCCACCTTCTTCTTCTTGCCAACCTTGGTGACGGTCTGGGTGGAGGCCAGCGCCAGCAGGGAGGAGACGGCCACCGTGGTGGGCACGCTCCGCAGCTCCTGGGCGGTGAGGCCGGCGCGGCCCTCCTCCGCCTCCTCCTCCAAGGGGGGAGGCCCGCCCTTCTTGCCGCCCTTGCCCCCCTTGCCGGCCTTCCTGGAGGGCTGGCCGCTCCCGCCCGCAGCCTGGGCCCCTGCGGAGGGACGCGCCGCCTTCTTGCTGCTGCTGCTGTTCCACGCGGAGATGAGGCTGGTGGGGGCGGAGCCGGGCTTGGAGGCGGAGGGCACCAGGGCCGGGAAGTCGTCCTCTTGGAAGGTGCCCCTGCCCCTGGCAGAGACATGGGACGCGAGCGCCGGCCCCGAGGGGCCCAGGGCGGCCCCGGCGGCAGACGAGGAGGAGGGAGAGGCGACGGAGGCGCAGAGGCTGGGGAAGTCTTCCTCCTTGAGCTTCGAAGTCGGGGCGGGGAGGGTGCTGGGCCCGAGGAGGGGAGCGGTGTCAGCGGTCTGCAGGGGCTGCCCTGCCCTGCACCCACCTCCCGCAGCAGCCCTCCTCCCTTACCGCCGTTCTGCGTGCGCGTACCTTGGAAGTGCGGCCCCTGCGGCCGGGCTGGCTGCCGGGAGGGCCTCCGGGCTTACAGGACCGTTTGTTGAGGCTTCCTTGGGGCCTATGAGACGTGAAGGGACCCTGCGTCAGGGCGGAGCTACGTGCAGGGAGTGGGAACAGACCCGGGGGGAGCTCATGGGTGCCCCTGCCAGTCCCTGGCACCATGCCGGCCAGGAGCCTGCCTCTCACCTCCCAGGCAGCTCCCACGCCAGGGCAGGGCCAGCTCACCTGGACCTTCACCCTGAGTCCGGGGCGGGCGCCGGGCACCGCGGAGCTCCTCCAGCCCCCGCACCCCTGCCTCCTCCTTCTTGGGCCTGCTGCCCTCCTCCCGGTCCTCACTCTTGCGTGTCTCCTGCTGCTGCTGCTGCTGCTGCTGCTGCTGCGCGGCCGCCGAGGCCCGGATGGCAGCTGCCACTTCCCGGTCCTCTTCTTCCCTGGGAGGGGGAGGCCTTCAGGCTGGGCAAGGGCCAGGACCAGAATGGTGCGCAGAGCGACATGCTGCGGAGGGGTCCCCCACCCCCGAGGTGTCCCGCCACCGGGCGCAGGCCCACCCTCCCTGGCCAGGAGAGGGCGCCGCGGAGGCAGCAGGAGGCTAGGGCTCCCTGGGCACCCCCGAGGCCAGTGCTCCGTCCCGGCCGGCACTGGGGGCGGCACCCGGTCTGAGTGTGTTTGCACCAGCGGCGTTTCAGAGCTCAACCTCAAGGAGCCCCCAAGTGACACAGGCCCGTCACCCACCCCAACGTGCGTTCCTGGTGTCTCTGGCTGGAACTAGACAAAAGAGCAGGAAACGCCTGCTTGCTCAGGACACTAAGCAGGCCACTGCCAGGTACAGGATGCCAAACACCAGAAGGCCAAAGTCCCCCAACCCCTCTGCCTGGTCCCAGCCTGGCTGTCGGCCGCTGCCACCACCTCAGGGGCGGCGCCAGGAGAGCGTCAGCGGCACGCAAGTCCTCCCACCTCTTGTACCTCCAGCTTCCTCGGCGGCTCTGCTGGGCTCCACGGCCGCCGGCCCGGCCCGCACGGCCCTGGCGGGTGTACCTGTCCACCTCCTCGTAGTCCTCGCCCCCGACGACCCCTGCGGCCAGCACACAGCCTGTCATGGGCCCGGGCCAGACCGAGGCAGGCGCTCCAGGAGCCCCGAGGATCGGAGCAGACACCTCCAGGGTCTGTGTCAGCCCCTGGCGCTCCACAGTCCAGCCCCCCATTCCCCCGACCCCAGGAGCCGCTGCTGCAAAGTGCTCCCCGTGGTCACGACGTGCTCAGATGCTCGGGGCTTGCTGAAGGCCGAGGAGACACAGGCTCAACGTGCGCGTCCCCTGTCCGCGGACGCCTGAGGGCTCAGGCCTGGACCCGGGTCTGAGCTCTGCAGGCCTCCGGAGCCCCGCTCCGCGGAGAGAAGGCCGTGCTCACCCTCGTTCCGGCGCGAGTGCCGCGGCGCGTAGCTGAACTGCAGGTCGATCTGGCGGTTCTGGCGGGCCTCGGCGCGGCTGCGGCTGTGGCAGGCCGTCCTGTGCGCCTTGAGGTCGATCTCGGTGCGGAAGGCGTGGGTGAACTGCTCGGTGCTGCAGCGACCCTCCTCACAAAGGAAGTGCTTCTCCCGGAAGTGCTCGCGCAGGTAGGCGTAGTCGCTGGCGGGGGCGGGGGGGGGGGGGCGGAGGGTCTGGGGTGTGAGCAGGAGCCCGCGCCCCGGCCAGCGGCCCTGCCCCGCCTGCTCTGGTGCCCAGCCCCGCGCTCACCTGTAATAGTCCTGGGCCCCGTCCGAGTCACAGAAGTGACAGAAGTAGTGGTCGCGCCGCAAGTGTTTGAGCAGCTCGTCGTTGTCCAGGTAGCGCTCGTCACAGAACTTGCAGAGCGGGTGCCCTCGGTGCGACGTGTCGTCAGGGTCCCCCTGCATGCGGTGCCGTGCCAGGTCCTTGCGTGAATACCATTTGCGCTCGTACGTGAAGATCTGCAGGGAAGAGGGTGCTGGGCGCCGGGGGGGGCCCTTCCCACAGCCCCGTGACACAAGGGGGACCCGGCGGCGCTGGTGCGGGCTCCGGACCCCAGCGGCCCCTCCCCACCCGGGCTGCGTGAGGCAGGAGAGCGGGAGGACAGGCAGGGGGGCGAGGGGCGCACCTTGAGGTGTCTGAGGCAGAGCTTGCAGCAGAAGAGCTCGTGCTGCCTCCGCATGTGCTGCTCCAGGTCCCCGAAGAGGCCGAACGGCGGCAGCTCGGGGCACTGTGGGCACTCATGTTGAAGCAGCTGCCTGGAGACACACCGGGGGGCCCCGACCGTCCCGCGTGAGCCCCGCCGCCTCCTCAGGGCCCCTGCATGCGCTCTGGGAGGAGCCAGGAGGACGGGCGCCTGCTGTGCCCACCGCCGCGAGGACCGCTGGGTCGCACCCAGACCCCGGGTCGAGGCCAGCTGCGGGACGGCTGACCTCTGTGTCACGTGGGCATGGTGACTGAGCCCACACTGGGAGCCAGCCCCCCACCCGGCTGAGGAGGATCACTCCCACGACAGCTGTGCCCTTTGTGGGGTCTCCTGCCGTGGGCTAAGATCCCAATTCACGGGGGCTCGCGAGTGCCTCACACGGCCCCAGCAAGCAGGCACCACGCCCTGCCGCCCAGTGCTTTCCCTGGACTCACCCCTGCCCGTCTCCGCCGCCACCCCAGCACAGGTAATGCCAGGAAATCAAAGAGGGGCCCTGACATGCACGCCACACCCCCTCCCCTGCGAGGCCTGTGCCCTTCCCTGCCACAAGCCCCCCACAGACCCAGGCTCACTGCAGGCCCCTGGGGCCCCTGCTCACCTGTACAAGGCAAAAACTTTTCCATCTGCAAAATAGATGTCATACTTCTTCTCGTGCTGCAGCTGGTGGAGGGGGATTGTGGCAAAGGCGGGAAGCTTCTTCCCAAAGACCACCTGGAACCAAAAGTGAGGGGCCTGCTGAGCAGGGCCGCGGACACCCACTGGAGGGTACTGTCCGGCTAAGAAGAAAGGGAGGCACTCAGGTCCTCATGGGAGGCCCAAGGCAGGACCCGCGGGCAGCAGCCTGTGCCATCCTGGGCTGCCAGCAAGGCGGGGGGAGGAGGGGCGCCCCCTCTCCTCCCCTGCAGGGTGCCCACCTGGGGTGGCTGGGATGGAGACGCAACACCTGGCCTGGCCACCAGGGGGCGGCAGGCTCTCCCTCATCCACAGCCAAACCAGCCCTGAGACAGACCGAGGTCACCCCAGGGGCGGTGACCCCCAGGGCGCAGCGACACGACCAAGCTGACTGGCAAGCCAGGGCCTAATCACATGGGTGCTGGGCACAGGCCAGGTGCTGTCTAAGAAGCAGCTACGGAAATGATGCCACCAGGACGAGGCAGGCAACTGCAAGTCAAGGCCTAGCTCGCTGTCCGCCCATGATGCCACGGGGAGCTTGGTCATGGCCCCTGGCCACCTCTTGGCCAGCTTCCTGCCTGCCACCCAGCTGTCAGAGTGGTCAGTGCGGAGCTGCAGCCACTCAGCAGGGACAGGGTGCAGACACCCCAGCAGCCTGTTTCCTAGGGGTCCCGGCATTCTGGGTACAGTGTGATCCTCCCCTCCACAGAGCCCGGCCCCAGGGGCCCGTTGTTGCCGTGGGCCCAGGCCTCCCCTCCTAGCCAACAAGGGCGCTGTTCCCTCCTGGCTCCCTCCTCTCTGGCTCCTACTCCCCTCCCCTGGATCCAGATCACACCCCTCGTCCCCTGTCTCCTCTCCAAGCCCCTTCCCACTCCACCACTGTCCCCCACCCCCAACTCTGGAGCTGGTCACTTGACTCAGGTCAGAGTCCTCACTTTGGGAAGGGCCATGTCAAGGTCACCCTTTTCATGTTTAGGTTTAGCTAGGCTCAACTAGGGAGGACGTCTGGGATCAGCACGGCCATGAACTTGGAAAGGTGCAAGACTGGGTGGGGAGAAAGGGTAGTCACACTGTCCCCCAGCAGCAGGATGGTTAAAACCGGTTCCCTGGGGGGTCTGGGAGAGAAGCTGGGAACCTCAGTCCACACTTTGGGTGATACACTGTGGGTAGAGGAAGCCGACCCCACGGCCCCCACAGGAGCCCGAGGGAAGCATCGGGGTCCAGCCACACCCATTCTGGGGGTTGGAGGAGGACGAACTTGGCCCAAAAGGCCTTCTTCCTCTTGACGTCACATCTGGCAAGGTGTATGTGACCACCCACCACTGCCCCTGCCACACACTGAGTCTGGAGGTGCTCACCACAGCTGTGCTCCCAAGGGCCCCCCTCCCTCTGGTCTTCTCCCCAGGACTCTGGGTCACACAACGGCCGCTTCTCAGGGGATCTGCCCCTCTGGGGCCAACCCACACTCAACCCTGCTTTCCCAGCCCAGAGCCTAGTCCCCACTGCCTCTTACCAGGGGACCAGCACCCGCAGACGCAGGGCTGCAGGGCCATGAGCCAGTCAGGATGCCGCGGGCCCACCACAGATCACAAGCCCCGTCGTGCAACGAACTGCGGGGACTCAGGGCCCTGGCTGTGCTGAGGCCGCACAGGCGGCGGACTCAGGAGCCCGGCATCTGCCTGAGGCCTCTACAGAGGCACCCCGTGAGGGAACCCCCAGCCAAAAGGCATCCAAGTCCAGCAGACCGAGCAAAGGAACAACTTCCTTCCACAGAGGAAACCAGAGCCGGGTCGCCACCGTCACCGCTGCTGCCTCCCCCAGCTCCGGCGCCTTCCTCTCGGGGGTCTGCCCTGGTCCGCCTCAGCAGTGTCCTGCTGCGGGCACCCTTGCCGTGGACGGAGGTAGGGCACAGTCCTCGAGACAGACTGCCGGGCTGCGGGGGCGGCCAGTGCCGAGCACACCTGAGCCAAGCCAGGGGAAGGGGACGCTGGGTGGGCTCAGGAGGGGATGGAAACCACAGGAAGAGGTCGGGGAAAGGAAGGCGGCCGGGCACACAGGCTCAAGGCCGGGCACACAGGCTCAAGGCCACGGCACACAGGCTCAAGGCCAGGTGTGTCTGAGAACGAGGGAGAGCAGGTGTGGAGCCGGGAGTGCGAGCTGGGAAACGCTAGCGGCCCCTCTTGGGCTGTGAGACTGGCCGCCGGAGCCCTGCACCAGATGTCAGGACCCGCGAGGGGCAGACGGGAGGATGGCAGTGCAGCCTGGTGTGGCCAGTGTCCTTGCCCACAGCACAGGGCGAGGCAAATGGCAAGACCAAGTAGCCGGACAAGGACCAGGGCACAGTGGCCCAACTAGGGACGTGGGAGAGCCCAGCAGGCATCCAACCAGCATGGCCGGAGACCCACCCGCCCTAGTGAGCACCCTAATGGGAGAGGGTCACGGGTCTGGGGACAGAGGCCCAGGCCAGGCCTAGACAACTGAGGATGGAGCATCCTGGGAAGTCCTCGGGCAGGCCAGGCAGTACCTGTCAGAGGGGGAAGGGCACCCCTGCGTGGGCCCTAGGATGGCCAGGCCAGTCCCTGAAGGGAGGGAGCAGGAGATGGGAGGAGAGCGCTGCTCAGACCCCCACAGGCGGTATGTGTTTCTGCCTGGGGCTCCGCCGCTCCCCACTCCCAGTATGCAGTGGGCGCGCGCTGACAGTGAGCGGGAGAGGGATGGGTGGCACCAGCATGGACCACTGGCCAGAGTGTGCCAGGCGGGGAAGGTGGGCCCCATCTAGAAGCACAGGCCCCCAAGGAGCACTGGTGGACCAGGCCAGTGGGAATGGGCCCTGACAACAGAAAAACAAGACCGGTCAGCAGGCCCCCTCCCACCTCCCGGCTGTGAGGTGGGAGACGGCACCAGCTCAGACACACCCCCCTTCGCACAGCAGCCCCAAAAAACCTCTTTGACATTAGGGGGCATCCGGGCAGGGTGGAGCCTGAGACTCGATCACCCCTCAGACGAAAACAGCCTGCGGGAGACGTGACTGGGGAAGAAAGGTGGGTGGGAGGCACGGCCCCGGCCTTGCTGGCGCGCCCTGCAGACCATCCGGGGTGGACAGAGACAGACCTGGGAGCGGCCCTGGGAGCCGGCCTGACCAGCAGCTGCAGGGCTGCTCTGCGTCTGCCCTTTGTGTCGCCTGCCCCGGGGGCGGGCGCAGGGAAGAGCCAGGTCCAGGGGCAGGCCTGTTCCACACAGCACCTTGGCACGCTCTCCTCCCAAGTTTTTACAAAGACTTAGTCCCGTAAGGGAGGACAGAGCAGAGGCAGGGTTCAGGGGCGGGGGGTTGCTGTGGGACTCCCTAGCGGGCATGGGGCATTCAGAGGACAGTGTGGGGCTCAGCGAGGGAACAAAAAGGCCTAGGGTGGGGCTGCAAGTTCAAGAGTGGGAGGGAAGCAAGATGAATGGAGAGGATCGGCATCTCCCACACTTCCCAGGACACCCTCCTGCTGCCCAGTAATTCAGGGCAGGCCCAAGAGGAAGGCTGGAATCAGCCAGAGGCACCCAGTGCCAAAGCACGCCCTGGCAGGAGCCTGCTGACAGCTCGTGTCAACACCCCCTTGCCACAGAGCACTCGAAGGGTGTGGGACCCACAAGGAGTGACAGAGGCCAGATGCTGGCTAAGGTGGCCACACATAGGTGCCTGCTCTTTTCCTGGGTGAGGCCTGCGGCCCCATCCTTCCCGGAAGGAAACTCCAGGTGCACCGGGAAACCTGGCCATCCGAGACAGGTCATCTGTGAAGCATGCAAGACTGGCAAAGCTGGGGGGCGCACCGAGCCACAGGCCCAAGGTTCTCCTGTCCATCCCGATGCTCCGGGCCTCTCCCAGGTCTGTCTCTGTCCACCCCATGACAGACTGACGACGTCTCCAAGTGTCTTCTAACGGAGCAGAGTAGGTGCCCGTGGAGAGCTCACGGAATTATAGCGTCTCCTTGGCTCCTCTGACATACTGTCTACTTAGACAAAACAAAACATAACAAATCACCCAAAGGAACCTACGCCTCAACAATGCCGTTTCTGCGTCACTTCTAGGAAGAAGAAAGTCAGATTCCCTGGCAGATGTCACCAGCCCAAGCTTTCCATGAACAAACCAGGGAATTTCACAATGCTGGAAGCAAACAGACCTCAAGGCAAGTCAAGGGAGCTCCAGCTTGCTGCTCCCAGTCAGCATCTGGCATTATGGGGGGCGGGGGGGGGCGGGGAGGGGGATCTCCATGGTGCCCTCTGAAACCCTCCACGGCTTCCAAGTCTGGACAGAGTCCTAAACATCCCCACCTCCACTGTGGAGCTGAGCGCCCCACCCCAACCCCGGACTGGCTAGGAGGAGAAACACTTCGTAACACTTTTATCCAGATCCACCAAGAGACCTAAGGAAACCTCCATGGTCCTGCCTTCCCCTCCGGTGGGCACGCCCAGTGCCACCGCCCCTCCATACACGAAAACGCTGGTCTCTGGAAGGAGGACTTTGCTGGGCTTAACCCGAGGGACCCAAACATGCGTCTGGGCTGGAAATACCCACTTTGACTCTCTGCTGCCAGGACCGACGGCCTCTGGAGGTGCTCCCTTGCCCAGCGCCCTCCACCCCACGTCCTCGCCTCCAGTGGAGACCCCTGAGAATCAACTCCGCAGGGCAAGCAGGTGAGGGAGCTCGTGCTCACATCACGCCCTTCCTGTGGCCCGGCACGAATTCCCGGGGCGCAGGACGAAGTGTCCCCCGAGGGACGGCTCCCTCTTCGACCCAGCTAAGGCTACCCGCTGCCTGCCGGCCCCACGGCCCGGAGCCCGGCCCGGGCGGCCCCGCCAAGCCTGTCTTTCGGAAGCTGGCGCCGCCAGGCCTGCGGCCGGACACCAGGAAGGCAAAGTCCCTTTCCGGCCGCGCCCCGCGCCCGCCCCGGCGCCCCGAACGCGCGGCCCGGCCGGCGCGGCGCACCTGGCGCAGCTCCTCGCGGCACACGGCGCAGTAGCGCTGCTCGCACAGCACCCGCATCTTGGTGGAGCAGCGGTAGCACACCGGGTGGTCGCAGCGGCCCAGCGCCGTGGCCTCCAGGTCCCCGCAGCACAGCACGCAGCTCCCGCCGCCCCGCTCGGGGGCCGCCGCCGCCGCCGCCTCCAGGGCCGCGCGCCGCCCGTCGGCACCCGCCGCCGCCATGGTCCGGGCTGCGGGCCCCTCCGGCCGGCGCGGCGCGGCGCGGCCTGGCTCCCGGCGGGCCCGCCCCTTCCGGGGCGACGTCAGCGCCCCGCCCAGCAACGGCCCCGCCCGGCGGAAGCGCGCGCCGCCACTTCCGCCCCAGGAAGGAGCCGCCTCCAGGCAGGAGCCGGGCGCTCGGGGGCTCGGGGCGGCCGCTCCCGGCCCGGGGACGCCGGGTGGCGCTCCGCGGAAGTGTGCCCCTGCCGCGGAAGGGCCGTGCTGGCGTGCAAGCGCCTCCCGTGTCGCCGGGACACGCAGAGCGACCCCGACGTCCCGCGGAGCTCAGCATTGCTCTCCAGCCCGCACCGCCACCCCCTCCCCAGGTAACGGTTTTCTGCAAATCCTTAGCAGAAAAGACGGTTTTGGTGACATCCATCCCCGAGACAGGGGCCGCCTCCCTGCAGGGAACACGCCTTCTTCCCCGGGCCCACCCAGCTGAGCCTGGGAGGGGGCTTTCTCCCTACACTTGGGGGCCGGGCACACACCGGACCTCCCTTCTGTCCTCGAAGGAGACGGGTCAGATCTGAAGCCTTGTATAAAAAAGGCAATGTGTTGTCGGGAACGAGTCTGGACTTTATTTTTTATTATTGTTATTTTTTTGGATAGGTTTCATTTCGTAGAGGTTTCAAACCCAACGTGGGGCTTGAACTCACAACCCTGAGATTGAGAGCCAGCCAGGTGACACTTTTCATTTTTTTATTTTTTTAATTTTTTAAGTAGGCACCACACCTAACATGGGGCTGGAACTCAGGACCTTGAGATGAAGAGTCAGGTGCTCCACCGACTGAACCGGCCAGGCTCCCCAAGCCTGGACTTTAGAATCAGTCAGAAATGGGCCGGAAACCCCAGTCTAGCCACTTACTTGCTGGTGAACTTGAATGGCTCACCAAACCCTTGGCTTCCTCAGTTGTAAAACAGGAATCATCACAACAAGTAAATCTGGTGGCTTGGCCGCATGCAGATGCCATCCGACTCTCGCAAAAGCTCATTAAACGACAGTAAAGGAATAAAACTATCGGTCCACAAGGACAAAGAGAACAGGAAGGGAGGAAGCAGCAAGTGAAAGATGTAAACATATTTTAGAACGACAGGAAGATGACGGCATGACTGACTTCTTTTACAAACCATCATTAAGACCTTTGGAGGGAACCCTGATAAGAAAGAAGCTTCACTGTGTGCGAGCAGAGACAGGGAACTGGAAACCCCAGTGTCTGCAAGTCAGTGCATCGAACCCAGGAACCTGGGCCCTCCTCCCCCGCCCTGATTTCTGTATCCAGCCCCTCCCACCCTCCCGCTTGCTGTCAATAGGAGACTTGCCGCTGGAGAAACTGACCAGCCCCAGAGAAAAGTTTCCCTTCCCACTGCATCACAGAATGAAAAGTCCTTCCTTCAGTGAAGCCCATCATCCAACAAGCCACGCCCGCACACAGAAAGTATCCAGGTCTCACTCATACATGGTGACAGACAGTCAAAGATCTCCAGACTCAGGAGGAAAACCCGCAGTGTGGAAGACGGGCCAGAATAAGCAGACCCAGAGAGCAAAAGGAAGCTTTAGAAAGAGCTGTATTTGAGGTGCTCGGCTGGCTCAGTCACTGCAGCACATGACTCCTGATCTGTGGTTGTGAATTACGGCCCCGTGTTGGGTGTGGAGGCTACTTAAAAACTAAAAACAAATTAAAAAAGGAGGGACACCTGGGTGGCTCAGTCAGTTAAGACTCTTGGTTTCGGCTCAGGTCATGATCTCATGGTTTGTGTGTTCGAGCCCTGCATCAGGCTCTGTACTGGCAGAGCCTGCTTTGGATTCTCTCTCTCCCTCTCTTTCTGCCCCTTCCCTGATTTCGCTCTCAAAATAAATAAATAAACATTAAAAAAAGAAAGAGCTCTATTTGATATTTCCAGGAAAGATACTGCTTCCACGAAGTGAGGATAGGATGCCTTGAATGATAACAAGCACAAAACAAATGAGAACGAGAAAGAGCTGTTAGAAATTAAAAATGTAACTGAAAATTCAAGGGCAAAATGGGAAGATGCAGTTGAAGAAATCTCCCGGGGAGCAGAACAAAAAGACAGGCAGAAAATAAAGAGGACAGAACTCTTTCTCTAGAAGGTGTGATATGTAATTAATCAGAACTTCAGAGAGAACACAGAAAATGGAGAGGCGGAAATTATCAAAGACTGAGGCAACACAGGCCACAGCTCAGGGACAGAGTCTCCTACTGAAGGGGCCCAGGCAAGAAAGCAAGGCCGTCCTTCCGCCCGCGAGTGACACCAGGCACACCAGAGGCACAGGAGGACTGCAGACAAAGGACAAAGCGAAGATCCCCACGCCCCACGCCCCTCCCCCAGAGCTTTAGGGAAGGGGAGGGGAGGAGGGAGAAGAACCTGGAAGGAGGGAGAATCAGACTTCGCTCCTGGAACACTGGAAGCTAGGAATTCCGTCAAATTTCTGAGGGACTAGGATATCCAGGCACAAATTCTATGCCCAGAAAATCTTTCCACTAGGCACAAAGCCGCTGCCATAAAAAGGACAACATATTTAGCGCCCATAAAGTGACCAGAGGGTTCACATCTCCAAAATGTTAGGGAAGGTCAGTTGGACGATGACCTGGCATCCAGACCACGGGTTCCAGCCCAGGTGAGGGCCACGGCGACGTGTGGGTGATGCCTGGGCCAAGGCTCCTGAGTAGCCCCCTGTGAGAGAAAGGGGGTGTGCAGCTGGGAGCAGGAGGCTGCCACCTCCCACAGGGAGGCCTCCAGAATAAACATGGAACTCATCGGGTGCCCTCACGCGCTTGAGAATCAGGACAAGTTACTGCAAGGAGTTCGACCTGTTTCTCAGCCTTTGGGGGAAAGTAGCAAAATATATAGAAAAACAAGCAAAAGAAGGAAAAAGTAATAAGCAATCGGTCAAAAAGGAAACAGAACCATAGCACAGTACTTGGCTTAGCAGCGAACCGTATTTACGTGGCCGTGAAAACGTACACACTGACTGGTGAGTTGGCCAAACATTACGGTAAAATCCTAGTAGAGGGGTGGAGGGACGGAAAGTGGGCTTATCAGGGTGAGAGAGGGCCGAAGCTTCATCCAAATGTGTAGAGAGCCTTTTGGTGCTGCCTACAACGGATAAGTCGAAAGTAGCAGTTTACACTCTAAGGGTCTGCGGTTCTCCGTTGGGGGCAGTTTTGCAAGGTGCCTCGTGCCCGAGGCTTGTCCCCACCCCTTCCCTGACCCCGCCTCCCTCCCTCCCTCCCTCCAGTGGACGTTGGGCCCCTGTGAATGATTCAGGACCATCTGCTTATATTAAAGTCAACTGAGGAGCATTCCTAATTTCATCTGCAGGTTCAATGCCTCGTCCCCTTATGCGGTAAGAGTGCGCGGGTTCCAGGATACGTCAGGTGCGGGTGGCTGGGGGCGGGGCTGTTACTCTGCCCGTCCAGATGAGTAAAGGCCAGGGATGCTGCTGCCCATCCGACGGGGCCCAGGGGAGCCCCCACGGCTGTGGGCAGTGCCGAGGGTGAGGCGCCCTAGTGAGGCCATCCGTTAACGCTGGCGGCTTCTGGCTGGGAGGGGGCAGAGGGAGCGCCCTGGGGAGCTGAAGCCTCTTCCGTCTTGCTGTGGGCTGTGGGCTGTGGGCTGTGGGCTGTGGGCCCACAGACGTCTGCACACCTAACAAATGCAGTTGTTGAGATGTGCACGCTTGAAGTATGTTATGCCCCCTTGAAAAGACCGCTGAGGGATGCCTGGATGGCTCACTCAGTCCAGCGTTTGACTCGATTTCTGCTCTGGTCATGATCCTAAGAGTCGTGGGATCGAGCCCCATGTTGGGCTCCATGCTGAGCTAGGAGCCTGGTTGGGATTCTCTCTCCCTCTGTCCCTCTCCCCTGTTGGTGTTCTCTCTTTTGAAACAAACAAACAAACGAAACTCACTGATTTTTTTTAGAAGAGGATTTAAGTTTATGCTTTTTAAGTCGAAGTGTACAACTAGAAGTAACAGCTGAAGGACTTGTAAGCAGTTGCCTCTGTAGAGCAGGACTGGGGTGTGAACGGGTGGGTTGGGGACACTTAATCTTTCTGTCCTACTAGCATTTAACTTACAATGTAAATTACTTTGATGGAAATTAGTAATTGAAAATAATAAGACAGGGCACCTGGGTGGCTCAGTTGGTGGAGCGTCTGACTTCAGCTCAGGTTATGACCTCGCGTGTCAAGGGTTCGAGCCCCGCGTCGGGCTCTGTGCTGACAGCTTGGAGCCTGGAGCTGCTTCCGATTCTGTGTCTACCTCTCTCTGTCCTTCCCTGGTTAACACCCTCTGTCTCTCTCTGAAAATAAATAAATGAAACATTAAAAAGTAATAAGGCAGAACAGGAAGTTGCTCCATCACCGCGTCCTTAGGATGGGGTCCCTGTTGGGGCAGGGCTCTGTGGCCCGTGTTGAGGCTGAGTGTGCGGAAGACGTGGTCCTGGCCCACGGAGCTTGCTGCCCTGTGGGGGAAAGGTAGCTCTGAGACCGTGCAAAGCCCTATTCCCTTGGTTTCTAGGGGGTGGTTGGGTGGATGAAGGGAGAGGCAAGCCCCACAGAGGAGAGTCAGCTCTCAGGGCCATGGGCCCGTCACCTCCTCCCCTCCTCCCATGGTGCAGCTTTGACTCCAGACCCCTGGTGGGGGTCAGAGGGCAGAAGGCCCTTGTCATCGGGTCCCTGAGTTCAGGGCTGGGCAGCGCACAGAGCCCTCCTCTGTACCCTAAATTGGGAGTCCCCAGGACTATTGTGTGCTCTGCTCCCCCCACCGGGCCCTGGGCTCCCTCCCCCCCGGCCTTCTGCACCCCTGCATCTGACAGGAGCCCCTCTTCCTCTCCGCCTGGCCTTCGTCCCTCATTCCCACTGTGACATTTTCCTTCCCAGCTTCACAGCCATAAACAAGCGGGACGGGTGGCAGGGGGTTAATCTTCAGTTATCGACCGAACATCATTGTGCAGGGTACTTTCCTCTTTCTTCAGGGTCATGTTTTGGGGCTTTGTCTGTGCTGGTACTTGGAGCTGGACTTCAGTGTTCTAACCGCCACGGAGACCCCCTTACCGCCTGGCCACAGCCATCCTGTGCTGACGCCTCCCTGCAGTCCCCGGGGGCTTCCAGGGGCCCCCAAGTACGCTTAGCAGGGAGGACCCTGGCAGCGCGTCGTGCTGCAGAGCCGCCCACCGCCCACTCCAGAGGGCTCTCCAGGCCCCTTAAGGGCCCCGGTGGAGGCTGCTTTCCACGAGGCTCCCCAGTCCCTGCGGCCCTCCAGGCGCGCCCACGGCTCCCTCTGCGCCCACTACCCTCCAGCGCCTGCCCCTCACCCCTCCGTCACAAGTGTTTTTACCAACAGTTTAGGAGGCTGGCCAGCCTCTGGAAGAGTAGCAGCGAGAGGTAGTAGCCACAACCATTTTTTAATTTTAATTTTTCAAACTTTTAAATGTTTATTTTTGATAGCATGAGCAGGGGAGGGACAGAGAGAGAGGAGGGGAGACAGAATCCGAAGCAGGCTTCAGGCTCCGAGTCGTCAGCACAGAATCTGACGCGGGGCTCGAACTCATGAACCGGGAGAACATGACCTGAGCTAAAGTCGAATGCTTAACTGACTCAGCCACCCAGGCGCCCCTGCACGACCATTTTTTTTTAGCAGCTACTATGTGCCAGGCACGGTGCCAACACCCACGCCTGAGTTCATGTTCACAGCAAGCCGATGAGCGGCCATTATGGTTCCCAGTTTGCACATGAAGAAGCAGACAGGAGAGGCTGAGGCGCACACGCTTCCCCCACACCCACCACCACCCAGCGCGGCACAGCGGGCCTCAGGGCCTGCTTCTCCCCTGTTCTGCAGGGCCCTGGGAGAGGGCCGCGGCTGCTTCTGTCCCCCCCCCCCCGCCCCTCGGTGGTCCCTCAGCATGGAGACCTGGGAGGAAGGACAGGCCCAGACTTTGTTCCCTTCACCCCAGAGCCACCCCTTCCCTTTTGCTAAAGAGACAGGCAGAGGGGGAGGGGCAGTTTCTGTGGAGAACTTCAGCTCAGGCTCCCAACCTGGGGCTGCCAGGCTGGGGGTCTAGGTTGGAGCTCACTCGCTCCACTGCTTACCCAGCAGGTGATCCAAACAAGTCCATTTTCCTGGTGCCTTAACTTTCCCCACTGGTAAATGGGGTCAGTAATCGTCCCACCTCAGGGCGCCTGGCTGGCTCAGTCATTGGAGCATGCGACTCTTGATCTCAGTGTTGTGAGTTCAATCCCCGCGTTGGGTGTAGAGAGTACTTAAAAAAGTAAAATCTCCGGGGAGCCTGGGTGGCTCAATCGGATAAGCATCTGTCTCTTGATCCCAGCTCAGGTCTTGATCTCAGGGTCTTGAGTTCAAGCCCCACCTTGGGCTCTACGCCAGGTGTGTAGCTCACATAAACAAACACACTTTAGAAAAAGAATCCTCCTACCTCTGTGGGGTTGTTAGGAGATCAAAGTAAGACATTTCGGGACCGCTGGTGTCTGGGATCTAGCTGTTCCAGGAGTGTTGGGGTTGCTGGGGGTGCGATGAGGTCGGATTCTTTGAGGGCTGTGTCCTTCTTGGGCTGGGACTCGGGCAAGAATGGGTCAGGCTCTGCCCCCTAGGAGTTTTTAGCCCATATCGCCACAGAGGAATACTCAAGGGGGCCATTCACACGACAGGAATCCTGAATGATGGGTAGGAGTTGGCCAGGTTGGGAAGGAAGGGAAGGATGTTCCAGGCACGGAAGTGCAGAGGTGGGCAGAGCCATAGGTTGCTGGGTAAGGGAGAAAGATTGAGACTGGCCAGAGAAAGTGGTGGTGGTCGGGGGGGGGGGGGTGGTCACGACCAGAAAGCAAGCTGGAGGGCCACAGGGCCTTATCCTGCCCAAGCCAGGGCTGTGGGATGAGAGAGGCTTCTTTTGATTCTGGAAGCGGCAGAGAACCGCTAACCATCTCAGGGAGGGCGCCACGTGGCTGAACTTGTGGTTTCAAGCACTCAGTTGCAGCTGGGAAGTGGGATGGTGGGCACAAGTGGGGATGGGAAGGGACCTGAAGGGGTAGGGGACAGATTCAAGAGCTGTGTGGGTGCCAGGAGAGCCCTCAGGGAGGAGATTCGCGGAGGGTTCTCGAATGACGCAGAGGGCTCTTCCAGCCTCCCAGTCTTTCTTCTGCTGGTGCCCAGCCTGCAAGAGCTCTGCTGGAGGGGGCACCCCATTCTCCTCGGGGGGGAGGAGGAAGCAGAGCAGCCCGTGTGGGGGGAGAGCGGGGCACCGCCAGCGGAAGGTCAAGATGAGTTCTAGCTGAAGGCCGACCCATGCGGAGAAGTGCTCTGATGACCCACCCACGTCCCTGCCACAGCAGCTTGGGTCCCTCTTCTCCCTCCTCGGGGAGCGCAGCGGGTCCCGCGGGGACGAGCAGGGGCGGGGCCGACGAGCAGTTATAGTTGGGTCCACGGGGCGCTTGGCTCCCCGCCGCCGCCGCAGTCCTGCAGGGCGCCGGCACCCAGTGTGGTTGGCTCTTGGCCTGCCCCGCCGGGCGGCCGTCCACGCGAACACCCTGGCGCGGGGCGCGGGGGCGCGGGGCCCTGCGGGCCGGCCGGCGCTCGCGCTGTTGCTGCTGCTGCTGCTGCTGTCGCTGCCCGCGGGCGCCTGGTACAAGCACGTGGCGAGGCCCCGCTACCACACGGTGGGCCGCGCCGCGGGCTTGCTCATGGGGCTGCGCCGCTCGCCCTACGTGCATCGCCGCGCGCTGTGCCCCGGGGCCGGACCCCTTGCCTCGGGCACCCAGGGCCTGGGCGCGTCGGCGCAGGGGCCAGCTGCCAGCGACACCCCCGCTCCGGCGCGCGCCCCCCGCGGTGCTCTTCCGCTGCCCTCCGGGGTTCGGGAGCTGCTGGAGGCAGGACGCAGGCACCCCCGTGCGGGGCTCCGGGTCAGTGCGCCGCGGAGCCGTTGCGCCCCCGAGCCCGCGCCGCGCCTGGAGCCAGGGCTGGGCGCCGGTTCCTGGACCTCCGCGGAGCAGGCCAGGTACGAGGGGAGAGGAAGGGGCGAGGACGTCTGGGGGGATCTGACACGGGAGCGCACGCTCGCCATCCCACGAGGCACCCCACGACTTTCCTAGAACACACTTCTTAGGGAGAAAGGCTTTACCTGGAGAGTCTTCCCCTTTCCAGTCTTGGGGGCGTTGTGTGTGTGTGGGGGGGAGGGTAGTGGAGGGCGCACAGCCCTGTCCTCCAAGTCCTGCTCTGTTCTTTCTAGAGCCTTCGGATAGTCTCCTGCTCAGCCACGGTCTGCCAGCGACCCGCGTTGGCAAGACCCCACCTCTCTCCAGGGCTGTCCTGAGCGCAGCCTCTGCTGGCAACGCCTCTTCTGATCCAGGCAGAGTGATGAGTCCTCCAGGGCTCACAGCTCTGGTCAATAAATTTGCCTGGTTCATGTGTCCCCACGTGTGACCCCTTTCCTCTGCGATGTGTACTTGGCTCCTAGCTTTGGCATAAACAGCTGCACCCACGCCCTGGCACGTATCAGAAGCCTTCTCCCTGGGCCAGGGGATGCTCCCTCCTCATCATGTCCAGCCGTAAGTGCTTGGGGAGCAGAAGGGGGGGACAGAGGCAGAGACGTTGCTTGGACCTAGGTCCCCTTCTCCCTTCTCTGCCAGTGCTGCCTATTTGGGGGTGGGGTCATCAGACCAGGTCCCAGGGAGGGGCAAGGCCTCATGGGAGGTAGGCGCAAGCCAGCCCCTGGGTCCTGCTGCCGTCCACCAGGAAGCGGAGAGTGGCACTCGCACCCTACCAGCTGAACACGAACCCCACCCCAGCTTCCCAGCCCACCAAGCCTTTCCCCCATCTCCCGGATTCATTTCAACCGCCATCTCCTTTGTCCCCCTTCTTCAGGCCGTGCTCTCCTCCTAGGGAGGAAGGGCCCCTTGCTTCTTCCCTCTCCAATCCCCTCCACGTTTCCAGTTACCGGCTCCATGTAAATGTGCTCTGCCATCTTGAATAAGGGCCTCCCACCACCTGGGCCCCCTTAGAGCCTGTGTTCCCAAGTGCCTGGGCCCCTCCACCCTTCTGCTCCCTCGTCAACCCTCTTCAATGTGGGCTCTGACACACACAACTGTCCTAGACTGGACCTCGAAGTGCCTGTTTGCTGTGCCCTGATGCTGTCTGCCCCCCGGAGCCCTCCCTTGGCCATGTGGCAAAGTCTTCCCTTGGGGCATCCAGCAAGGACTGGAGGAGGGGTGTCCATGCCTGTCAAGCCAGCTAACTTCGAGAAGCCCGCATAGAACGGGCCCCCACATTCCCCTTGGCCTCTGGAAGCCCCCATCTCTCCTTACTGGCAATTCTTTCTCATCTCCTGGGTGCATCCTTCTCTCCACTTGGTCCCCTAATGTGGGCATTCTTTTTTACTCCACCCTCCCAATTCTTGCCAACCCCTGATTTATTATTTTTTTAAAATTTTTAATGTTTATTTTTGAAGGAGAGAAAGAAAAAGAGGGAGACACAGAATCCAAAGCAGGCTCCAGCCCCTGAGCTGCCAGCACAGAGCCCCATGTGGGGCTCAAACTCACGAACCCTGAGAGATCATGACCTGAGCCAAAGTCGGGAATCCCTACCGATCCCCGAATTTACTGACTCTGATTCAGGATCAGAAGTGAGGGAAGGGGCAGCCACCTGCCTCCTCAGGTCAACACACTCTGCACTCCAAATCCAGTCCTGATCCTGCCAAACTAGGTCTTTCACAACATGTGTTTCCTGACCTTATCACTTCCAGTGCAAAACACCTCAAGGGCTCTCCACCACTGATGGCCCAAAGTCCATGTGCCACGTGCACAAAGTCCAGGGCTGCCCCGTCCGCCAGTCTCCTGGCTCCCTCCCCCCTCCCCCACACTGCAGGAACTCGGGGCAGATTTCAGAGTAGCCCCAGGGTCCCCCCGTGATGAAGGACTCCGGGGCCTCGGGCCATGTTTAAATGCCCTCCTGAAGGGCTGTGCCAGTCCTGGGCTTCCCCTTGGATCTAAGCGATGTTTTCCCAGTGCTCACCAGCGCCTGGTGCCAAGTGGCTGCATATGTTTGGTCACAAGTACTCGAACAGTTGGTGAGACCCTAGATGTCACATTGCATGGAGGTCCCCCAGTCCAGAAAGGTTGGCGCCACGTCCAAGGTGAAAGAGCGGTGCCGATTAGGGGCTTGGCAGAGGCCCAGCTTCCCTGCCTACCACCTACGTGCACCCCTGTGCCCCTGCAGTGCAAGGAGCCCCGGGGCGCCGGGCCCACTCTAACCTGCGTCCAGCCGCGCGCGGCAGAGGCGGGTTGGAGCCAGAGGGGCGGGGCCGGGGCCAGCCCCGCGGATGAAGCAGTCCCGCCGACGGCCGGCAGGTGGCGCCGCGCGGCCGCTCCCGCGGGCTGCAGCCTCGCTCCCAGCCGGGCGTGGGCGGGCCCAGGGCGGGCTCCTGCGCGGCCCCCCTCGGTGGTCGTCGCGGTTCTCCCCTTCTCTCCCCCTTTCGTCTCTGGGTCTCTCGTTCTCATCAGCTTCCGTCGCACTGGTCCCCCGCCTGCTCCAGTTTCGAGCTCTGGAGAGAAGCCTGGCGTAGTCCGAGGGAGGAGGCCGTCAGCGAGGTCCTGTCATCCCGTGGGGCCATTAGTGCCCATTAGGGAGGCGGCGCCGGCCCGGGAAGCTCTGGGCCACTGCCGGGGCGTCAGACCAGCGGCTCCACCCCGCAGGCCGACCCCCGACCCTTCTGCGGCTCGCGACCAGGCCTCAGCCCACGGCCCCACCCGAGTCCCCGCCCCGGCCCCGCCCACCGCGGGGGCGTCGCCGCTGGGGGTAGCCGAGCCCGGAGCCCATACACCAGGCGGGCTTCTGGAAGCCCCGAGAAAGGTCTACGGTCCCCCCTGTCGCAAGGCCTATGTGGCAAGGTGACGGGCGTGGGATGAGGGCGTCGGGACGTGGGGATCACTCCCCACCTGGTCTCCCCGCCTGCTGCCAGCTTCATCGGGCCCATTCCCCAGCGACCCCCAACGGCTTACAGCCCCCGAGCATCTTCCGTCTGCTCTTCTGAGCCTTTGTCCATGCTGTTCCCTTGGCTTGTTTCTCTGCCTGCTCTTCTAGCTCAGCCAGAGGCTGGGGGAAGGCATAGGAGGGTTTGCCCAGGAGAGCAGCTGGGTTACCCCGTCCTGCCTCTGCTGTCAGGACTCCACTCTTCCCCGGCTCCTCTCCTCTCTGGAATGTACCTGCTGTTCTTCCAAGCTGCGGTCATTCTGCGGCTGTTACCCACCCCCTTTATTAACTCTGTGATGTCGCCTTTGTTACTCCGTTACCTTCCTTGGTACTTCCTCAGCTCTTTTTTTGCTTTGGGTCCTCCTTTGTTACCCTGCGAAGCAGTGTTCCTGGCCCCTGGCTGTGGCCACACACCCCGGATTCCACCTCCTTGCAGTGGTGGCGTGTTCCCATCCACCTTCACTCACTGGCTGAGTCCTGGGCTGCAGGAGGCAGGGGGCCGGTGGCTGATCCTGGGAGTGTCTGTCCTCTGGGGGGTGGGGGAAGGAAATGTCGGAGCCTCCTGGCTCGGATCAAGGAGGATCAAGGGTTCCCAGCTTCTCTGCCCCCAGCCTTGGGGTCTCCCATCCAGCCATGTCCCTAGACTCTGGTGTGGCCCCAAGCTACAGTCTAGCAGGTCCTGGCTGGTCCTGGTTGCTACCGGGTGACCCAGAAGCCCCATCAGGCATGGTATATAGTAGACGGCACTGCCACACCCATCCTCACAGCCACCAGGAGCAGCGGCACCAGGTTGGGTCCAGGGAGGCCAGTCACAGGCCAGACAGGCAGCCTCTGGATAGGAAAGCAGACAGATGCCTATGGCAGCATCAGCCAGGAGCTTAGAGGTGGGGGTGGGGAGGCAACCATGCAGCTTTGGCCTAAGTGGCTTTTAGGGGCAGCAGCTGGGGTGTGGACACCCAAGGGGCTGCGGCCCAGGAGGCTGCCCAGAGGAGGGCAGGAGGCGGGTGCTGGGGCGGAGGCTGGGAGCCCAGGCCACTGGAGAGGGGAGAAGGAGCGGCAAGCACCGGGCCCAAGCCGAGCCTGCCTCTGCGCCCATGGGGAACTGCCTGGGCTGGCTTAGCCTGAGCCCCGGGAACCAGGTATGTGCAGGGGGCTCGGCAGGCTGGGGAGGGGCAGGCTGAGGGGGAGCCTGCAGCTCAGCTGGCTTCCCATATCTGAGGCTGCAGAAGAGCTCCAGGGTAAAGAGTGGACTTGGCATCTCTCAGCCCTGCCCTAAGAGGAGCTGGGGAACCTTGCCTGGGTTAGAACAAGATTCCTGGTCTGTAAAATAGCCTGAGCATGCTGGGATTGTTCCAGATAGAGTGTACTCAGAGCCACAACAAAGCAGAACTGGTTTTCTGTTCTTGTCTCCTTGGGGGAAGGGGTACTCCTGCTGGGGATGGCTAGATGCTAGGGGAGACGGACGGTGGGAGGGGAGGGCTAGGCAGAGGGGCATGGTGGGGGCCAGCTCCCGGGAACGGCTCCTGCGGGCACTGATGACAAGCCAAAGTCCTCAGGACATTCATCTCTGCCTGGGAAGAGCTGGGGCACAAGCGAGAGGGACCCAGGCTAAGAGGGAAGTGGGGGCGGGAATGTTTGATGGACGTTCCCAGCACCGGTCGGTACAGTCTCCTCGGGAGGGCCAGGGCGCCACCCAGTCACTGACCTCCAGAATATAGCGAATGGCTTCGGCACCGACACTTTGGAACTCCTCTTTCTGTCTCGTGGACCACCCTGGGATTCTTTTGGTGCAGGGCAGCTCTGGGTGCGGGAGGGATCCTGATACACGGACACCAGGGTGTGTGTATGTAGCAGGGGCACTTCCCGAGGATGGCGGGCAGAGCTGTGGCTCTTGTTCTTACCCTCTGGCCGCTGTGTGCGGCTCCTCGGCCTGAGGACCCTTTCTCCACCCCTCCCCCACCTCCAGAACCCGCCTTGGTGCCAAGCATACAGTAGGTGCTCAATAAATGTTCCTGGAACAGGAGGCAAAGGCGCTGGCGCCAGGGGGGCTGCCCAGAGTCGGGGCAAGACCTAGGGAGGGGGGTCCCCAGGCCCTGCGGCCTCCGCCGGGATTGGCGGGGCGCCGAGGCAGGGCCGCGGCCAGGACGGCTGGGACTCGGGGCGGGGGCGGCCTCACGGAGGAGGCGGGGAAGGGGCGGGCGCGGGGGCGGCGCCGCAGCCCGAGCCGGAGCCCGAGTCCGAGTCGACGAGACCCGAGCGAGAGCCGCGGAGGGCGCCGCCGGGCCCCCAGCGCCGCCGCCGCCGCCGCCGCCTCCGCGCCGCCCCCCGCGCCCCTGCCGGCCCGCGGCCGGCCGGGGGGCAGCCGGCGCCATGGCCTCGCCGGAGCCGCTGCGGCCGCGCCTGTGCCGCCTGGTCCGCGGCGAGCACGGCTACGGCTTCCACCTGCACGGCGAGAAGGGCCGCCGCGGGCAGTTCATCCGGCGCGTGGAGCCCGGCTCCCCGGCCGAGGCGGCCGCGCTGCGCGCCGGGGACAGGCTGGTCGAGGTCAACGGCGTCAACGTGGAGGGCGAAACGCATCACCAGGTGGGTGCCTGCGCCCCGCCCCCGGCCCGCTGCCCCGCTGGGCCCCCTCCCCGAGCTGGCGAGGGGGGCGTCAACGACCGCGGCTCCCGGCGCTGCGTGCGCCCGGGGCCGGGGGGTCGCACCAGGGCCTTCGTGGGCTCCGGCTAGGAGGTGGGGGACGTGGCCACGGAGGCCTCCTCCTCGCCTCTGCCCCTCAGGGAGCTCGGTCCTGCACCGCGGAGGGGCCCTGGCAGGGAGGGGCCCGCACTGCGGCTCCTCGCCCTCGGCCTTGACACTTCAGTCTGGTTAGGGCTTCAGCGTGCAGTGGATGGAGGCGTCAGTCACCTTGGGGGGCGTCCCCATGCAAGTGGGGGTCCTGAGTGTTTTCCTGTGAGTGTAAACACGTGCGTGTGTACACAGCTGGGTATGTGTGTACAGGTCCCTCTGGGGGTGACCCATGTGTGCGCACATCTGCCTGGGTGTACAGAGGGGTGTCACAATAAGGGTACACCTGTATGTGCTTATATCAGTGAATGTGTGTGTGCGCATACGTGTGGACTGTGTGTGTGAATATACGGGTCTGCACCCTTAGGTGTGTATGTGTGGACAGATCTGCGTGCCGGGATGTGTGTGTGAGCTGGGCAGTGTACGTGTGAGTATACAGGTCTCTATGCCTGCGTGTGCGCGCGCGCGCGTGTGCGTACAAGCCTGTGTGTCCACCTGCCTGGCCGTGTGTAGTTGTCATTGTGTGTGTCCTGGCTGATGGTTTCTGGTCCCATCCCTGTCATCGGAGGCTGCCCGGCCCCGCGGGGGCCACTGCCCCGGCCCCCTGCCTCCTGCAGTCAGAGATGAGGGCCAGAGGGAAGGCAGGGTCTCTTCCCAGCAAGCTCTGCTCCCTGGGGACTATCTATGTTCCCCTTGCCAGGGACCCACCTGGCTCGAGTCCACCCTCCCTCCACCCCTTCTGCTCAGGGCTCTCTGTGTCCTCACCAGCACCCGTGAGCCTGTGACCTGTCTGCGTGGCCAGTCCTGGGGCCTAGAGATTAATAACTGGGTTCTCGGCTGGACCAGCAGCTGAACTGCTGTGTCGACCCCTGGGGCCCTTGTCTGTCCATCTGTCTGCCTGCCTCAGTCTTGCACCGAGAGTGTCAACTGGATAAAACTGTTTGCTGAAGGAGGGTGGGGGTATGAGCGAGAGGTCTTGGCCTGACGGAGCACAGGGAGGGGCTGGCAGAGCTGGCATCTGGCCTCAGTTTGACGGTCACTGCCACCCTTCTCCCAAGGGCACCTGCTTCTCTCAGTCCTCCAGGTGTCCATCTCTAAGAAGTTACACGCAGGACCATACTGTCCCAGGAGGGAAGAGGGGCAGTTACAGTTCCCATTCTACAGACGAGGAAACTGACGGTTGAGGATATTGGGTGTCTTGTCTGGGTCCCACAGGCAGGAAGCAGCAGGGGGCTGGTGTCGTCCTGTGGCTCTCACCGAGAGAGAGCAGGGACAGAGGAAGGCGGGTGGGGGGGGGTGAGATGGGCTCACACCCTTCTATCTGTTGACAATTTGTGCTGAGCAGCTCATGGGGACCCTCTCTGCCCTCCCCCAAACTTGGGGTGGGGGTGAGGGTCTTGTCCTTCCTACCCTGATGCCCAGTGGTCACTGCTCCATCTCCCTGCAGGGCACACCCTTGTATGCATGCCCCTGGGTCACCCACATGCTCTAGACACTTCAGGGGCACCCACACAGACACACAGGTGGCCCACAGGTGGCCTCCGCCTGCTGGGTCTGAAGCCCGTTCGCCAGGTTGCGTGTGGGTGCCCGAGCACGGGCTTGCCACAGGAATCCCGGCCCTCCCCTCCCCGCAGGTCCAGCGGGAACAGGCCTGTGGTCATGGTCTGGAGGCAAATGAAGGCTCAGAGGCAGGGGTTTACTTACTTATTTTTTTTAAGTTTGTTTATTTTGAGAGAGAGGGAGGGAGTGAGCGTGAGTGGGGGAGGGGCATAGAGAGAGGGAGAGAGAATCCCAAGCAGAATCTGAACTGTCAGCATGAATTCCAACGCAGGGCTCAAACTCGCACAAACCGTGAGATCGTGACCCCTGCCGAAACCGAGTCGGGCGCTTAACCCACTGAGCCGCCCAGGCGCCCCGGGGCAGGAGCTTAGACAGCCATGGTCCGCTACGGAGGACAGCAGTGGGCGCAGACCCACCCAGACTGGGACCTAGGCAAACCCCGAAACTGATGTGCGCCCGCGTACGTCACGCACACACATGCACGCACACACGGGCGCGCACGCACATTCACACAGTGAAGTCCTGAAGCTCAGCCACGCACCCCCTTCCAGACCAGCTGCCTCAGCCAGCTTGCTGGCCCCTCCCGGACAGGACCCTGGGCTGAGGCGAGTCCCTGCAGAAGTGCTATAGGCAATGCCGCCTGGCCTCCGGGCGCCCTGGGTAAAGAGGGAGGGAGCTGCCTGAGCCCCGGGGGCGGAGGGCGGAGCCGGCAGGCCTTTCGGTCCAGCCGCCCACCGCTGGCAGGCCAGCCGCCTGCCCGCGATCCTGGGCCAGCCCTGGGTGGTGCCCCTGTCCGTGTGCTGCCCGAGTGCTGACCGCTGACCTGCTCGCCGCCAACCTGCCCGTCCCAGGTGGTGCAGAGGATCAAGGCTGTGGAAGGGCAGACGCGGCTGCTGGTGGTGGACAAGGACACGGACGAGGAGCTCCGCAGGCGGCAGCTGACCTGCACGGAGGAGATGGCCCAGCACGGCCTTCCGCCCACCCACGACCCCTGGGAGCCGAAGCCGGACTGGGCGCGTGCGAGCAGTCTCGGCCCCGAGGCTGGCCCGAAGGTACCGCAGGTTCCGCGCGGGGAGCACCCTGACCCCTCGCAGAATCTCCCCTCCGCTCACCTCCACAAGTCTCTGTCTCCGTCCCTTCTGCCTCTCGGGGCCCCTGGGGCTACCCTCTTGGCCTCGTGGGGCCCCTCTCTGTGCCCTCAGCCTGTGTTCTCAGCCAGGTGGGTCGGGGCTGCCTGGCCCTGGTCCCCACCCACCCCCCGCAGTCGCCAGCCCTCTTCCCCAGGGAAGGTCACTCTGGCAAGCCTGGCCTGGGGGCCGAGGACTGCGGGGATGTCCCTAGCTCTGTGCTCGCCTCAGGTGTCTGTCTGTCTGTCTGTCTGTCTGTCTAAGGAGACTGCTTGTGCTGGGAAGGCCCTGGGAGGGGGGAGCTGGTCCTTCTCCATGGTTGAGGACACTCTAAGCTGGGTCCTCAGCTTGGGGTCTACAGCGGTTGGGGTGCTTCTCCCTTCCTGCTTCTGCTCCAGGGCGGAAGAGCTGGAATTACCGTGTGTGCGCACCTCCCTCCGGGTAGCAGGACTTGGGGTGACCCTCCTGGGGGGGCCGAGAGGAAGAGCCTCACCGTGCTTATTCTGACCTCTTGAAGTCCCAAGGTTATTATCCCTCATGCCCCCCTGGCCTTTTTTTTTTTTTTAAAGAAACTGTCTTTTTTTAATTAGAAAGAGAGAGAACACGTGTGTGCAGGGCAGATGCAGAGAGAGAGTGAGACAGAGAATCCCAAGCAGGTTCTGTGCTGTCAGAACAGTGAGACTGTGACCTGAGCCAAGATCAAGAGTCTGATGCTTAACGGACTGAGCCACCCAGGCGCCTTCTTCTTTTCTGTTTGCTTGAATTTGAGAGGAGGTGGGGAGAAGAGCAGAGAGAGAAAGTGATAATCTGAGCATGGAGCCCACCGCTGGGCTCGATCCCACGACCCTGGGATCATGACCTGAGCTGAAATCAAGAGTCGGGCGCTCACCTGACTGAGCCACCCAGGCGCTCCAAGAGAAAGGTCTTCAAAGGATTTGGTCGCAGGAGTTCCCCAGAACCGCACTTCGAGAACCGGCGGCCCTAGGCAGTGTGAGATCTAAAGTTTCTGAGTGTGCATGCCTGCTGTGTGAGCTGGCGGTGCTTGTGACTGGACGCTCTGGCGTCTGTCCTGGGGGACAGGTGGCATTTCAGGTGAGAAGCCAGCATGGGCACAGGCCTGGGCATGAACCCACAGGGCTGGTCAGGGCCCAAGTAGGGGGCATCAGGGTCAGATGTGTGGCTTCAAGGAGGTCTGGGGATGGGGCACTGGCGGGCGGCCGGGCCCCTGGCCTGCAGCCCTGCCCGGAGCAGGCGCTCCTTCAAGCATCTTACCTCCAGGAGGAAGTGCCCTTCCCCCCAGGCGTTTGTCCATTGATTTAGACACAAATGCTGACTTCACCTTCCTGTGGAAAAATCCGCCCTCAGGCCTTATCTGGAGGGTGGGGTGCGAGGCACCTTGTCCTTGGGTGGGACCTTCCCCCTCTGCTATTTCAGGCTCTGGTGTCCGCAGGAAGCCCTAGGAGGGGGCTTCCTCTGGGTGTATTTTTAGAGGAACAAAGTGGGGCCCTACTGACGGGGCGCTGTGGTGGGGGCTGGCCTGGGGACAGGGACTCCAGAAGGTCAGGAGAGGCCCAGGGGACAGGGTGGACCCCCACGCCCTCCCGGCCCGAGACCCCGTGTCTGATTGGTTGAGTTCAGAGGGTCAGAAGGAAGAGCGGGGCCGACGCGCCCGGGACGACCCGGCTGTCGGGGCCCCTGGGAGGGCGCTCTCCCACGCAGGGCCACTCTCCCGCTGGGCGCCTGTGCCGCCGGACAGGGCACCCGGGCGGGGTGTGTGCGTTTTGCTTACGGCCAAGCTGGGCGTCACAGCCCCGACGGTCACTCGGGCCCGCTCGGCCAGTGGCTGGGGTGTGGGCGGCGGGGCAGGGAGCACGCAGCCGCGGCCGGTCCCTCCTGCTGGGTCCTGCGGGGTCCTCGTCAGTGGTGGTGACTCAGCCCCGGCCAGACCGGGCTGGGGCGGCTCTGCAGCTGCACTGCAGCTGATCCTGACCGTGACGGTAGGGGACAGCCCCCAAACAGACGGGGCGGCTCGCGGTACCAGGGCCATGGAGGCGGTGACAGACCCTGGCCCCCACCCCCATTCTGGAGGCCCCAAGGGTCTGAGAATGAGTGACAGGGAGAGCCCTGCAGGGGCTGGCTGCCTGGCATGCGACCTGGTAGCTACCCGGGGGCTCTGGGAGCCACGGCAGCCTGTCTGGTGTCCTGGCGCCGGGGTCCCTCCCCACCTCCCTGTCCCCCCAGCCTGGGGTCTGGGAGCAGGGCAGGGCCTTCCAGCAGCTTCCTTCCTTCCTTTCTTGAGGCCGAAAGCAAGCCAGTAGGGGGTGCCTAGTGGGGCCGAGCACGGGAGGGGGAGCCCAGCCACCACCCTGCTCCCCAAAGTGACTCAGCCCCCCTGTCCCCACCCATCCCTGGGGAGCCCGGGCCGCAGTGGGAGGTGGATAAATGGGGTGGTGGCCTGGGCTGGCCAGAGAGCTCGGGCCACTCCAGCTGGACGCCCGCTGCCTGCAACTCTGTCCCGCCTCCCATGGCCCGCTCTGGGGGTGCCACACCAGCGGCCCCTGCCCCAGGAGCCCCTCCACGGAGCCCGTCCTGGGGACTTGTGCAGGTCAGGCTGGGCGGGGGCTGGGAGGGGGCAGCGTGGGCAAGGAGGACCCTGGTGACCGGCTTAGCCCGTGTCCTCCAGGGTCAGGAGAGGGGACTTGGGGCACCCCGGTGCAAGCCGGCTGGACCCAGAGCAACAATGGGGGCCTTTCTCTGCCCGGGCTGGTGAGTCACCATCTGGGGCAGCACAGCTCGGCTCCCGGGGTATCCCCCATGCCAGCTCCTTTGTCTGGTCGCAGGCTCGGCTGTGAGACCGGGGCTTGTCGGGCTCTGGGCTGCCCGGCCAGGAGCCCGTGGGAGCCCGTGGGAGCCTGAGGGCCTGGCTGGGAGGCGGCAGGAAGTGCTGAGAGCCAGAGCAGGCAGCGAGGAATTTGAGCAATGCGCCAGGGCCTGCCTGCGCCCCCTCCTGACCCGCCGCTTCTGGGGGCCTCTCCACGGGCCTCTCCACGCCTCCGCCCCCCCCCCCCCCCCCACATCGCAGCCTCTCAACTGGAGGGTCGTGTGCTGGGCTTGCTGCTCCCTGGATTCAGGAGAGGAATTCAGGCAAGACTTCAGGAGAAGCCTCTTGGCTGGTGTCGCGAGCTGTGGCCGAGCCAGGTTGAGGCAGGGAGATGGCCAGGATGGACCCAAACCCGGATATGACTTCAGCCTGGCCTCGCGGCCCCGGATACTCCCGAGGTCCTGCTTCCTGTTTGGGGGCCTTGAGAGACCTGCCAGGGAGGTCACTGTGGAGGGCGTGAGAAGCGGCCGTAGGGCTCAGCGCCAGGGCGCCGTCCTCTCACGCACGCGTGTCGCCGTGTGTCTGCGAGCCGTGTGTGTGTGTTTAGATGTCCTGTCCCTGACGGCGCCCCTGCCGTCTGGGCCCCTGTCCGCGTGCAAGGTGTGCTTGGCCCTGGCCCTGCTCCTGACCAGCCAGCCCCAGGGCCCAGCCCATGTGCTCCGCAGCGGGCACCGGACGGGCCCCCCCGGTGTGTCTGGGAGAGGGCGTGAGCCTGTGCAGCAGGGCCCTGGAGACCTCGGGGGCCACGCCCTGGCTTCTGCCCTTGTTGCCCGGCCGGAGCCCTGGGAACAGCAGCCCTGTCCCCTGGGTTCCTGGTTATGGGGGCCGGGTGGTGGCCTGCGGTGGGGATCCCGAGGACGTGTCTGGGCAGGCTTTGGGGGTCAGGGAAGAGGTCCCAGGGGAGGGGTGCAGGCTGGGCAGGAAGAGGGCGTTTGGGACAGGTGGGAGCCCCTGCCCTGTGCGAGAAGCGGCCCACGGTCCTGCAGCCGGGCCGGCCAGCAGTTAGGGCCCTCACGGCCAGATTCGAGGTTTGGAACGAGCTCCCAGGTCTGGGTGCTGGCGTGGGCACGGGGGTGCGGGGTAGCCTGGGCCGCAGGGGATAGGCGCCCAAAGCCTGGAGAGCCTCCCCGAGGGTCAGGGTAGATGGAGGGTCACGGCGGGGCCCCAGGGAGCACCCCGGCCCTGCCCACGCTCACCTGCAGGCTCACCTGAGTCCCGGGCGGCCCGGGAAACCTGAGCTGCCCGCCTGCCTGCGCGCTCCGGCCACCCGCCATGTTTAGCCGAGCGCCAGTGGCCGCTAGCCACTCAGCACCGTGGTCGCTGCCCCAGGCTGTGGCTGGGCGGGGGGTCCCGGGGCCTGGCCCCTGCCCGCACGCCCCCCTGACCCACAGCCCTGCTGCAGGATGCCAGAGGTAAAGCAAGGCACGGCCTCAGGTTGTCGAAGGCGGGGTGGGGGGTAGGGGGACACTGTCGGCCTTCCGTGTTCTGGCGGGGAGCGTAAGAGGGCAGGTCCCACACTTGGCCTTCTCATTTGGCTTCGGCTCCAGCCCGTGTGCCCTGTCTCTGGGCCCCGTGGGGGTGGGGGTGGCCGCAGCTGGCTCTGGAATGTGAAAGCAAACACATCGCACCGCCACCAGTCCCATGGAGGCCGCCGGGAGAGAAAACAAGAGCCAGCAGCGTCAGCCGCACACTCGGGAGGGGGTTGGGGAGGGGCCACAGCAGCCCCAGGACACTGTCGCCAGTGGTCGCTCATCTCACCTGGCTTCTCCTACCACCCTCACCTGTGCTCAGCGCTGCCCCTCAGCTGATTCTGTCAGCACCCCTGCAAAGCCCCGGTCCTTTTTGAAGTTGTTTGGGGGTTTGGAAGTTGAGGCTTTGCTTAGGATCCTGTGGCTGGAGCTCCGTCACAGCAGCCTAACTAGGAGAGGGGGGTGCGGGGGGGAGGGGGCAAGGCAGGCTTGGGTGCATCGTCTTGGTCCCTGAGACCGGGGGCCGCTGGGCGGGGCGTGACGTCGAGCGTGGGGTTGGTTGGGGATCCCTCCAGCTCACCACCCTTGCACCTTCATCCTGGGGCCTGGAGGCCTTGGGGGCTGGGTCAGTGGCCTCAGGGCGGGCGGGAGAGCAGTGCTGAGCCTGGTTTCCTGTGCCTGCAGGATGTCAGTGGACCCCCGAGGGAGCTACGCCCTCGGCTCTGCCACCTGCGAAAGGGCCCCCAGGGCTATGGGTTCAACCTGCACAGTGACAAGTCCCGGCCGGGACAGTATATTCGCTCTGTGGACCCAGGCTCGCCTGCGGCTCACTCTGGCCTCCGCGCCCAGGACCGACTCATCGAGGTACCTGTCACACACATGTGTGTGTCTGTGCCCCTATCCCCACCCTCCAGTGTATCTCTGGCCTGTGTCACCCCCCCCTCCCCAGAGCGTGTCTGGGCCCGTGTCCCTCCACCCCCGAGGTGTCTCTGGCCCATGCCCCTGCGTGTGTGTCTGGGCAGGGAGGTCCTTGCTGGAGGAGGGAACATGCCGGGAACCCGAGCTGGTATCCCTCTTGCTGCCACGGCTGGTGACAATGTTGATGAATATTTGATGCCACACCTGGCCAGGTGGCTCAGGGGGCCTTCGGGGGCCCGACCTCAGGCAGTACTGACCCTGTGCTGCTGGTGGCAGGTAAATGGGCAGAATGTGGAGGGGCTGCGCCACGCAGAGGTGGTCGCCAGCATCAAGGCGCGGGAGGCCGAGGCCCGGCTGCTGGTGGTGGACCCCGAGACGGACGAGCACTTCAAGCGGCTACGGGTCACACCCACCGAGGAGCATGTGGAAGGTGGGCCACCCCCTGGGGACGGGGAGCAGCGGGGCGGGGGCTGGGCAGCCGCTGACACACTGTGCCCACAGGTCCACTGCCGTCACCAGTCACCAATGGGACCAGCCCTGCCCAGGTGAGAGGGTGGGGTGGACAGGGCAGGTCCGGGAGCCCGCAGAGGGGGCTCTGGGGATCCGCAGGCCCGACGGAGCCCCCAGCTCCAGATCTCCTTGCGTCGGTGTGAATGTGAGACGCAGTCTTGCCCAGTCACTTCTAGCTTTCATGCCTGCCATGGGGCCTGTCCTGGGTCAGCCACATCCCGGCCCCACAGGCCCCTTGTGCCCTCTGCCCGGTGCTGGCTGGCAGCCTAGAGTCATACTCAGTCTCTCCTTGCGAAGCTGGCCCTGGCTCCACCCCAGGTGATGCTCCTGTGGGTGATTCCTGTTGGGGGCCGGCCGGGGCCAGGCCACCTGCCCGCTCCCTGCTGCGTGTCAGCGTCCTGCCCAGGCTGGGTGCAGCTTTCAGAATGAGTGCAGCTCTGACGTGCGTGTGGGCACGTGTGTGCGTGTGTGTCTGTGCGTGCACCGGCAGCTCCTGGGCAGGATCCCTGAAGCCACACCTTGCCCTTGGTTTCCCAGCTCAATGGTGGCTCAGCGTGTTCATCCCGAAGTGATCTGCCTGGCTTAGACAAGGACACTGAGGTAGCAAGTGCCTGCCCGTACCCCACTGCTGTGATCACACACTGGGGGGTCAGAGGCCTTGGGGGTGGCTGTTTGTGGAGCTGGCGGCCCTGGGCAGTGGGGTCACCACCTCCAGGAAGCCCTCTTGGACCTGCTGCCCCAGCCTGATCAGAAGGCCTCTGGTATGAACTCCCTGGGAAGGGTCACCTGACTGAGGGCTTGGGTCCAGGGCTCACTCTGACCACCTGCCCACTCTGCTTGCCCCCAGGACAGCAGCACTTGGAAACGTGACCCCTTTCAGGAGAGTGGCCTGCACCTGAGCCCCACGGCGGCCGAGGCCAAGGAGAAGGCGAGAGCCACCCGGGTCAACAAGCGGGCACCACAGATGGACTGGAACCGGAAGCGCGAGATCTTCAGCAACTTCTGAGCCCCTCCCTGCCTGTTTGCCGGCGACCCGGCCTCCTCCCCGCACGGGCCCAGCCCAGAGTTCCCCAAGCAAGCCTCAGCGGACTGGATGGGGTGCCTCCTCACCCCTAGAAGCCGTGCTGGGCCCACCGTCATCCAGGAACCAGCGTGCGCCCCGGTGCGCCCCATCCTGCCCTCCTACCTGCTGGGTGCTGGAGAAGGGAGAGGGGAGAGGGAAGGGGGCCCCCCTAGAAGTGAGAGAGGGAGAGGGAGTGGCGACCTTGGGCCCGGCCCTTGCTGCTCTGCCCGGGCCTGCTGACTTAAAGGAATTTGTTTCTGCTTTTCTTCCAAAAAAGAAAAAAAAAAAAAAAACTCAACAAAAAAAACCCCAGAGCTCCAGCTCCACACATGTTTCCACTTAATGAGTCCCACCCCCCCGCCCCCGCCCCCTTAGGACGTGCTCTCTAAGTAATTGCAATAAAACAAACCTTTCTCTGCAAACCACTTCCTCCCCACTCCTCAGTGACAGCCTTCCCAACTGGGAGCCCCGGGCACTTCCAGGGACAGAGAAATGTAGGGGGACCAGGCTGTGAGTGTGGGGGCTTCAGGGTGAGGCTGGGGAGGCCAGATGTGGCTGTAGGAGCTGCCCCCTTCCTCCTCCCTGCTGTGGCGGATCGCTAGACCCGGCCCCCCCATGTTCCCGCTGAACTGGTCTAGGGCGCAGGGCCTGGGCTCCCAGGGGCCTGAGGATAGAGGCCCTGTGTCCCCGAAGAGGGTGGCCTCTGGACGGGCCTTTTGGCCCTGTGCCACAGCCCTGAGGCTGGGGGAGAGCCTGCCTGCCCCCAGGAGACCCCACCCACTCTCCCTTTCCTCTGCCCTGAACCCGACCGACGTTGCTGTCCGCCCTGTAAGCCATAGCGCATGCGCGCCCTCCGAATAAACAGGCCTTCCTCAGACCCTTGGCCGCCTCTGTCCTTCCTGAGCCCTTGCTTGTGGGTGGGGGGCTGTGGTCTGGGCAGGAAGGCAGCGGGCCCCGGGAACCCCAGTCTCGGCTGCTGCAGAGTCCCATTCCTAAGCCTCTTCCACTGGATCCGCCAGGTGGCCAAGCCCGACCTCTCTCAGCTCCCGCTCCACCGCCCCTGGGGAGCCCTGTGACGCAGAGCCCTGCTCCCTCCTTCACTGGTACGCTCTGGTGCCCTCGATAGGTTGGCCTCCTCCTTGCCCTCCCCCAGGAAGTTGCCCTCAATGCCTTCCAGATCCTTGACACCCCCCGTGCTAGTCTCTGCCCTTGTGCTGCCCCCGCAGGCACAACCCCCACAGGTTGGTGCTGTGCCCCGTGGCTCCCTGGTGTTACTTTGGAGGCTGGGTGGCTCTGTAAACATAGGGCAGGGCTGCCTGGCAGAGGGCTCTCAGGGTGCATAAGTTCAGGAGGGAGGCGTGGACCCCAGGAGGGAGGAGGCCCAGGTCTCCTGCGCGCTTCTCGGCAGCTGGCCGCAGCTGGCTCCCACGACCCATCTCCTCCGTCCGACTCCTGCACATCCATCACCCCCACCCCCACCCAGCACAGAGCCCAGATTGTCGCGTCCCCACCCCAGCCTCCCAGGCAGCCCGGTTCAGACACCAGAACAGGGGCAACACACAGCTCCTGCCCGCGCTTCCCAGCCTGTGCCTAACCCCCTGGGGTAAGACTCAGCCAGACCCCGGGGGCGCTTGGGGGGCACAGCTGGTTAATCGTCAGACTCTTGATCTCGGCTCAGGTCAAGATCTCACCATTTGTGAGTTTGATCCCTGCATCAGGCTCTGTGCCAGCACAGAGACTGCTTAGGATTCTGTCTCTCCCTCTCTCTGCCTCCTCCGCTGGTGCTCTCTCTCAAAATAAATAAACTTAAAAAAAAAAAAGACTCAGCCAGACCCCAACTGCAAACAACTCCCAAGCTTTATTATAAACAGGATGGGGCTCCCCAGCAAAAGCACACAGTGCCTACCCAGAACAGCGTACGGGGCCACGGCTTTGTGGTCCTCAGAGGCCCTGTGCGGCCGGGCACAGCGTCCGGTTGAGGCAGCCCTGGCAGCGTGGGTGGACGGGCAGACAAGTCTGCTGGCCGAAGCCCACCAACAGTCCGTTGATCTCACTCCACAGCTCCCTGTGAAGGTAGAGGGCGTCAGAGAGGGCGGCAGCGCCCGGGGAGCCCTGCCCGCGCCCACCCTGCCGCACCGGGGCAGCCACTCCTCCAGGGCAGCGCGGGTCTTCTCCGGGGCCTTGGTCGCCGTCCTGGTCCACCCGAGCCTGTTGGCAATTCTGTGCACGTGCGTGTCCACCGCTGCTGGGAGACAGGACCAGGTCAGCCCCGGGCTTCCGTGGAGGGCCCACAACTGCACAGAGGGCGGGCCCTCCACGCGGGGTGCCGCAGCGCCTCCTGGTCCAGGTGCCAGCTGTGGGCGCCAGGCCGGGGGGTTGGCTCGAGGTCCCGACCCACAGAGCCTGCACCTGCCACTGCACGGTCAGGGACACAGGGGGTGTGGCCAGGCCAGCTGCAGCTGTCATCTGCTTGCACCACAGTCCCTACCCCCCTTCGCCGGCCACCCCAGGGCCTGGCCTGGGCACCTGCTCACGGGGGGCTCTTCCTCCCTGCCTGTGGCAGTCCCTGCCTTCTCCGCACTTTGCAACAGAGAAAGTGAGTCCCACATCGGCTCCCTTCCCCTGCTACCGACAGTCTGGAAAAAGGCTCTGACGGGGGCGCACCCTGGGAACACAGCATGCAGGGGTCACAGTAGTGGGCTGCCAAGCCCCAGTTTCCATCTCTGTACCACAGAGGTGACCATGTTCCCTGTCACCCGGAGGCCCACCCTTCCCAGGATCTCCTTACAGGGGGCCGTGCCCACAGACAACCAGAAAGGCGGAGACTCTGACCCTTCTTCCCGATGCGTCTGCTGCTCCCAAAGTCCAGTCGCCTGGGCTGTGAGCCCTTCCCCCACAGACTTGCGGGACCCCTCCTGGGACTGGGCAGCCGAGGACAGCTGCCCAGATAAGCTCAAGTATCTGCTGGGAGGCTGGCGGCTGTAGAAGCCTGGCGGGGGGGGGGGGGGATGCTCCGCCCTAGCCCCCGCCTGGTCCGGTGCCAGCCTCTGGGGCTGCTGGGCTGCAGCCTTAGCTTCACAGTCAGGGCCCTCGGCCCTGTGCTGCCCTCCGACCTGGGCACACGGCTCAGAAGGGTCCCCACCCCAGGTAGCAGGCTCTAGAAGCTGAGGAAGCACTGGGGAAGTTCCCACCTCCTCCCCAGCCCCTGCAGAAGCTCCAGAGGAGCCCAGGGTGGGGGCACACAGAGAGAGGTCAAGGTAAGGTCAGGCCGCTGTTGCCTGGCCTCAGGAACCCCAACTCTCTGGGCAAAGGTCTGAAGCAGCAGTCACGCCCTGACCGGGGTCTGTCTTCACTTGGAGATCCACCGCTGTCAGGAAACGGATTCCAGGAGAGGCTCTCCCGAGCTCCTCATCCCTGCATCCCCAGCCCATCCTCCTTCCCCAGGCACCCCCCTGCCCTTACTGCGCCCCCCAGTCTGCCTGTGCTCAGTTTTGAGCCTCCTGCCAGCCTTTCTCTCACCGGACGGCTTTGCGGATGCTGTTCCTTCTGCCTGGCCAGCCCCGCCTCACTCTCCGGTTCTTGGCTCAGTTATCACCCCCTCAGGAGGTCTGCCCTGTTGCCCCGGACTGGGCCAGCTCCGACAGTGCCACACATAGACCTTGGGTCCGTCCCCAAGGCCTCTCAGAGCCCCGCGCGCAGTAGGTGCTCGGCCCATAGGATCTTCTCCCACGAGTACCGATCTGCAGGTGAGGCAGGCCTAGCTCACTGCTAGAAACATCTTTCTGACCCTTTGGGCTAAGCTAGGGGTGAGGAGACACAAGCTGGGGTCGCAGATCACAGGACATGGGGAGCCCTGATGGCGGCCAGCCCTGCCCTGTCCTCCCTGTGGGTGTATGGCACTCACCAATGCCTGACACGGTACCCCAGGCCACGGCCATGGCCAAGTGTGCCATCTTGGGTCCAACGCCTGGCAGTGCCACCAGCTCGGGCACAGAAGCCGGGATGTCTCCTCCATAGCGCTGCTGCAGGATGGCACTGGTCTGTTTGATGTACTTCACCTTGTTCTGAAAGGTGGAAGGGGCGGTCAGCCCTGGAGGTGGACAGCGGAGTCTGACTGGGGAGGATGAGTCCCGAGGCAGAGCCATAGGCGCCCGGAGCTGCCCGTCACCCGCCCAAGACACACTCACAGGCTCCTGTCTGTGCTGTCCCGCCAGGAGGTGGGAATGAGCCGAGGGCAGCCCGGTACAGGCCCCGGCCCGCTTCCCACGTGCCTGGACCCATGACGTGGGTGGGGTCTAGCTCAGGTCCCCTGCCCTGTCATTCCCTCAGAGGCCAGGTAGGCTAGGCAGGGCCAGCCATGGCTCAGCACCTGCGCCTTCAGGAAGGAAGGCTGGAGCCTGGGGCTCCCCCTCCAGCCGCCAGGCCAGCTGGGTGGTTCCCATTCTGTGCCTGAGTGCAGAGGGCTATTTAAAACCCATCTGACAGAACTGCGGCCCACGCCAGTGCCAAGGGGAAGCGGCTCCACCCGCCTGGCTGCCTTCAACAGGTCCGCCCACTTGCCACCCAGGGCTCCGGGGCCTGCTGGGGCTCCGGCAGAAGAGGGTGACGCACTCCAGGGACGCCTGGAGTAAACAAAGGGAAAGGCTGGTGGGCAGCCTTGGGGAGGAAGGGAAGCGCCAGGCAGCTGGGTGGGGAGGTGGAGGAAGGAAGGGGTGGGCGCAAACAGGAAAGACCAAGGAGGGAGGCCCTACAGCCCCAGGTCCATCTGCGGGTCAGAGGGGCCGGGGCTCCAGCAGGAACTCACATCCAGGTCCCTGAGGTGCCCCCCCCCCCCCCCGCCTCCTGATGTCTTCCCTGGACCAGTGGCACCGCCCAGTCTCCAGGCCAGTGGGCTCACCCTCCAGAAGCCGACAGGGTAGATGAGCGTGCCCAGCGTGTTGTCATCCATCTGCAGGACGCTGTCCACTGTCAGGCCCCGAGCCCGCAGTCGCTGCATGGCACCTGCTGTCACCTGGTCCTTGGTCTGGCTGGAGAGCATCAGGGACAGCAGCACCTGGTACCTCCGCACCTGCCGGCACAGTGCCAGGGACCAGGGTAGTGGCCGGGCCTGGGTGCTCCTCGTGGGCTGGGCCCCAGCCAAGCCCTTTATCACCTCCACCTGTTACCCTGGGTGGGGCCTCGGCCTTGCACTGCCCTGGCCAGCAGAGCGCACGCGGGGTCTGGCAGGGGCTCGTTCTGTTTCTTCACATGTGACGCGGGGACAACAGTACCTGCCTCACGGGATCACCAGAAGGTAACGTGAGTGATCACAACACTTAGAATCCTGCCCGGCAGTGGGCGCTCACCACCCAGCGGCTGCTACCGTGCCTGTCCCTGCTCTGTGACTACTAACACCACTAGCAGATGAAGCCCAAAGAAGTACGTGCACCCGGGTCCCTGGCAGCAGGGTTGGGACTGGACTCGAGTCGGTCTAAGGATCAGGCTCCAGGCCATGAAGTGGGAGGAACTCTCAGCAAACACTACCGAGCTCCCCTGCGGGGCCTGGGCTCTGCCGATAGGAAACAGAGCGGGGAGCCCCGGGTACAGGCAGTCCTGAGCTGCTGAGTGGCCGCGATGAAACAGTGACGCCGGCCGGCGCTCCGGGTCCTGAAGGTGGCGGTGCCAGCCACGAGCTGCCACGTGTCAGGCTGTGCCCCACCAGAGGCCTGAGAGGAAGCAAGTGCCTTGTCCAAAGGGCGTCACCAGGCAGCGGGGGCCCCGGCCTACCTTCGGGGGTGCGCTGGAGTCATAGCAGTGCTCAGCCCCCAGCCAGTCCACGGGTGCGTCCTTCCCGCTCCTCATGGTGCGGATGTTGAGCAGCTGCTGCCGCCAGTCCTGGGGCTCCCAGCTTGGTGCCCTGAGGGGTCTGGTGTCTTCTCCTTCCTGGTGATCTGAGGCCTCGTAGGCCACATTCAGTTTTTGCGTCTTCCGCTGATGCCTTGCAGGGCTGTGGCTCTTCCTTCCTTCTGCAAACAGTGCCATTCCGTGCGTTCAGCAGGGGCCACAGGTGAGGGTGGGGTGCGGGCGGCGCCCTACCTGCTACTCACCCAGCATCATTCATTCAACAACCACCTACCACAGTGGGGGTGCTCTGGCCTCTGCAACCCGCACTTGTGACGGCTCTGCCCTCCTTACGCCACTGCCTTCCTGACCAAGTCTGCGTTAGCACAGGAGGCCTGAACCCTCCACCATGGTGCCCCCCACTCCCCCAATCTAGTCTCCACACTGTGCCAGAAAGAAATTTCCGACCCAAAAGAGATTGCATCACTTCCGTTTACACCTCCTCATTGATTTTTTCTTGTTACTGGAGGCGAACTCCAAACTCTACCGCAGCATCACAGTACCTGCCTGCCCAGCTGGCACTGTCACCCCCTTCTCCTCGCCCCAGTGCCTCCACAGTGCTTGTGTCACTGTGGGTCTCCCTGTCTGGACTACTCTGGAGTTCACGGGGTGCCTGAGAACCCCCGCCGGCCGCCCTGCAGGGCACGTCGCAGGGGCCTGTGGGTCTTGCTCCCCCCCGCCCCCCAGTCCCTAGATCCTTATCGCCTAGGAGGATGAACGCAACGAAGACCACGCCCTCCGGGAGGGACCCGCTAGCAGGCGGAGAGGACTTCCGGCGGCACCGGGTCTCTCTAAGAGGGAAGCGGCTACGGGGACAAGTCTGGTCTGCCCACAGGGAGCCTGGCACAAGTGGAGTATCCCGTGGCAGGCTTCCAGTTCGGTACGACGGTGGCGGAAATGGGAGCACCTGGTCCCGGTCCCTGGGGCGGCCCCTGCGTCCCAGGAACAGAGCGCAGGGTGGGAGCCAGGCCCTCACGTGGGGGCGACCCTGAACCCCAGCGCCTTGCAGGCCCCTTCCCCCGCCTCTCTCCCCAGGCTCCGACCCAGGCGCGGCACTACCTGCAGCCGCCTCTCCCCTCCGGAGCGGCGCGGCCTTCGCCCCGCCCCCCAGGGGCCCGGCCCCCGGGCCCCGGCTGCGGCTCCTGGTCACCATCCTCACTCCCGTCGCGCTCATGCTGGAGTCCGGCGGACTACACTACCCGGCGGTCCCCGCGGTCACGCTACGTGACGCAACGTTCGGCCCTTCATTTCCGCCAGAGAGCGGCCCGGGAACTACGACTCCCAGCAAGCTCGGCGGCTGCCCTCGGCCCCGGCCCGCTGCCGGAAGTGCGGGGCGAGTTTCCGGCGGCGGCCCGTTTTTTTTGGGGGGGGCGGTTGCCGTGGGGTGCCCTCCCTTCTCCGCGCGGGGACCGCCTGGCGCCCTGCGGGCGCTGCGCAGGGTGAGTGGCTCGCGGTGTCCCGACCGCTAGCGCCGTCCCGGCCTGCCTGTGGCCCGATCCCGATGGGGCAGGGGGAGGCGGCCGCGCCGGGGGCCCTGCGGGACGCCGAGGCGGCGGGGGCGGGCCTCCGCGGGGTCCCGGGTCCCGGGCTTCGGCAGAGCCCACCGCAGCCGGAGCCAGGAGGGCTCCTCGGTGTTAAGACAGTGCGGGTGCGAGCGGCCCCCTGCCTCCGGCACCCCCTCTCCCGACAGGCCGCCCCCACGTGGGGAGGAGAGGGGGCGAACGTCGGGGACTCCACCCTGTACACCCCGTCGGGCGGCGGGGCAGCAGCCTGCTGCTGGCCGGGCCTGTGGGGTCTGGGAGCCCGGAGGCCCGCAGCGGGGCAGGTCCGGGGGGGGCCACTCCTGAGATATCTGCTCGTTCCTTCGGCGCAGAGGCGGCCTCTGGCGCGTCCCTGCCCACCATGGCCAAGCCGACGAGCAAAGATTCAGGCTTGAAGGAGAAGTTCAGGATTCTGTTTGGACTGGGAACCCCGCGGCCAAATCCCAGGTCTGCAGAGGGCAAGCAGACGGAGTTTATCATCACGGCGGAAATCCTGAGAGTGAGTGCGCTGCTTGCGTCTGGCCTGCCAGCCTATCGGGAGATGGGAGGAAGGCTGGGTTTGGTGTGTCGGCAGCTTCTGAGGGAGATGGGCTGCTGGCCACCTGGCCACCGGCTGCGCAGGCCGCTGTCCCCAGTACTGCCGAAGCGTGTCTGTCTTTTCTTCGGAGATTCAGGGAGTCAGGGCCCCAGGGACTTGGCCCAGCACCCTTGAGGTAGTATTGAGATGTCGGTGCAGCAAAACCTATCGTACGGGACATGGCCCAAACGCCGCGGTTGGCGTCCACTTGTGATCAGGGCGATAGCGGGTGTTAACTGGTAATTTGTGAGTTTCTGGGAGGAGCGGTCTTTATTTTCCCAGGTCCGTGTGTGTGTGGTGGGAGTCCCTCTACGGCACGCCTGGCACCGTGTTTTGTATATGCCAGATTCTTGCCCTTGTGAAGGTTCCTCTTGAGAAACAGCCAAAACGTTCATCGGCTGGTGAATGTGTGAACAAAATGTAAACGAGGAATGAGGCATTGACCCCTTCCTAATGCGGGCGAACATTGAACACACATGAGCGAAAGAAGCCAGCCACACAGTTGTGCTTCCGGCTCTCTGAAATGTGCAGAGCAGGTGAACCCGTGGAGCCAGGAAGTTGGTTGGGGCCTGAGGGGATGCGCAGGGACTGCTCGCAGGTGTGCAGTGATGAAAGCGTTCTGGAATTAGCTGAGGTGGTTGCGGGCATCGCGAATGTACTAAAGACCGAACAGGGCAGTTTTAAATTCCTCAGACAGCTGATTTTTTTTTTTTAATGTTTTTTGTTTCTGAGAGAGAGACAGCATGAGTAGGGGAGGGTCAGAGAGAGAGGGAGACACAGAATCTGAAGCAGCTCCAGGCTCTGAGCTCTCAGCACAGAGCCCGACGCAGGGCTCGAACCCACAAACCGTGAGATCATGACCTGAGCTGAAGTCAGACGCTTAACCGACTGAGCCACCCAGGTAACCCCTCAGACAGCTGAGTTTTTTCCATCAATTTCATCACAACACAGAGAAGCACAGCCTTAATGACAAGTCATTGTCGCCCCACTGGAACACAGCCGTAAGCTCTGGCGGTTCCTGATTTCGGAAGGACCCGCAGCAGGTCTCCGTCGCGGGGGACGCGACACCGTTCTCGGTGTGGCCTGCGGCTGGCTGTTTGGCAGACCTGTTGCCTGAGCGCTCGCCCCTTTTCCTTCCTTCGTGTCTCTCCAGGAGCTGAGTGTCGAATGTGGCCTCAACAATCGCATCCGGGTGATCGGGCAGATCTGCGAAGTTGCAAAAACGAAGAAGTTTGAAGAGGTAGGTGTGTATCCGCTGGCTGCGGGACAGAGGCGGGTGAGCGGCCGGGAGGTCCGGCGCCGCTCTGTTTGGAGCGGGGGTTGACCACTAACTGCTGAGGCTACCGTTCACCGCGTTTTAGGGACGCTTAACCTGCGTCTTAGTGAAGGGGCTGCTTCTGGAAATGCGCTGAGCACAGCTGTTAGAGGTCAGTCACACGTGGAGGGATTGAGGCTTTTCTAGCCCTTCTAAGAAAGGGCTTAAATTTAAGCGACTTGAAACGCATCCCTGCTTGCCCTCTCCTTTCAGACTTGGGGGCCGGGAAGGCAAGGGACGTCAGCAGAGAGGGTGAGCCGAGGCTTAGCAGCGCCCGCGTGTCCTGGGGAGAGGTGTCTGCGTGTTTCGGGTGATGTTTGCGGGCTCTCTCGGGGCACCCCTGAGGACAAGTGGCACGCTGTCGTGAGAGCACCTCAGCGGCTCTGCCTTGGCCCTCTCCTCTTGCCTGAGCGACTTGGGGCGAGACGTGGAGGTAGCAGCTTGGGATTTGCTAAGGGGGAGGGGAGAGCAACCGTGACATCCACAGCTGGCTATCTGAAATTTGCAGGCTACACATTAGCAAGAATAAACGTGACAGTAGGCCTCTGCGTTGGGAAAGTGTGGGTGTGAGAGGGGGACCGGTGGCCCGGCTGCCGTCGCCTGAGTGCGTGGACAGATAAGCCCGAAAGGCTGGCGGAGTCCACAGGCTCGGTGTCTGCATGTTGCTGTGGCTTAGGTTGCGTCAGTAGGAGTGTTGTGCATGGGATAAAGGAGGTGACAGTTCCAGAGTATGTTGAAGCGGTCAGGATGTTGATCAGACAACATCTAAGAGACGTTTTAGCCCCCTCCTGAGAGCAGTGAACCCAGGAAGGGGTGAGTCGTCCGAACACCCTGGTTGAAGGGTTAATGTGGAGAAGAGATGGTGACGTGTGAGAGACTGACTCCATGGGCTGGGTGGGGCTTAGTGAGACGAGGCAGATTCCAGAAGCCCACAGGGAGACCTTGGCAGCAGAGTCGGGGCAGGAGTGTGGTTCGGAGCGGCCCTTGGCTGCCGTGTGTACACAGAGGGTGGCCAGGAAAGTGGGGTTTCTGGGTCAGGCTGCAGACCCGGGACCGCCTAGCTCTGAGACTCCTTCAGCAAGCTCTACGGGGGGCTCCTGCCTGACATCTGGGGCAACCGGGATGATTCTCCTGGCCTGCTGCTCGCCTCCATCCCCCCAGGCTGTGGCCTGAACGTGCGGGTTTAAATAGCTTGGAGCTGCACCCCTGTTGGGTTCAGGGTCTCGTGGGCTGTGCTGGGTACACGAGGTGGGGGCTTGAGAGGAGCGAGTTCTAAGTGCGAAGCACCGCTGTGCTCCGTGTTCTGCTCATGGTGCTGTCTGTTGAGTGGGGGGCCAGCATTCCCTAACTGCTGTCCCCTCTCTGCTGGCGGCAGCACGCGGTGGAGGCACTCTGGAAGGCCGTCGAGGACCTGCTGCAGCCGGAGCGGCCACCGGAGGCCCGGCACGCCGTGCTAGCTCTGCTGAAGGCCATCGTGCAGGGGCAGGTGACGGCGGGTCTGCATGCTGGCGGAGCTGGGATGGGCGTGGGGGTGATGCGGGGCACCCCGCTGACGGCCCCTTCTTTGCCGTGCGTGGACGGGGCTCCGGGCACAGGGTCTGCTTCCCAGCGGCTCTGCCTGAGTGCGCATCCTGCTTGCTCGCCTGTGAAATGGGGGAGCTTGGTGCTCCTTCCTTCTCAGGAGGGTTTTGGGGTGTAAGTGAGGCAGTACGCGTAAACTGTCCGGGACTTGCCTGCCTGCACGAGGGAGCGGCTGTTAGGTGCTCTGGCTGCCCCCCCCCCCCCCCCCCCGGCCCTAGGCCTCTGCCCCTGGCTCACTGTGCCCTTGGCCACGCTGCTGTGACCCTTTCCTAGAACCGCAGGCGGCCTCTCCGGGCGGCCTCTCCGTTCCCGCTCCCGCCTGGAAGGCACCCTTCCCTCTCGGCTGTTTTCTCCGGTCCTCCACACCCCAGCTGCTTGCAGAGGCCTGTCCCCTCCCAGTGCGGTTGCACTGTATTGGTCATTGTGGGGGCACACCCGCGTCTCTTCCTGGCCACGGTCCCCGGGAGGGCTGGAACTGCATTGTCCCCTGCGTGCCCACCGCCGTGCCTGGAGCTCGCACACAGGAGGTGCTCTACACGCACACTTCTCTGGAGCTGCTCCGAGGTGCTCCCCTGCTACAGTCAGTTCCGGAGGGAAGGAGCGAGGGTCCGAGGGTTGGGAGTCCTGGAGCCCACTGTGCTGCTCGCGCTGCCCGCAGCCGCTCTGGAAACCCAGCTGGCCGGGGGGTCCTTGCAGGACTGCTGACCTTGTGGTTTTACCTTCAGGGGGACCGCTTGGGCGTTCTCAGGGCCCTCTTCTTTAAGGTCATCAAGGATTACCCCTCTAACGAAGACCTCCACGAAAGACTGGAAGTTTTCAAGGCTCTCACGGACAATGGGAGACACATCACGTATTTGGAAGAAGAACTGGGTGGGTGCCGCGTTGGGTGTGAGGTTTCTCTGGCGCTGGGGATCAAATTTGATCTGGGATGCCTGAAGGCTGCTGCGGCCCAGAGCAAGTGCTGCAGTTTATGGGGACGGCCTGCAGAGGGCGCGGTCCCGCAAGGTTCCGCTTACCTGTGTGCAACCCAGATCAGCCACCCCATCTCCTGGGGAGGGGGGAGCCTGTTAGAAATGCACAGACCTGGCCTTCACTCCAGACCTGCTGGCTCAGAATCCCTGGGGAGTGAGGGCTTTCAGTGGGGAGAAGGTAGCCCGACTTTTTTGTAAAGAGTGTGTGCTGCT